AAAATAACCTTCTTTATCCTTGGTAATAATCTTGGCTTTAAAATATACTCTGATATTAATATAGTCACTTCAGCTTTATTTTGACTAGTTTTAGGACAGGATATCTTTTTTCTTTTTCTTTTTTCTTCTATAGGGTAAAAATTAGGATTGATTGCCTTTGGGAAGCAAAAATAGAGAGAAGGATAGAGCAAAAGGTAAACTCATACTTCATTGCTTGGAAAAAGCACTGCAGGTTACCGTAAGGCCTTTAATTAAAGTGTTGGTTTATTTTTGTTCCTTTCTGACTTAAGAAAAACTAAACTTTAGTGCCTACTAGAACATAAGTCCTATAAAAATGTTCAAAAATAAACAGTTATGTGTGTAAGTTATGAGGACAGTATATTCATTTCCTGCACGATCCTGTTCTAAAGTCTTGTAAAATTAATTTAAAGAAAATCATGGCATTCAGGCCATTACAGACACCCAGACACACTCTGAATCACTAACAGTCCTCCCCTTGATTAATGGAGAGAAAGGGAAGGAAAACCACTAACAGTACTGTAAATTAAAAAATAGGTTAAACAAGCATTCTCTCCCCCTTAACCAACCATATAAAACAAGATAAACAGAAACCTGGGTGAGCCATGGGACAAGGACTGGAAAAAGTATCTTGGATGAGTCAAATACATCAAGCCATTTATAGCTTTCTAAAATAAATATTTTATGGTGACTTTAAATAACACTTTTATGGAAGTGCACTTTCTATCACATACAATTCACCATTTTAAAGTGCATACTTTAAAAGTTTGCAGTTTATTCACTATGTTGTGCAACCATCACCATTATCTAATTCCAGAACATTTCAAAAAAGAAACCCCTTATCTATTAGCAATTAGTCCCAATTTCTCCTTCTCCTCATCCCCGTTAACCACTCTTCTACTTTCTGTCTTTATAGATCTGCCTGTTCTGGCCACATGCAATACTAGTATGTGGCCTTTTGTGTCCACCTTCTTTCACTTACAGTATATTCAAATTTATCATATCATAGTCATTATTCAAATATATGTTAGTTGACAACAAGACCACTTGCTCAGGGGGGTAATAGATATGTGGAATAATTAGAACACTCAAGTTCTAGTGGTGCTTTCTTCCCACTTTAACTTTTAAGGACTTTAGTCTCCTCTGTTGTACAATATGGTTATCAGGTGAGAGGATATCAAAGTTCTCTTTTTTTAAATTCCAGCTACTCCAGACATCTCAAAGACACAGAGAGACATACTATTACTCCTGTCTTTGGGGGAAAAGAATAATAGCTGCAAAAACAATAAACTAGATTTGAAAACTTTAGTTTCTAACTCAATCTGGAGTCAGGACATTTCAGATAGCTGCTGTCAATAACACTTTGAGGTGATTATAAACTCACTGAGTTAACACGGTGTCATAACCAGGAGAGAAATACAACAAAAGACAGGCTGAGCAGGTTTTATCAGTGTGTGTTTTCCTCCATTTCTGAAAAGAGATGATGTAATCAGTGATTTCCTCTATGACATCTTTCCTGATAAAAAGATACACACACACACACACACACACACACACACACACACACACACACACACATAGGTACACACATCAATTAGAAATTTGCATAAATGAGCTATTCAGAGTTGGAACTCATGATTCAGTATTTGTTGAATGAACAGTGGATGAGTGGTTGGGTGGCTGGGTGAATGGATGGAAGCCATATAACTAAAGGCTGATCTAAAAGTAAGAATAAAAAAGATGCCTAGCCAGTTTGGCTCAGTGGATGGAGCATCGGCCTCTGTACTGAAGGGTCCTGGGTTTGATTTCAGTCAAGGGTACATACCTTGGTTGAAGGCTCAATCCCCAGTCCTGGTTGGGGTGCATGTGGATGGCAACTAATCAGTGTGTCTCTCTCACATCAGTGTTTCTCTGTCTGTCTCTCCCTCTCCCTCTCCCTTCCACTTTCTCTTAAAAAAAAAAATCAATGAAAAAATATCGTCTGGTGAGGATTAATAACAACAACAACAATAAAAAAAAACATGCTGAGTTTTCTGCTCCATCCTTTCTTACAGTGGATAGAATATAAAATCTTGAAAACTAAAGGAACAGTGGTTCAGAAATGTTTATTTTATTGATTTTGATACAATAATAGATACAGTACATTTAATATGCTGCTTTTTTGCAGAAATTCATCAGCATCAGTTCATGGTTTAAATTATACAGAACTGTTCTGTTAACAAAAATAGGTACATGTTACTTGGGGCTAATTAAAAATTAACAAAAGCAGAAACGTAAATAAATGTCACCCGGTTCATTTTTATCACTCCTTGCAAGGAGATAAAACAATGCTTTACAAGTTTATGTTGAGCAAATATATGCTGTACACATGTCTTTTTTTTGTTGTTGTTAAAAACCAAATATCACAATATTCTGAAAAGCTACACACGATTGTGTTGGGTTGAAGCCTTGGATCAAGTGGGTCTTTTCCTGAGTTAGTCTTCAATGAGGGGAGAAGAGCGTGGTGGCTCCAGGTCCTTCTTTCTGGTGCTTTACCTACCCTCAGTCTCCTCCTCTTCTTCCTCAACCCTCCTCTCCTCTTTTCCCTTCACTCTCCTACAATCTCCCATTCCCAATCCACCATCACTTCACTTCCTTCCTTCCTGCTCCACTCGGAACCTGAATGGCGACAATGACCAGTCAGGGTGGAGAGAACCATGACAATCCTTCAATTCTTCCTGACTCAGAGTCAAGCCCAATCTTGAGAAACAAGTGAAGATCACGACGAATATTGCCCAGCACCCGCACTTGCCTGAATTTTTATATGTCTCTTCTTACAATTTCTTGGATTTTACAACTTGATTAATGCTTTCATGATCAGGAATACTTTTAAACATCCTTGTGGTATTTCTAGTGGCTATAAAAATTCAAAACAGTCTCTTTTGTGCTAACATTGCAATTATATTTAAATAGCACTGTCACTGCAGTTATATTCATTGTATGATAAAATCCACCATGCCAAACAGGTTCTACGCGGTTGCCATGGTTCTGAATTTTCAGTTTTAAATAGTGAAGTAGCTCTAGAGTTCCAGTACGAAGGCGTGGCCCTTGAATTCCTCATTCTTTGAACTTTTTTTTTTTCCTCTCCTAGGGTGTCTAAATCTTATCTCAGCGTCTCTTTGTCAATATGTCTAAGAAATAAAACAAGTGTGGCTCTTCCGCCATGCTGCCGGCGTGAGTGGGACAGCCCATGATAGCATGGAAAAGGCTGTTTTGTTTATTGCATCGGACTCGGCTCCCTGATGGTCCTTGGGGATCATGAATTCGTCTGGGATCCCCAGCCAGGACCATGAGGAACCCCAATCCGGAGAGCCTGACTGGTGGCGGTAGGTGTGTGTTTGTCTGTGTTTTTGTGTGAGCACTCTGGAGGGACTGCCCCCTCCATTGGGGCTCTCTCCTGGGTGTTTGCCGGCTGCTGCATCAGCCAAGGTTTGAGCCCGGATTCGAATCTGTAATAAATTCTAGCATGCTTAATCAAAAAAAATAAATAAATAAAAAATAAAAAATAAAAAAAAATAAAACAAGTGTGTGCTGTTTTACATAGAAAAATTTGACTGAATTTCTTCAGTCTTTTTTAGTTTTGCCCAAAAAAGTATTATAATAAACCCTGCACTGAAGCACTGGTCTTCTGGGTAACCTCATTTTGATTCTGAAGTTACTCTGGTGCTCATGTAGCAAGTTACATTGGGCACAGTCATATTTTTTAGTGATTTGGGAAAGAGGAAAATGTTGAGTAAATGTTTCAGAAATAAACTTCTAATTTCCTGTCATTAAACCTTGATTTCAGAAGGGAGTTCTTATAAATCTGCAGCATGCTTCACCGCTATAGTAATGTTTCACTCAGATGACATAAATTAACAAGATACCTTTACATCAGAGAATGGCATCATCGTGGCATTTCCACAGATATTATAGGTTTAAGGTCTCAAATTTGCATCAGACTCCTTTCTGAGAGTATAGGCTTTCAAGGGCTTTGTTTTCAGTATTTTTGTTGTTGTTGTTGTTGTTGTTATTGTTGTTCATCAGCATAGTTCATTGGGACACTTCTGAGGAAGCAGTATTTTTCTTCCATATATTAAGCATCATTTATATATACTCTTTATTCCAAAATTTACTTGACAAATCCTGGTCAGTATTATAAATATAAATGAATATAGAAGCTCATGTTCCTTCAAATTTATCATGACTCTGTAAGGCTGGGGAACTACAATCAGTAGCCTTGGAATGGCACAAGGCCAACATTCTTATTTTAAAAGGAGATCTGGCTTCTGAGTACTGATAGGTAGACCTCCTGGAGCTCAGTGGCCTCTGATTTCTTACCTGAACTAGAGTTTTGCAGATGACCTGCCATTGGCAAGATTCTTCCGTCTAAAGCTATCCCTTTTCACCACAGAGAAGTCCCTTCTGCTCCGCAGCCTCCTAGCTCGGGTTTCACAATGGAAAGGGCTCCAAAGGGACAAAGCAGGCAGTGGCAGTCCAACCACGATGGAATGAACTAGGATTAGCTGCACTCAGCCCCAAGTGGAGAAAGCACCTGCAGTATTTCACAGTGGACTCATTTGAAGTACTGAGACCCCAAACTCCAAAGACCATGACATTGGTGGTGACTGAGATACTGCATGGGTTGGGGTTGTGGTCTCCTAGAGTAAGCCAATTTTGTTCCAAATAATACATCAGACATTTATTTTGAAAAGTACTGAGATGCAAGAATTGTATCTCTTCCTATAAGAAATATTCATTTATCAGGTTTCCTGAAGGTATTCATTTATTCTCTCCCCCCTCCTTTTTTTTTTTTTTTTACAAAATAATATCCATCATACACTATGAGTAAAAAAAATGTTCCAAGTTAGTCATGACAGCTTGTTTTCTATGGAGCAGTGTGCATGAATCTTGTAAATAAATAGGTGAGAAATCCCATTGGGTACCTGGAAGGTCAGTTGCATTCATAATTTCCTGGAGCACACATAATTGTGAGCGTTGCCCTTCCTACAGTCTTTGGTTTGCCATTTTCCTTGTCTTTGAACCAAAACGCAGTTCTTGCCAGGCTTTGAACGCCGAGGGGTCCCCCTGCTCCAGTTGGTGAAGGTGACAGGCTCACCGCCAATCCACTCCCAATGGCCAGCATGCACTTTGTTGTTCAAACCTAATGTGAACCAAAACAATGTGCCAAACGATTTTATTACATTTATACTTGGATATCATTTCAGTCTAAAGTTCTAGGCTCAGTAGCCACATGCAAACATGGGCCTATGTTCTAAAACATGGGATTGGATCTGGGGATCCTACAGGGCACAACTAAGCACACAAAGCTTTGGAGTTTGGCAGATCTGAATTTAAATCCTCGCTCCAGCACGACCAGTTAGTTCAGTGATGGAGCATTGACCTATGAACCAGGAGGTCACAGTTCAATTCCCCATCAGGGCACATGCCTGGGTTGTGGGCTCAGTCCCCAGTGTGGGGCCTGCAGGAGGCAGCTGATCAATGATTCTCTCTCATCATTGATGTTGATGTTTCTAGCACTCTCTCCCTCTCCATTTCTCTCTGAAATCAATAAAAAAAAATATAAACCTAGCTCGAGCATGTGTACATTGAGCATCTTCAGGAAGATTACTTAACCACTCTAAGTTTTCATTTTCCCATTTACAAATTGAAATAAAAATAATATATTTCCCTTATCCATATGGCTCAGTTGGTTGAGCATTGTCCTGTGGATTGAAAGGTTTCTGGTTCAATTCCCAGTCAGTTCAGATTGTGGGTTCAATTCCTGGTAGGCAATTGGGGGGTACTAATTGATGATGTTTCTCCGTCTCTCTCTCTCTCTCTCTCTCTCTCTCTCTCTCAAAATCAATAACAACGTATTTTTAAAAAATAGTATATCTAGTTTTGAGAGTGAAATAAGATCAAGCATGTTAAGCACATGACATATATGTGTTTACTAAATGGCAATTATTATTTATCTTATCCTAAAGGCAGAACTTCTATCACAGGAACTCAGATACACTCTTGTCTATTGTTTTTGTTCTTCATTATTTAAATGTCTCGGTTTTCCTATGTGAAAGTAGCTTACTCGGTATTATTTTTAGTCTGGAGCTTAAGACTTTTTCCATCTGTGACAATTCCAACAAAAAGCAGCTTTTCTCAACTTGCCTCTTTATTCCCACTGGTAATTTTTGGAAATTACACTTTAATGTTGCAAAGCTCTTGTAATTTCTTTTAAATAAGTATTCCACCCTCTCACTTTCTTTTATAAGAGAAATAAAAAAGAAGAAAATGAGAAAAGGATCCCTATTCAATAGCATGATCTGAAACTCAAAACCACACGTGATTGTGAAAACAATCTTAGGTACATAGCGTACAATCTTCTCTCAACCGATTCTCAGTCAATATTTTGGGGTAGAATAAAATGAAGTACTTGTAGTTAGGAATAACCTATCTTGTTCTAGATTGTTTCCTTGAATTATTGATCAGGTCACGCTATGCCTAGTACTTTGTGGGGATTGAGTCTTGAAACGAGCTGTGGGTGTAATGAAAACTCATCGTTCAGCCTTACCTTAATACTCTCAGATAATTTCAGAATTTAGAGACTCACTGAGGGGTAAAGAGATCCTGAGAAGCCAAGAATGGTTTATTAGTGTCTCCTGAAACACACCACCTTTCAAGAGAGATAGTGAGAATACTGACTTTGAGGGGCCCTGAGAATTCTAGTTCTAAAGGGGTTTGAAAGGATTTTATCGTTGTTTAAAATGTAGGAAATATTAAAAATTCAGAAAACAAAGGATAGCATTAAATCAACTATAATTCTCAACTGCAGGTTAAACATTTCTAATTTTCTGACATGTTTCTTTTAATATATATGTATATATTACATGTATATAAATATATATACATATCATGTATATAATTTCTTTATTTTAAATTATTTCATGCTTCAGCCGAAACTGGTTTGGCTCAGTGGATAGAGCGTCGGTCTGCGGACTGAAAGGTCCCAGGTTCGATTCCGGTCAAGGGCATGTACATTAGTTGCGGGCACATCCCCAGTGGGGGGTGTGCAGGAGGCAGCTGGTCGATGTTTCTCTCTCATCGATGTTTCTAGCTCTCTGTCCCTCTCATTTTCTCTCTGTAAAAAATCAATAAAATATTTTTTTTTAATTATTTCATGCTTCATATGTTTATACACTCTGCCTTTTTACTAAGTATCTTGCCACAAATATTTTATGTATAATGTTCATCCAATATGTATTTATTGACTATTAATAAGCATGAGACATTTTGTCATGTCTTTAATATTTAGTGCTTTTACAAAGCACTAAATATTAAATATTCCTTCACACGACTATACTATAATTTATTTAATCATCCCCTATTTATAGCTCTATTTTTTTTTTTTACTTTTAGAAATACTACTTGTTGAATTCACTTATCGATAAATAGACCCACATCCCTTATTATTTCTTTGAGATGTGTCCAAAAATGAAAGTTTTATGGAATTAAGATGATTTTTTTACTAAAATGATGAATAAAAATAGATCCAGAGACAGAGAAGCATCAAACAGACTGTCAAACTTCAGAGGGAAGGTGTGTGTGTTGGGGGGCGGGGGGGAGTTGTAAGAGATCAACCAATTTGTATGCATGCATAGGAGCATAACCAATGGACACAGACACTAGGGCACGGTAAGGGCATGGGCTGGGGGTGGGGGTGGCCGGGAGAGGTCAATGGGAGGGGAAAAAAGGAGATATGCAATATCTTAAAAAATAAAGAATTAAAATAAAAGAAGATGAGTTTTTAAAGATTATAAATCACAACCATTTGGCCCATGGAAGAGAGACATTTTCCTCGTGTTTTGTCTCCCTGCTCAGTGCAGCGCAAATACTTGCCTATCCAGAAGGGCTTTCTTCCACTGAAGTCCCAGAGCCATCGCATGTGCTGCCTGGACAGGACACTTACAAGGCTGCCCAGGTGACTACAAGCAAATGAATGAAAATGTGAGCATCAGTGACAAGGAGTTCAACATTTCTGTTGATATGATTTGCATAGCAGAAATCAAACCCAGGTTAAATAGAAAAATATACATATGCAAAAAAAAACTTCCCAAGATTTTAATACTATACCTTTATAATTTAGTGAGCGTCTCCTGGGTGTGATAAATGGCCAGCAAGAAAGTGACATTTTATTATAATATCTGGTCTTTAAATCACAAATTCAGTAGGTCTTTCTATTGTGTTTTAGAAAATCAGCCTACTTATAAAGATTAATTATTCAATGCCAAAAACATTACTCCTTTCATAGGAAAATTAGTTCTAAATGGCACAAATTTGGCAATTTATCCAGTTAATGTGACTAGTAAGGTAACCCAGACAATTCAAATAAAATGACTTTGAGACCTACATTTTGAGCTTGGTGTGTTTAGTTAAATATCCCAATGACTGTGGTCCTTTCATCATACCCAGTGAAATGAGCAGGTCTCACTGTCAAACTTTTTTATGTTGTGTACAAGTTAAAGCACCTGTTCTTAAATATATATATATATATATATATATATATATATATATATATATACATACTTTCCTCCAATATGTAATTTTTTAAATAAGTTTAAGGAATATGGCATAATGACTTGAATTACATATATTATGAAATAATTACCACAACATGTTAACATCATCATTATGGAGGTTGTTTTCATGTCTTGGCTATTATAAACATTTCATGTCTTGACTATTACAAACATTGCTGCTATGAGCATGAGGGCATGAGGGTACAGATATCTCTTCAATATAGTGTTTTCATCTCAATCAGATATAATCCCAGAAGTAGAATTGCTTGATCATATGGTAGTTCTATTTTTAATTTTTTGAGGAACCTCCATAGTGTTTTCTACAGTGGCTGCACTAATTTACAATTCTACCAAAAGTGAACAAAGCTTCCTTTTCTCCATATCCTCATCAGAACTTATTTTTTTGATGATAGACATTCTCACTGGCATGAGAATTCTTTGTGAATTATTTTTGCAGCTAGCTGAATTATTCCTAAGCAATATTTGATTGTGTCTAATTCCCCAGCACATTAAGAGCTCTTTTAAAATGCTTCAAGTAAAAAGCTAATGGGTAATTTTTTTTTTTTAACAGAAAGTTTCCAACAAGAAACAAAGTAACCATGATCTTCTTGTCTGGTTAATATCAACTGATATATTAAAAAGTGAAAAACAAGTGTGGCAATAGAAAATAGTTGAATTGAATTTTACTCAATTTGCCTGTATCTTTCCAAACCGCAGATCCATTTCTTTGCTTTTTCAGATCACATACAGTGAACACAATAACCCATTTCTTAATGTGTTTCCCTCCACCAATGCCAGCCCTTTACTGTTCTATGATGCAGGGATGCTTCTAGGCCTTCTGAGATGGGGTGAGGCTCTTTAATCCTCTGAATGGCCTCAGGCCACTGGATTGGGGTTTTGTGACTTGTCTCTGTTTTCATTATTCACTGTCAGCGTCTGTCTGATGGTTCAACTGATATGAGAGCACACCTTTCCCCAGACCCCTCACATCCAATATGGCAATTCTAATGTGATGAGAGTTAGGACACAGAACACTAAATGTGTGTCAAATATAGGCTGAAGGAAGGCTTGAGGGACTTCCTCAGTCTACATGGTATATTGGACAGAGAATGGGAGATCTGGCTTCCACTTTCTGCTCTGCCCCTAACTCCCTTACAGATGTAACTTCAGCCTCATCTTCATCATCAGGAAGCAACAAGTTTTATTTAGCACCTCCTCCTGCTGTAAGATTCTTGAAATCATCTTTAAAAGAGACTATAAATCCATTTTTAGCTGGTAAAGTGCAAGTTTGAGTCCCTTTTTGACTCTAAGAAACAAGAAGCCCTAAAAGATCAAGATGAGAAAATAGCTGTGTTTAGGATAGGTAAAATGTGAGACCACAGTCACAGTCATAAACTATTTTAGTCATAAAAAATAGTTAGGCATTTGTAGATTGATTATTTTATAAAAATATAATTCCTTTGATGCATATATACATAAAGTATGGTGAATATTAGATAGATAACTGTGCATAGAGAGAAATAAAAATAAAATAAAGAGATCTACATGCAAATAAATCTTTCGACAGCTTTGAAATTTTAAATCATTCAAAGTGTAGTATTTAAAACAGAAACTTTAACTTTTCTAGTTACAAAAACACACATCTACTTTTTTTTTTTGATACTTTTTGATTAAGCATAGACGTATTTCAGAAGTAACTCTTTAAGATTATGTCAGCAGGGGTTCTAGACACTCCTGTGGAAAAACAAAATGGGTTGAAAGCTAATGATCTATAATAATGGAATTATCAAATGTACAATGACTACCTAAGGAAATGAGCAGATGAGATTACAATATGTAAGTTCGAGAAATACCCAATCTAGCTGTCTGGCTCCTCTGGGTTAGAAAAATAATAAAACTCCAATGGGGAGGAAAGGAAGTTGGAGATAAAGATTGACTTGATCTCGTGATCGGATTAGGGACAAGGGATAAAGTAAAATTTGCTCTTCTTCTTGAAGCACGGGTGCTGCAAATGACCTGCTGTAAAAAGCAAGTAGCAAGGCAGCTCGGGGAAATATAGCCTAAAATTGAATAATGGTCCCTGTAACCAACTCATGCTAGGTGCTTATTAATTCTAATTAGCAAAATTAAAACCATCTCATAAACGTATTTTATTTTTAAAAAATATATTTTATTGATTTTTTTTCACAGAGAGGAATGGAGAAGGATAGATAGCTAGAAACATCGATGAGAGAGAATCATCGACCAGCTGCCTCCTGCACACCCCCTACAGGGAATATCCCCACAACCAATATACATGCCCTTGACAGGAATCGAACCTGGGACCTTTCAGTCCACAGACCAACGCTCTATCCACTGAACCAAACCAGTCTTGGCTCATAAACATATTTTATAAGAAAGAAAACATGAGCTTATAAAATGTTGAAATTATAATTTTACATTGCAGAAAGAATTGATAATTCCCAAAGAAATACCATTTTTCAAGCGATATAGGTAGGAGAAAAAAAAATGAAGAAAAGGAACCTGAAAGGGAATGGGGGAAGGAAAGCAGGGAGGCCCACAGAGAATGAAAACAGGTTGAATGGTAAGGGAGAAATTGTGGTTCAGGGGAAAATTGTACCAAAGAGGTGCCTTTACTTCTCAAAAATGTTCCTCTTGGAATGACTAATCCAAAAGGATATGGAGATCTTTCTTTCTTTTTTTTTTTAGTTTGCTTTTTATCTGCAGCTAGACACTTTCTAAAATGCATTTAACTAGTATTAACTATTCTTGGGATAATCATTCTTGTCCTTCTGAAATAAAATGCATATTAAAATACCATACCAATAAAATCAGATCAAACATTCATATCCATTATTTCAATTAAAATTTTTAAATCAGAAGTTTTTTATGATATTTTAAAAATCGTATACCATATATATTTTCTTTGCCTCTCTTATACATCTTGGAAAACTATAGGAAATGGTATTTGATAGGTGTTTTCATTTCTAAGCCAATATGGTGGATAGATAATGTGTAATTCAAAAACAAATTTTACATTACTGATAGATAAATCATCACTTTATAAAAATATCATAAAAAAATTCTACTTGCCCCTAAAAACTTACTCCTGTTCTGAAAGCTTCTGAATTTTACATTTAAAAATATGTTATAGTCCTACAGCTGAAAACAATTCTGAGACCAGAGTTTATTAAAATAGCCTAAAAAACATGAACAAATTAGTTCTGACCCTGCTTATTTTGTGTTTGATTTGTTAGATCTGATCACTGATCTCATGGAATTAATAGGAAAGATAGGAATTTTACATCATTGAATAGATTTTATTGCAGAATAAAATATCTACCTATTTATATTGTTTTTAAATGCCATTTATATTTTTATATATGCAATAAACAAATATGCTTGTAAGATCTGTGGTTACATTTAGGTCCAGAGAACTTTTTAATTCAAGCTATAGTAAGGCATCAACTCAATGAAAGATGAATTTTGTCATTTAAATTCACTGACTTTTATATTCTTTTTTTCTTAATATTTTTTTTATTAAATTATTATTTTTGTACATATACCAATGCCCCCCCCCCACCTCCCGTAAAAGGAACATTCTGGGAAGGGTTATGTAGAGGAAATTATCAGGATTGTATGACAACTTCACTGATGTAAAATGCAGTGTGTAAGAACTTGCCACATGAAGAGTTATGGTGTCTATATTTCTGAAGCTCATAGATGAATGAGGAATAATTTAGTTATTGGGTTGTAGGTCAAAACTGGGGAATAATATTTAAAAGTGTGATCTGGTCTACAGTAAGTGTCCAAATAAATAATTATTGAATGAATGAACCTATAAACTCAGAACTTGATTGTATCTTTCTTAGGTTTGCTCCAATAGGTTATTTTGATTTTAATCCAAAGAAAACTTAGTACTCATAGTTTAATAATGAAAAAAAAAAACACCCTAATATGTCTTCACTGTGATACAAAATGATTAACATTTAATTTTTAAAACCTGCTTTAAATTAGCCCAATACAAAGTTAAGATTAAAATAAGTGTCCTTGTCAATACACCTAAGATAAGATATCCCCCTATACTTATGAAACTATTTTTGAATATAATAACAAATTTATCTCTTCTCTTCTCTTCTCCTCCCTCTCTCTCTCTCTCTCTCTCTCTCTCACTCTCTCTCTCTCTCTCTCTCCATTTATTTGCTTCTAAAACCACAAGCAAGTTATTTTTCTTCCCTGAATTTCTCTGTTTTATCTGTATCATGTAAACCATAATACATGCTTTTCTGACTGAAGTGATGGGAAAGTCAAATAAACTCCTTTATGTGATTCTGTAAACTATAAAATGTAATCTAAAAGTAAGGTGTATTGGCAAAGAAGCATGTAGAACAAGGTCAGTGTAAAAGGGTTGTGGTGCTCTGAAACCGGTTTGGCTCAGTGGTAGAGTGTTGGTCAGTGGACTGAAAGGTCCCAGGTTCGATTCCGGTCAGGGGCATGTACGTTGGTTGCGGGCACATCCCCGGTAGGGGGTGTGCAAGAGGCAGCTGGTTGGTATTTCTAGCTCTCTATCACTCTCCCTTCCTCTCTGTAAAAAATCAATAAAAATATATTTTTAAAAAAGGGGGAGGGGGGGTCATGGTGCGATGGTGCTTCAAAACAAGTTCTAGCTGAAATCGTAGAGCAAATGCATGAGGAAGTAGAAAGGCTTTTACATTAATTTGGGCTTTTATTACTGGGTTGAGTGAATTGTGTAATAGGTATATGAAGAACCCCTTTATAACTAGTCTTACTCATCATTAAAATCTATCTGTAATTAGATGGATCAATAAAATAAAATAAACAGAAGTATTGGAAGACAAATGTAGGGTTGTCAACATGAAACTATCAGCAATATTACTATGTTGCCATAGAAATAAATTTTGACACCAAAAAGCTAGAAGATCGTAATCTCAGAATAAAGACTAGTCCTTCGAAGAAGAGACCATTGGTGATCTTACACCAACATTGATGAATGCATGGAAAGGTAACACTCAATAGATGTCTTTATTTTTCTCATAACATTAAGAATCAAGTAAAGCCTCATTAAAATCACCAGAGTTCCAGCCCAGCCAGTTTGGCTCAGTGGTTGAGCACTGACCTAGGAAGAGGCCACAGTTCGATTCCTGGTCAGGGCACTGTCATTTGAAAAACCGCTGGATGATGAACAGTGAGGCTATTTGCAAGCTTGAAGTTTGGGGGTTCTGTTGCTTTGCTCATCACATTTTACCAATAAATCCCAGCAGAACCCACGCTTCTACATTTGCCCTTGTTTTTGTCAGTAGAGAAGCTCTTCTCTTCCCCTCTATAGCATTGTAACTTCATCCTGGCTAATTCAGAAAGCTTTGATTACACATCCAAGCTCTGTCCTTAAAGAGTAAACAAGACTTATTCCACTATTTCTGAGACAAACATTAAATAAAAGTAGGACATCTAGACCCTGGACTACCAGAAAGATGAACAAATTTCTATTTTCTATAGAAATTAAGCCTGAAACATCACTGTAGGCAAACATGACAAAACTGAAGCTGTCTCACTGCAGGCTTCTCATAAGAGGACAGGTTTCTTTGGAAAAGATAATAATGCTGGGGGGGGGGGAAGACGGCAGCAGGAAGAGAGAAATGAAAGAAGCTGTAGACATGAGTCTTCAGGAGCTGAGCAGAGCTGCTGAGGGCAGGGTATTGTAGAAATCACTCATTCTTTTGTTTTTAAATATATATATATATTTTATTGATTTTTTACAGAGAGGAAGGGAGAGTGATAGAGAGCTAGAAACGTCGATGAGAAACATCGACCAGCTGCCTCTTGCACACCCCCTACCGGGGATATGCCCGCAACCAAGGTACATGCCCTTGACCGGAATCAAACCCGGGACCCTTCAGTCCTGGCAATGCTCTATCCACTGAACCAAACCGGTTTTGGCGACATCACTCATTCTAAAAGATGCCAGAGGCCACAGCCAACTCAACGACACATATCAACAAGGACATTTGGTTATTAATTATTCTTTAACATATAATATTATGGGAATATATGTACTTAAAGAATATTCATAGATTTTTAAAAAATTTTTTAACTTACTGAATACGACCAACATCAACAAAGACATGGAAGCCACTGACTAACTTGATTTTGCCTTTACTTATACTTAGGACATGAAATACATCTGTGAAAAAAGGGGTGGTTTCTTTGACCAGTTTTTAAGTATACCATTAAAATATCCTATTATCTTTTTAAAAATCTAAATGTAATGCCCACACAATAAAATGCATACATTTTAAATTATTTAATTTGATTATTTTTGACAATGGTATATATCCATGTTACAACCAAAACTAAAACATAGAATAGTTAGAGCCTCATCTATTTTCCTGTCACCCCACAGTTCGTGCCAGAGATAATTTTTTTTTTAATTTCCAACACCAACTAATAGATTAGTTGTTTTTCTTTTATTTGAATGTAAGCAGACAATATGTATTCTTTTCTGTTGGGTTGCTTCTTTCTCTACATAATGTTTTTGAGATTTATCCACATCATTGGAGGTTTCAGAAGTTCATTCCATTTCATTATTTATAAAATAACTAGAGGCCAGTGAACGAAATTCATGCACAGATGGGATGACTAGGCCTGGCCAGCAATCAAGGCCAATCAGGTTCCCTGCCTCCCCACTTCCTCCTTCCCGCACCACCCGCCCCCAGTTCCCCATCCCAGCCTGGGGCCTGGCTCTGATCTGGTGATCAGGGCCTGCCAGTCAGGGGAAGAAATAGGGGGAGGTTAGCCACCTGGCCCCAAGGAGAGAGCCAGCCCTTGGGCTCCTCCAGGGTTGGGGGTGAGGTGTGGAGGGACCAGGAGGTTGGCTGACAGGCCCCATCAGCAATTGGGGCCTTCGGCCTGGAGGCAGCTCCTGCATTGAGCATCTGCCCCCTGGTGGTAAGTGTGTGTCATAGTGACCAGACCTTTCAGTTGCTCCATAGTAAAGGTTAGTTAGGCTTTTATGTATACAGATTTATCAAAAAGAAACTATAGTATTGCCTTTTGAAGGAGAAAATATAAAGAACTCCTATAAATCAATAACAAAAAAGACAAATGAGCCAAACTATTATTATGAAAGAAACTGATATGAATTTGTTGTGAACTTTTTTATTCTAACATAAATTTTTATTCCTCTTAGGTAAATGTTAAGGAGTAGAATTGCTAGGTCAGAGGGCAGATGAATATAAGTTGTAAAAAACCTGCCACACAGTTCTACAAAGTGGTTGTGCTGTTTTATACATCCACCAACAATAATTAGAATTCCATTTGGTCTACAACATATGATATGGTCTGTCTTTGTGATTTTAACTATTCTAGTTGGTGTGAAAAAGTGGTATTTTATTGTGATTTTAATGTGCATCTCTTCATGTCTAATGGTGATGAACACTTTTTCATGTACCTAATGATCAATTATATACCCTCTTTTGTGAAGTCTCCAAGTCATTAGTTATTTTCTTTAGCAGGCTGTCTTTTTGTAATTGATTTGTAGGAGTTATTTGTATTTTTAAGATTCAAGATCTTTATCTTATGAGTTGAGATTGGCTTTTCCCAAAGGTGGTTTGCCCTTTCATTTTTAACTAGTGTTTTTAGAAAGCATAACTTTTTAAATTTGATAGTGTGCAAGATGTGACTGATATCGACCAGGGACTTCTCTAGTCTCAATTTCCAGTCATAGGGTATATTAATCTAACTGCATTGTTTTGGATAATATCCAGTTAAGCTAAAAAGGAGAGTCATGGATATTTATCATTTTGAAAGTCTTCCTGGATGAGGCAAATTTTGTTGTCATTATTTGACCACAAGTCATCCTTCGTTGAGTGACCCTTTGTTCAACATGTCTGGCTTCATAATCATCAATGTCTCTTACAGAGTCACAGGTCTGAAGCGACCAGACCTTTCATTGCTACATAGTTTCAAATCAATAAGCAGGAATTCTTATTTAATTAAAAAACGATAGAGCCTGCAATGCTGCTGACTCAGAAGAGATCCTTCTGATTTTCTCCAAGAGACTGAGACAGAGAGAGGCTAGACAATAGATATGTGGCAATGGTACTGTTTTACCAGGAAAAAGCTACATCAAAGGTCAGCCCCGAATCCATCCTGAACTACAGAACTCTCTCTGGGCTCCTAAAACAAAGCCAGGTAGTGATTAGACAACACTTGAGTGAATGAAGCAACCAACCCTGCAATTCCATGAAAAAATAAAAAGACAACAGGAACAAAAAATCAGTCAAATGTAGAAGGTTTCTTACTGTTCCCTGCAAGCTCGGGCAGCTGCGTCCCATGAGCCTCTGGGTGCTGTGATCAGGGAGTGGCAGTATCCGGAATGAGGGTGCCACTCGGCTGGACAGGATGGGTCTCCCACCACCTGAAAAACAGTGTCTGTGTTCACATCACAATGGTCTTCACAATCTAGAGTCTGTTCTTGGCATAAAGCATCCTAGGAGTCCCTTGAATAGATTAGTTTTGTCACCAAAAAAGGTCAGCCCTAATCCCAATTCTACACCTTCAGAAATGCAAGGGCTTCCTATAGAAAACATGACTAAAATTAGCAATATTTCAATTTTATACCTCTGATAGTCTGATAGTTATATAAGTGCTTCTTTTTTTTAATGTATTTTTATTGACTTTAGAGAGGGAAGGAGATAGAAATATCATTGATGAGAGAGAATCACTTATTGGCTCCTTCCTGCACACACACCTCCACTGGAGATCCAGCCCGCATCCCAGGCATGTGCCATGACCAGGAATCAAACCGTGATCTTCTGGTTCATAGATTGACTCTCAACCACTGAGTCACACCAGCCAGGCAACATGTGCTTCTTAAATTGTAGTGCTATATCTAATGTATTTTCCTTTTCTCAAATTCTAAAATTGTATTGATATATCTAATGTATTTTGTGATTTAAATTCGTCTTTTTTAATTGCAATAATATAACTGGTATATTTTGTGATTTTTAAAATGCTACTTAGGCTAATTTCCCCCTCTTCTCCTTCTAAGTGCAATGAGAGCGGGCAGACGTAGCGTGAGTTGACAGATGATTTCCTCTTTGTTACTTATCAGAGGGCACACTGCATCTAGAGGTATTGGGCTGCTCAGCCTGAGCCCCACCTTGGTTTGGGGGCTCCAAGCTTTCCAGATGATCCCATCGCACTTATACAGCTTTTGGAGGCTTTCTTCAAAATGGAAGAGCCCGTTCAATTCCAGCGTGCAGTTCTTTGGGAATGAGGGCAAACGGCTCTGTGGGAAAGAAAGGCCATTGAGATTTGACTTAATGTCTGCTGATCGCATACCCAGCCCCTTTAGGTCCTCATTGGTTGAGTAGCATTTGTGTTGAGTAAACTATACCCAAACTTGAAGGCTATTGTATAGCCCAGGAAACAGCTAGTTATAAGGTGAGTAAGGATTAAAAAGATTCTCATACCTGTCTGGGGAAGTGTGAGTGGGGTGTGGATTCCCCTTTATCTGCTTGAGGTCCTTCTGCCGCTTTGATTGCCTTTTGTGGTCCACTAATCATGGGCACTTTGGTCTTCCTTCTGTGAACTGGGGAACTGTCATCCTCCAGTTGCAGGGAAACTATTCCATGATACTGAGGAAACCAATACACAACAATTCAGAAAAAAATAAGCACCACGGTAGCAAACAAAAACATTTATTGTAAAAATGAGCCATTCAAAAATTGGATAAAAACTAAAAGGTATTTTTTTTCCTGACCACCCAAGCCTCCGGGACAAATACCAAACCAGGTGTTTAAGATAAATGAATGTAAAACATAAAAAATAGATTTACTATTTTGCATCCACAAACACAAGAAATTTAGCGATTCTCTCAGACTATGCTTACATTATAGATAATGTCTGTTCCATTTCTGTAAACAGAGGATGGACGGACCTACGACCAACAGAGAATACAATATGAACAACATTGGCTTGAATAATAATTAGCAATCAGTTAAAACCTTTCCAGTCAGATCTTGTTAATGTCTGAAAAATTTTAAAACATCTTTCTCAAGATTTTCCATGTCCCAATCATTGGAATTTTAAAAATCGCTGAATCTAATTGTAGCTTATCAATGTTGATTCATATATTCATAGCCCCAAATAGGGAGAAAAGACATCCTTATCTTGTTGGTATGCCTATAGTGCACACCATCCAAGAAAACATGCACACTCACTCTCTTTCAAATACACATGCGCGTGCGCGCGCGCACACACACACACACACACACACACACACACACTAATGAATGTGTGTCCGGTTAGACTGCTGTGCAAATAAGGTCAAAGCCATGGTTTCCACCCACATTCAAGCAGATTGCTTGATCTCATTCTGCTTCAGGGTCACTGGTCATTTCTTGATTACAAAAGAAACCGAAGCAGACATTATATGGGTGAGCCTGTATGTCTGTCACCTCAATTAGCATAATTAATGAAGTGGGACAGCATTAATGCCGTTTGTATACAGAAGGCACTGCATGATTGCACAAGGAACCATGGTCTCCATTCACTACAAGAACCAAAACAGTTTCTTTGTGCTAAGCAATACTCGTGAACATCTTTTGACTTTTTAATATGTACCCCGCACATCAAATCCCAGGAGGTCCCCAGCCTTACTGTTTTGCCATTCCCTCGGCTTCTAAGCCTCATTCCATAAACATCTGTAGAGTCAAAGCCCTGTGGGCCGTCTCCCCTGGCGACTGCTGGCCGCTTGGAAGATGGAGGAGGTCTTCTTTCCAGATGGAAGGAACCAGCCATGGTGGGGAAGGAAGACCCTGGGGATGGCGGGTGCCAAGAGCTCTTTTTCCAGGCGTGGTGCTTGCTTGGGTTGAAGGAATATGGAGGATGGCACCGTCCTGGAGGCGGGCAAGATGGCAGGTCAGTTCATTCATTTACACAAACAGATAAGTGATCACATCCACCCAGCCCCTGCGGCAGCTTGTCAGGACACTCAGACGGATGGTTTTCCCACCAGATGTTGCCATTTTGCCATTTGCCAGAAAATCCTTTACTCCTCATCAGTTTCCGTCCAGGAAAGCAGTGCCCTTCTGCACATCTACAGGGAGATTGCAAAGCCATGAAATTGATTTCACAAACCACAGATGAAAATCCTTGTTGTGGTTTTAGAATCCTACTTGTACACTAACGGTCTCACTGCCATTCCTATTACAGCTCTTCTCAATACCTCATGGTTAGCCACTGATCAAGCATCCTTCCATGAAGTGTCACCCTTCCCCCAATCTCCCAAAGGAAGAAACCGGAATTGTGTGAAGATAGCAGTGAAATCAAGGAACAATTACAAAAATGAGCATTCATCTGCTACAGAGCAAAGGTCCAGTGAGTCTTAATGGAGCTACTTCTATTGGAAATGTTGCCAAGTAGTATGAAAAGAATCTAAATCCAGAACAGGCATCTGGATATGTGATACTTCCTGTGAAAAGTGTGCGCTTTGTGTATTTTATAGTCTTAATGTGATCAGAAAATTCTACTGAAAAGGACATGAACCTGGTGAGGAAAAGTGGTGGGGAGAGATGTTGTAGAAATATGAGTAATATAAGAGAAAGATAATCATACATATTTTTATTATAGGATGACAAAGAGAAGAGGAGATAATAGATTTAAAGTAAGAAAAACATATGCACCATAGAGCATAACAGGTCTAAAAACATAGGACTCTGAGCTAGCATGGTAACTAGACAGTTATCAAAGGCAAAATACACAAATAAGAATAAAGTATTTGGCAGGGAGGAAAAAAAAAAAAAAACAACAACAACCCAAAGCCCCAGAAACTTTGGCAGGTCTTTGTTTTATTTAGTTCACAGGTTGTTTTTTTTAGCATCTACTACCCAGGACCCATTTGGCTCTGCAATCCAAGGTTATTCATTCATGCTCTCCCGCTGCTCTTGCATCCCCAAGCCAGCTGCCCCTCTCCCGTCTATTTCTCTCCCATCCCTTCCTCTTTCAGGCCTTTCCTGGTCACCCTCCAGTGGGGACTCCGATTTTCTTGGGCTTTCAGAGCTCTCTTTAGCAGAGCAAGATAATTACAGCTTTCCAGACCCTGAGGGAAAATAATTGTTGGTAGATTCTCACCAGCATCGTTTCCCCCTCGGTGAGAACAACAAACGGGCAGGGGGAGAAAAAAAAAAAAAAAAAAAAAAAAGAACTGCGGCACTGACTTGTTGCTTTTCTGAAACCACAGTTCTTAGCGGGAGGAACACCGCATGAAGCGGAGGGCAGAATAGAGGGCCCGCAACCACCACCGAGGTGGCTTTCTTGACAAGAAATTAAGCATTTTTGATGTGAAGGCGTTATCCTGCACCCTGGCTGTGGAAAGCGAAGCAGCCGCAGTGCGAGGACCGCTTCTGATTTCGGGATGAGGATCAGAAAGAATACCTCCTTTGGAGTCCAAAATTTTCACTGCGGCTCTTGTCTTTATGCCAAGAACCGCGTTCACGGGGGAGTCCAGAATGACTTCAAAGGCCTCGTCGTCTTCCTCTAATCCGTCATAGGTAATTGCTATATTCCACATCTTGGTTGACATTCCTACAAGAAGTAAACATTTTAATTACTCTTTAATTGCTATTTCAATCACCTAGGTGTCAGGGAAATATATTAATTAACATGTCTCCAGCTCCACGGCAGTGGCCTGAGTGAGCCATTGTGCGGCTCCCAGCTCCCCAAAGTCCTGCTGTTCTCCCAAATCATATTAAAAGACCACATTTGTTCCCGGACAATGATGATTTCATTTAAATGCAAACACTGTAACAAAAAAAAAAAAAGTAAGCTGCATTTTGCAAGGGATGAACAAAAAAATGGTTAGTAGATGAGAGCCAAGATTTCATTCCATCTCCCCCCCAACCCACCCCCCACAACCTGCCTCTTCTCTATTTAAGAATAAACAAGTACTGCAATCTTAAAAGCTCACCAGTTTCAAAAGTCTAAAGACGTCGGTACAGACAGTTTTAAGTGATTATTGGATGGTACTTGGTGCTATTCACGGAGCCCTTGAGAAATGATTGATTTCTCAAGACAGCTGCCTCCATGGGCCACCCCACTTCCTGGGCTCTTCCTAGTCTGCAAATGCTCTTTCTGATGATGTCAGACTCATATCCTCCTAGAGAGAGTGTATGGGCTGGGAATCCTAGAAATAGACCGAGCCAATTTGTTTTTTTCTTTTCTTTCTGTCTGCCTCAGTTGAAGGAGTGACAATCAAGTTTGGTTTACGGTAAGTTTGTGAATTTAATACTAAACAGTTTTGATGTTTCAAACACATTCCCAGCCATCCAGGACACAAAGCAACCCAGAAACACAAACCACGAGAGCTAGAAGAAATCGCGGAGATGGGCAAATCTTGACCAGTTTCTATGATGTAGACCACAGGACAGGCGCTTGAGTTTATTTAGAAGAAAAGTGGTGGCAGCAAGAAAAAAAAAACAAACAGTACTGTTTAGTGAGGAAAAAAAAGGCTCAAATTAAGGGGGAAAGAAAAGATAATAAACTTATACTGTTAACCTCCTAGGACTAAGTTTTGAAAACTTGACTCCATCCTTGTCTGATTGGCTATCGAAGTGCCTGTATCCCCATGCATTTCACCTACATCTCCCTCCAGGTGCGCATTTCATTCCTCGCCTTCTGGGAATCTGAGTATGTGGCGCCTTGCAGACTGTTCTCAGGCTGTGCCTCTCAAGTGTGCCATCTGCACCTTGGCACCCTTCTTGAAGGCATTCAATATAGATCTCCCGAGCTAATGGAAGGCTCATTAATCCCCAACCGAGTTCAATGGAAAGTTGAAACTGTTAACTTATGCTACTCCTGGCTGCACTCAAAAAGAAAAAAGTAAGTGTATTTGAAATAATTTTATTAAAAAACAAAAAAACAGGCTGATGGCTAATTAGTTAGGTCTTCAATATCAGCTGAGTTCTTCAATCAGTTACTTTCACAGTCTTGCAAAAATAGATGCTGAAATAGAAAATATAAAGTCTCATCACATGGATGGATAAATCAGTCCATCAAAGTATTTTATTTTGTATCTATTATGTACTTGCCTTCGCATTCGATGCTACGGGAAACACCAGAGATGTCATCTAAGCAGACCTGACATAAAGAAATTTAAAACCTCTTTGGAAAGGCTCAAGTTGGAGGGGGAAAGGAAGGATTTGGAGGGAAGACATGGGAAAACAACACATGCAGAGGCAGGAAGACAGCGAAGAGAGCCTTGCCCAGGGAACACTGAGCAGATGAGCTGCAGGCATAGAGATGTCACCAAGGTGAACAGGGGGTGACAGGACTGCAGTGGGAGTTTTTTGTTTGTTTGTTTGTTTTTTAATATGTTTTTATTGATACCAGAGAGAAGAAGGGAGAGGGAGAGAGATAGAAACATCAATGAGAGAGAAATATTGATTTGCCGCCTCCTGCATGCCTCCTACTGGGGATGGAGGTGCAACCTGGGCATGTTCCCTGACCTCTTGGTTCATGGGACAGAGCCCAACCACTGAGCCACACTAGCGAGGCTGCAGTGGCAGTTTCTAGTCAGACTGCAGAGAGCCCTGAACACTAACTTGGTGGCCAGTCTCAGTCTTTAAACCACAGGCAACAGGGAAGACTCTTGAAAATGGATGTCTTTAAAAAAAAAAAAAAAAAAAAAGGAACTGAAACTGTGGCTGGGAAGATTTAGGGGTCCAGGCAGAGGGGTTAAAGGGTAGGAGACCACGTGGGCAACAACTATAATGAACCTGGCATGAAGAAATGAGAGGCTGGACAATGAAGAAAAAATATAATACAAGATTTTTACTATTTACAGAACTGTTTTTGACTCTCCAAGCCCATAGAGTTAAGCATTATTCAAATAAAATAAAAAATAAAAAATTTTTTAAAAAGCATTTCCAAACCTTATGGAAGGTCCTTTTATTTTAAGAATATTTTCTTTGGAGTAGAACCAGATGGTTAAAGAAAAACTATTCCCAGTTTTATTGAAGTGCTTCTGATTTGTTTGCCTGCATTTCCACTTTGTTTCTATGCTGAGCAGGTGTGCACTTAGGACTGACTGTTTTAGGTTAATAAGATTGGAAGTAAGAACTTTCTTGTTTTTGCGTTTTCCTTCCTTTCTCACTTTCAAGGTGAAAAGTATTCGTTAAATTGCGGAGATTATAAGCCATTTCAGAAGGCTTGAACTGGCCCATAGAACAAAAGGTGTGGAAGAGGAGGGGAAGGTGTCATTTTATGCAGAAGTACTCCACTCCACAGGGCAGGCCTGTTCCTGGCGAGTTTCCTGCAAAGTAGATTTCACCAACAGAAGACATTTTTCTCCACGTTTTCCAGGGAATGCCACATGAGAGATCTGTTCCTTTGGAAAACATTTTGACTCTTGGGAATAATGAAGTCTCCATTAAGAATGGATTTTAGGGGAAAACAATCCCTTTATTATGAATATGTATACTTTGACTCAAGATTAATCACCAAAGCTGGATGCAAAGGAGTCAGGATTTGTTTTTCCATCTGGTCCAATGGCTACAAAGGCAAGCCTACTTGAACATAGCTCCCTAGCCCAAAAAAATCCCTCAGTTTCCCTCCAACTGCCTTCCAAAACCTCTGTAACCTTATATTATAATACCCACTGTCCTTGATTTTTGCACTCTCCATTTCTTCTCCATCACGAGACGGCTGTTTTTGAAGACATGAACAGATTGGTTGGGCCAAAGGGCTAGGAACAGCTTTTCTCACAAAGTGTGGTCAGCCCATGGGACAAACTTTGCAAGTCAGAAACTTAGATGTCACAGGAGGGAGGCCAACCACTCTGGCTTGTTGCCATGTAAACTTAAGGCTCGTGGTGATAGGTTCAATTTTGTCACCCCAAAATTCAGTACCTAATCCTCAGTATCCCTGAATGTGACCTGATTTGAAAATAAAAAGGTCTTATAAAAAAATGGGGGGAGGAGGATTTGAGCAGAGACACCCGTACGAGGAGGATGCCAACATGGACATGAAGACAGCTGAAACCGGAGATTGACAACGATTCTACAAACCACTGGGACAGTGGTCGGCAAACTCATTAGTCAACGGAGCCAAATATCAACAATACAATGAATGAAATTTCTTTTGAGAGCCAAATCAAATTTTTTTTTCACCTTAAACTTCTTCTAACGCTGCTTCTTCAAAATAGACTCGCCCATGCCGTGGTATTTTGTGGAAGAGCCACACTCAAGGGGCCAAAGAACCACTTGTGGCTCTCTATCCGAGATTTGCCGACCACTGCACTAGAACATGGAAGAGAGTCAGAAAGCAGGTGTTCTCTCACAGCCCTTGGAAGGAATCAACCTGCCAAAACCTTGACCTGGGAGAAAATCAATTTCCATTTTTAAGGCTTGTGATTCTTTGTGAGGGCAGTCCCAGCAAATGAGTAGAGTGGCCAACATCCTGCTTCCTGTAACAAGCTGCAGAAAAACATTTCTTGTCTATGTTTAACATTACAGTCATCGATTTCAGAGTGCTGATGGTATTTTTTTCAGCCATTTCATTTTGCCTTTGCCATAGACATCATGTGTCAGTGGCAGACAACAGCAAGAGTTTGGACTTGCTGCGTGTTCTCTGAACACAGAACATCTCCTCTGCAGGAGCCCACAAAGCCCTAAGTCCTGGCTGCTTCTCAGGGCCTTTGCCCCTTGCCCCTGCACAGGTGATCCAGAGCAAAGGGGAGGAGACAGAACCACGCAGAGCAGTGAGGAGCGCTGCCTGCCCCACCTACGGACGCCAGGGAGGGAAGGCATGGCTCCAGCTTCAGTGCTTAAGACACAGTTCCCCCAAAGGGTGGCTGCATTTCAAGTCCCTTCTTCTTATTCCACCTGCTCAGAATTCTGGGAAATATTCCAGGGTTTTCTTTAGCCAGAACAAAGACTCATCCTTTGGGTCCCAATGTACTGTGGGCGAGTTGCTTTCATGTCTGTATTTCCCACATGACAGAACATCCTGAGAGCAGGCGGCTTATTTTTTATATCCCCTTTTGGACCTAGCAAAATTTTTTCACAGATTAGATGCTAAATATGTGCTATCTAATTAAATAATAATTTCCTTTGGAATGTCCTCCTATCAACCTGTTCCAATAGAAATCATTTAGAAATGACCTTTAGGAATCCACGGGAATATAACATTTTAAAAGTTTCCATCAAAATAAGAGACAACTTTTTTAAAAGGAAAAAGGAAAGGATGAAACAATTAAATTATCCCAGCTTTAAATAATTTTAAAAGTGACATCACTTTTTTTTTCTGGATATTTAGATGTTTTCTTTGGTATGTTTTATTCTCTATTTGTTACATCTCATTTTTAAAAAACTTTTTAGATTTATAGAGAGAGAGAAAGGGAGAGAGAGAACATCAATGTGAGAGCAGAACATAGAGCTGCTGCCTCCTACAAGCCCCCTGTCATGGATGGAGCCTACAACCCCAGGCATCTGCCTGACCGGGATTTGAACCAGTGACCTTTTGGTGTGTGGAATGATGCCCACCAACTGAGCCACCCTGGCCAGGGCTGTTATGATCTTATTTTAAATACATATTCACTTATAATAAAATAAAACATGAGGGGCAAAACTTCACGTCCAAATTGATCTCTCTTGCAGTGGGTGATATGGTTCTCTGAGAAGTTTCTAGTTGGCTGAAGTTGCACAATGTTCTGTCTTCTCCCAAATCTTTAGACTTTCTTACAAAAACATGAAATAAGCTGTAGACACAAAACGTACCTGGGTCAAACTGAATCAGTTTAGATCGAGTCATTGTAAAATCTTTTCCAACTGTAGCTGACACTTGGTTGACCTAAAAAGGAAAAATATGTCCTTTTTAAAATAAAAATAAATATTCTGTAATAGAGAAACCTCTAGTCTAGACTAAACTCACTCTTAAAATATTTTTAACATAATATGTGTGTTTTTTATTATAAGAAACCATTTTTGATCCAAGCTCCATAGATCTGCCCTAAAGTTAACGTTTTTATAAACTAATATCAATGGACGTAAAACTTTTTTTTTCTTCTTTAAAAATAATTCAGTTATTGGAGAAAGTACCATGGATTTTAAACAATATTTTTCTCTTTGTTATGAGTGGGACTTTATTTCATTACTTTCCCTTTACCCCAGCCTTGTTCTAAAATAATGCCTCAGGGGGAAGGGAGAGGGAGTGGAGAGAGGAAGACATCCAGGTGGCCCTGACAGCCTGGTGCTGATGGTGCAGCCAGTTCTGAGGCCTCCTGTGAGCTCCAGGGCCCTGGAAGCCTGTAGATGGGATGCATTAAAGCAATTCTGCTCCATGTTCCTGTCTGAACGACTCCATCCCTCTTCATAGACATGAATGAGGGCTTTGTGGGGATGAGAGACCTGGTGAGCAACACCAGAAAGGCAATCTACACCCTGAATTGAGAGGTTCTATCAAGTAAGATGCAAAACAAAACAAAACAAACAAACAAAACAACAACAAAAAAACACATCAAAAACAAAACACACACACACACACACACAACACAAACACACACACACACAACACAAAAACTGCTCTAATTTAAGGAGACTGTTGATTGATCTGTTCCCCCTACCTACAGCTGAAAACCAGGGTGATTTAAGGGCGCTAAAGCCATGGCCTTCACTTCCTTCAGAAGGAGCATACACATGCATGGTAAGAACAGAGCCCTTGGCTAAAAGAGAGGGCAGTGGTGAGAACCCTGTGGAAAGCACAGGCAGCTGCTGCATTTGCATTTTTCAGATGTTTCAGATGGTCAGGAAAGTGGGCTAATATGTTCCCTCACTTTGTTACCAAGGAATAAAAGGCGTGATGAAAAATTCTAACAGGCCAAAACCAGTTTGGTTCAGTGGATAGAGCGTCGGCCTGCGGACTGAAAGGTCCCAGGTTCGATTCCGGTCAAGGGCCTGTACCTTGGTTGATGGCACATTCCCTGTAGGAGGCAGCTGATCGATGTATCTTTCTCATCGATGCTTCTAACTCTCTATCCCTCTCTTCCTCTCTGTAAAAAAAAAATCAATAAAATATATATTAAAAAAAAAAAACACCCTCTAACATTCTGATCTCTATGGCCTCTGACATCATCTCCATCGCCAAAGGTCCCACCATCTGCCAATGGGTCTGCCATGGAAACATGTTGCTCAAGAAGACTATTACCTCCCTGAATCTCATTTGCTCAGTGCTTACAATGCCAGGGCTCCTCCTGAAGTCTCTCACCACGGAAAGGCAGCCCATGGTGTACCTGTACCCGCCATATGCCAGGAGTTGCATATCCCCGCATGCTTCTTGCATGTGCAATTACCTAGTATTTACCACCACTGAGATTACAGCGTGGGAAGGGGAATGCCCTGAGGCCAGGTGGGTGGAGAAATCAGTCCAGAGAAGGTGCCTGATGTAAACCAGGGCAAACAACCAGGTCAAGCGCTTCCCCTTTCCCTGCTCCTGGCCAGGTAGCCAATAAGCTCTGGTGTGAGGCACAGGCTGTGGGCTGTGGGTAGAGTCATCCCTGAAGGTGTCGGGACTGTCTGACGGAGGCCTGCACACTCAGCTGGCAGGCTCCACGTGTGCATTCACTTACGTAGACACAAGGTCCCATGTTCTTTCTACCTGGCAAGGGAGAGGTGGTGGGGCCCAAATCTCCAGACTCGAGCATATGGCGCTCTCTCTGGAGGACCAGAGGACGATTAGAAAACCATCCAAGCAGACTCTTTCCTTTTCCATCCACAGTCTGCTAAAAAATTACAGGGCCTTCCATGCTGTCTGATGTTTTACCAACAACAAAGCATCCGCAGTTCCGGGGCAAAGAACCGAGGCCCACTGGAATGATGGTGGTTGACTTTAAGTGCACAGGGTTCTGATCTGAATTTATGATTGTCATTGAGACCTAACTGAGATGTTATTTCCCCCAGAAGCTAAGCCCAGTGTCCCTTCATTAAATGGAGGAGGGCAGTGTTAAGGTGGTTGCTGTCATTAGTATGTAAAAGCTTTTCACACTTTCATTCTCTTGAAGTGCTACTGGGATAGCAACCCCTAAAAAACAAAAAAAAAAACAAAAAAAAACACCCTTCAATTCCAGAAGCCATAGACTGTTTCCAGATCCAAGTCAATGGAAAGAAATAGCAAATGGACTAATTCCAAAGGGATTACTGAAAATTCCAGGGTGTCTATATTGAAATATGCTCTCTTAATTTTGCATTTAAGACTTGGGGACTCTTAAGATAGGCTTAATTTTTCTTCCCCATGGAAACCGGAGGAAGTGATCCTGGTGCATCCTAAGAGAAGGCCATTTGGGAACTAAAACTGGCTCGGGGCACCCCACAGAATGTCTTGCCTACAATATTTCTTACTAAGGTCAAGTGTGACCCAAGTTCACTAGGTTGGTTATATCTCTCTGTGAAACAGACTTCAAGTCTTAATAACCAGATTTTAAAACTAAAAGTGGGCTGAACATATCCTATCTAGGAGCTATGAAGCCAGATAAAGGGAGACATAAGGAGATTCTGTACCTAAAACCAGCAGGTCATTGCTGACACTTCCACAGTTTAACATTTCCTTGGTTACTCTGACTTTTTTTTTTTTCCTAAGAAAACAAAGCCGAAACCGGTTTGGCTCAGTGGTAGAGCGTCGGTCTGCGGACTGAAAGGTCCCAGGTTCGATTCCGGTCAGGGGCATGTACCGTGGTTGCGGGCACATCCCCAGTAGGGGGTGTGCAAGAGGCAGCTGATCGATGACTCTCTCATCGATGTTTCTAACTCTCTATCTCTCTCCCTTCCTCTCTGTATAAAATCAATAAAATATATTTAAAAAAAGAAAAGAAAAGAAAACAAAGGCATCATCCAGCAATTTGCGTTTCAGCGGGACAGTTTACATGTGAGCGTCGTTACCTTCACACTCACAAAGGCCGAGTCCATGGAATAGCCCCTCCTGGTGATTTCCAAGGGTAACACGCCCGCGTTCTCACAGACCTCGTAGGCAGCCTGTGACCACTCAATGTGAGACCACTTCAGCTCCAGACTGCACAAAAGGAAGAGGGGAAATCATTAGAAGTGCAGACACTTGGCTGCCGGGGTCCTCTGCTGGGGAGGAGCTGGAACCCTGGTGATGGAAGTGGTTCATCAGCCTAAATCAATGCTAGAAATCCTTCCCCTTGTCTGCGGCATGTTAGCTCACAAAAAAACTTCTACTAACATCATCTCATTGAACGTTCTCTTACCAACACTGAGAGGTAGACAAAGAAACGATTGGAATCCTATTTTACAAATGCAGAAACCAAGGTTAAAAGACTATCGGGCCCTAAGCGGTTTGGCTCAGTGGATAGAGCGTCCGTCTGCGGACTGAAAGGTCCCAGGTTTGATTCCAGTCAAGGGCATGTACCTTGGTTGTGGGCACATCCCCAGTAGGGGGTGTGCAGGATCGGTGTTTTTCATCAATGTTTCTCATCGATGTTTCTAACGCTCTATCTCTCTCCCTTCCTCTCTGTAAAAAAATCAATAAAATATATATTTTTAAAAAGGCATCTCCCTGTAGTTGGGAAAGTGTCATTGTTTAAAAAAAAAAAAAAAAGACTGCTGGAGTTTCCACAGTATTTACTGACAAAAAGAAAAAGGGGGCACTCAATTGTGAGTTCTGAAGGGAAAGGAGCCAGCAGTTGTAGAGTTCAAGGAGACTCTCACTTTTGCAACAGACACTGATAGGAAACCTTTTCTCTTGGACCTTCCTCATCGGTACACCAACAACTGTTCCCAGCACAGACCTTTCTGAACTTGGGTTATGTTAAATAACAAAGTATCTTTGAGGATGTGCCTAAGAATAAGCATGTGCAGGAGTTGATAAGCAGCCTCTGCTTCCACGTCTGTGCGTTTAAAAGGGCCGTCCTAAGGTGTAGCCCAGACGCAGCTAAGCAATGGAGTAAAGCTATCAGAGGGCTACCTTTTCCCTGCAGTATCTGCAGCAAGCCCAACATTGGATAGAAACTGTCTCCTTTAATCTTCAGATGAAGAGAACCGTTTTTGTTTGTTTCCTTTTTCTTTTCTGAGCGCAAGAGATATTACATAACTACCTCAAAGACAAAAGGCTATGCCAAAGCTACTAGATAGCAGAGAAGTTCCCAGCCTAAATCTGAAGCCAACTGTTCCCCTCTCCCATTTTTCTCCCCAACTGAAGTTCATGACTCTTGTGTTTAAACTCACGCAGAAACATACAATTTTATCTTTATCCTGAAAGAGTTCCCCTTGCAAAGTTAGAAAACTTAAAATGTTCCGCCCAAACATTTCTCTCCAAACAGGTTACTTTTTACCCCCAGTAACCGTCAGCCATCTACAAGACACCAGCCATCTTCACTGTGATCATTTAACAGGCCCCCACGGCTTCTGTTTCGCTCATGTCCCTTTCATGCTACATTTACAAAACCCACAGCGGTTGCCTTACTGTATTTTCAAACTTCCCATTGGATTCAGGCTCTGGATTTGATTTTTGTAATCATTTTTTTTTTCTTGCAGAAGTAGGAATTCCAGGTGCCACCCTGTGAATGGCGTGTGGAGTTCTCCAACCCCACAGGGCTGTCCGGCTTTCCTGGGACCATTCCGATTAGAGAGTGAGTTTACCCTCTGATTACCACTCTATGTCCTTGCACCAAGCATGCGTCACAGTCATATCCTCTATATCAAGTTCACTAGCAAAATAAACGCCCTGGCATCGTCTCCTACTTCAGTGACCGTGGGCCAGTAGGACAGACGTGGGAGCTGGAATTATGGCAGAGGTTTGTGAATTTCTATGAGCATTGATGTTCATTTGTCAATAGAAATGTAGTGTTACTGGCATGCTGGACTTCATACAATTTTAACATAAAAATTTAAATAATATTGAAAACCTCATGGGTCTTTAATGCGCCTGAATTCAAATCTGGCATGAAACAGATGAAGAAATAAAGAAATAAATGATGATGCATTTTTAAAAATAGTACAAGATAACAAGCAACAAGGACATTACAAATGTCAATAGAAATAACATTCTATTCTTCGTCTTCTAATTAATTCTGTTACTATTCCATATAACATGTTGCAAAGAATTCCTGAAGGAACCAGCAAAGAGGTTGGGGGAAAAGACAAAAACCTGCAACAGGAGAGACAGAAAAGCAACGGGAACGTGTGCGATAGATAAACAGGGATACGTTTCAGCGGAGACTCAGCAAGGTTCAGATGCGAGTTCCTGTACAGGCTCCTGAAGGAGTAGCCATTGCTGACGCTCATCAGGACAAGCAGACATTTGTCCGTGTTGCTGTGCAGATCCAGAGACCTCCAGGCTTAATGCTAAACGCAGTTTGGGTGCTGGACTACATCAATAAAGGGCCTACACAGTGTGCTGTTCAGCTTCAAAGCATAAAGGGTCCTGGCATTTGGGGCGTGCCTGCATTTCCCTGATGCACCAGAGAATGCTTAGAGGTTCAGGTTATCATTACATCCTGTTCCATTTTATCTCCCGGAAAGGAGTCACTACACATAATAAAAATCTATTGAGAAGCCATTGAGCCACGCTATCCATTTTCCAGAAAAAAAAAAAAAAACATTTAAATTGTGAAGCACTTGTATACCTAGGAGAGGGTGTGTGCAACACATGTTTCAAACACTTTTTGGTGTTTACAGTACTTTATCTGAGAAGATCTTTCTATGCTGAGACTGTGGTTGCTTAAACTCTACACAAATGCCTGGAAGAAAAGTAAGAGGTGTTGTCAACCACGTGGGAATCCCCCCTGCTGGACACGCGCCCCCCTCCCCACCATGTGTGCTTGACAGCGGTAGATAACCAGATGCAGGAGCCCAGGAGAGAGACTGGGAAAGTTCTGGACGTGTGGCTGTCATGGAGACCAGCGTTGTTTCAAACCTGCCCCTTTAACAATCCCTCCTTTCCCTGTGACCGTTGAATAAAGCTCATGCTAAGGTAAGAAATGAAATTTCCGGCTACAGGTTTGCAAATCCCATATGGAAATCGTTCCAAGGCATGCAGCAGGGGATGAGAGCTCCTTTAGTGCCTGGGTCGGGGTTTCTCAATCTACACGCTGGGCATGTGGAATGTCATAATTCTTTTCTGTGGGGGACGGAGCTGTCCTGAGTACTAAGACATTTAGCAGCATCCCTGTCTTGAAAATCCAACTGCAGTGGCACCCACTCCCCTTCAGTCACGACAATCAAAACTCTTTCTAGACATTTCCAAATGTTCCTTAGGGGGAGTCATCCCCCGGGGAGGGATACTTAGCTGAGTGATTCAGATGCACTCATCAAAAGAGAAACTTCGACTTGGTATAAAAACTCCATGTTGGTTCCCCAAATCACTGCTGTGAATGGAAGTCACAGGATGAAGCAGGAGGAATTAAACTGGAATGTAAGCCATGAGGTGTCTGGTCCCTCTGTCTCTCACTGACACTAAGTCAGGTACATGAAAAGCTATTTAAATATTCGATTTAAAATCACAATGCATCCCCCAAGTCCAGTATCTGTGATTTCCCAAATCCCAACCAACTCTTCCCCTTTCCAAAGTAAGTGTCACATACATTTTAAACATACTACTTCATTTACTTAGATACTACTGGTATGTATGCTCCAAGTAAAAAGGGGCCTTGCTCACTGATGTATTTCCACGTCCCTTGTAGCTTGCATAGGATATAATAAGTGCTCAATAAATAGTTAACTGAATCTCCTTTAGCCCACTGTTTCCTAAGCTCAGCTGACCACCAAACCCCCCTCCCCCCGCCCGACACACACACACATCCCTATTAACACCAGATTACACACAATTTGAAAAAACAATTACGAGGCTCAGATGATCCTTCTATGTTCTTACCAGCCCTGACTTATTTGGTTCTTTGGCTATTTTTGGACTTTGTTAGAGAGAAAGATGGCATTGATAAAAGAGCATTCTCCCGGCATCCTGATCTCTTAACACACATGTATGTTCTTGTCTGAGTGCCTGCATGGCTCTCGGCATTTGGCAATGTTGAGAGAGAGCTCATAGCCACACGGAGGAGGGTAATGCTGCACTTAGTGGGTGGAGGCCTGGGAAGCGGCTAAACATCCTGCAACGCACAGGACACCCTTCCCACCCTCACTCCCATCCCCTAACAAAGTACCTGGCTTCAAATGTCAACATGCTGAGAAAACATATACTTCCTGACATTTTATTCTGTGGCTACCTGATTAATATGTAGGAACAATCAACTTAAACACTTGTGATTCAAACTCTAGTTTGGGATTCGGGACACTGATCTAGGTTAACAAGAGTGTGTAAAAAGGTCCTCCGCCACTCTATGCCTCAGTTTCCTCACTTCCCTAAGTATCATAATCATGAGTCTGTGCTTCAAAGGAGCCAAATGAACCTTAATGAGTACCCACTAAGTATGCTGAGCCTCTCAGTGAAAGGTTTTACAGAAGCTAAAGTTGTGATTAAATTATTCTCATAACTAAATCTTCATCTATAATCAAGTAGCATATGACTTAAGAAAATTGAGATGATAAAAAAATATTTTTCCAAGTAGTCAATCTAAGATTTATCAATTCAAAGAGGATGCTATTAAGATCCATAATGTAATGCTCTGAACACCTGTGTTTTCCTTTTTGTCTCTCTCTCATGATAATGGAGAAACAGGGTTTAGCCAGGAGGCAGCACAGTGAGACCCAGACAAGTGCTTCGGAGTCAGACACATCTTGCAACCACTTAGTGTGTGATTACGGTCAGTTACGCAGTCTCCCTGGGTCTCAGCTCTCATTATCTTTACAATGAGGAGAATGATACTCACGTCAAATGATGAAAATTGAAATGCCTTAATATGTGGAAAGCACCTGTACACAGTGGGTGCTTAATAAGTGTGATTTCCCTTTCCATCCTCTGTGCTTTTTGAGATCGAATCTAGAAATATATATGTTAACTTCTGGCGTGCAGGTAACATGAAAGCTTTACCTTGGCCAATTGTTTCAACCTCTTCCCCTCTAAGGTGTTTCATAAAAGCCGCCAAACCATGGCAGAGTTCACGTATTAGACAATCCTTTTCTGTTTCATTTCTTTTGTGCCTTCTCTTTGAAGGCCAAGAGTGAACAATAGACCAGCTAGAGTGAGGGTAGCCAGAAGAAGGAGAGGAATTGGTGCTTGGGATGATGGAGAAGCTGGGGAAGCAGCCTCTGAGTGATCAAGAAGGTCCGTGTGGGTCAGTGGGTCAGCGCTTACTGCAAAGTTGACTCTGTCGGTGCATTCAAGGAAGAAGTCAACATAGAAGACGTATGAAGAAAGTGGTAAAAAAAAAAATGGCTACATTCTGTGGCCTGCAGAGGAATTTTGGATGAATGCTGTGGGTCCCTTGTAGTTTAGTTGAAGAATTCTGAAGATCACATTGAGGTTCAAGTTGGACAGGAGAACAGACCTGAGCTTGGCCACCAAGGTGAGCAAGAGGAGCATGCACTTTGAGGTCAGGGTCCTCTTTCGGCTCTGCTACTCATTCACTGAAGTGACTTGGCCAATTACTTAAATGCTCTGAGCCTGACTTCCCTCTCACCCTCAGAGGATTGTGCTTTGTAGATTACATTAGGCAGCATATGTGAAAGTACCTAGCACAGTACCTGAAACTCAGGATTTATCCAAGTCTAAAGCTTCATGCAAATCTCCATGAATTTCAGAATTAAAAAATAATTTTTATTCATGATAATATGCCTCCCACATGTATTCCACAAACAACTTGTTCCCTGAGCTACTGAGGGGGACAAGAGAGGTTAAAGGGAGGGAGAAGTAGTTCTGTAGTCAAATCAAGGTCAGATGTGCTACATACTCTATCCCTCTCTCAGAGATCCCCAATCCATGCATGCTTCTCTATGATTCTGGGATGTGAAACACACAATCTAGCTACCTAGCAAAACTTGATTCGTTTAGTTCAGTGGTCGGCAAACTCATTAGTCAACAGAGCCAGATATCAACAGTACAACAATGAAATTTCTTTCGAGAGCCAAATTTTTTAAACTTAAACTTCTTCTAATGCCACTTCTTCAAAATAGACTCAACTAGGCTGTGCTGTTTTGAGGAAGAGGAACACTCAAGGGGCCAAAGAGCTGCATGTGCTTGCAAGCCACAGTTTGCCCACCACAGGTTTAGCTGATTCGAATCAGCTTTCCTAGTACCTTTGTTAATGGAGCATCCATTGACTCTTCAGGGCTGGTATTCCATAGAAATGCTGCAAGAGCAAAAACTTACCAGCAATCATGATTCTGGGACCTTCCCTCTGAACATAGGTCCTTCTCATTTTTTAAAAGAGCCCCCCTTCTGCTTAAGAGAGCAACCTCCAGTCCCTTTAGCTTTATTACAGAAGGTCTTCACTCCCTCAAATAGGCAGAATACTAATGTACTCACACTGTCTGAGCCAGAGAAGAACACAAAGCTTATTGATTAAGGAGCATATTGATCCTTTGCTTTATGAATCATCCCAGCATTAATTTCTAATTAGAGGTGGGCTTTAGTGGGCCACCCAATGTCTCTGGAATACTTCTTCAAACGGTCAATCCTTACACCCACATGAGTGAACAACAAGAGTAATCACTATGGCAAGTTAAACTTGCTAAGGATGTTAAATATACAAGATGCTTTCGTATGTTTCACCTCATTTGTTTCTTTAAACACATTTTGGTATGGCCCCCATTGACAGATGAGATAACTGAGGTTTGAACAGCCACCTAAGTCAATGGCAGAGTCAAAGCCCAAACCCTATTCTTTGGTTCTAAGTCCAGTGATTTATTATTCATTATCTATACTAATTCCTGGTGTGTTAGACATGGAGTGCACGCTAATATTAATAGCTATAACTTACATTTTTAAAATGTGTGTTGTTGGGTTTTTTTTGGTGAATTTTTAAAGAGAGGGGAAGGAATGGAAGACTTTAGCTGGCCATTGATCATTGATCGGCTACACAACCCCCTACTGGGGATCGAGCCCACAACCCTGGGCATGTGGCCTGACCAGGAATCGAACTGGTGACCTCTTGTTTACTGGGTCAATGCTCAACCACTGAGCCACACCTGCCAGACCTTACATTAAAAACAAACAAACTAACAAAAATAAAAAACACACAACTGAAACTTAAGGTCCTTGAAGAATAAGTATTCCCCCCTCTTGCTGCCTAGGTAGACCAACGACTGGAGAGAAAGAAGGGAGATTAAGTCTGCAGCTCCCTCACTTGAGGCCAGTGAGCACACCTTGATAAGAACAGGCAAGTTCCTTCATGCAGTGAGTAAAACCATGGACTCTAGAGCCATGCTTCCTGGGCTTGAATCCCAGCTCCTTCACTAAATAGCTGCACAAGCTTGGATAAAATCACATCCTATTTTTGTGCTTCAGTTTCCTCATGTGTAAATTCTGTATTATGATGGTACCTAACACATAGATGGTTGCGATGATTAAATGAAGAGTGATGAAACAGAGCAAGAAACAACTATATTGCTAAAGCCTGTTGTTTATTTTGTATGAGTAACTAGGTTCTTGCTGGCTGTCTTGGAAAGACAACCCACTACTGATAAGATTGTTTCTTACTGGAAAAATATGTTTCCTATTCCAAAAAGATCTAATAAGTGAGGCTGGAGACAACTACGCAACTAAAAAATTATGGACATAAATGCTGAGCAATTTCTACCTCCCTCTGCTCATTCTAAAGAAAATAATATACATCAGAATCAAATTTAAATCATTTTTGGATTAGCTTTTGGTAGGCATCATTTTGTTCCAATTGGTTCTACTCATTTCAAGCTTTATTAGAAACACCGTCAGCATAGCTATATGAACATTAATATCCAACACAAAAAGGAGCTTATTTAAAATAGCCTGAATTAAGATTATAATTTCTTCCAGGATTCTCCTATAAATCTGAGGATTATTTAAAAACATAAATCATCTTAAAAAGCAATTTTTTTGTAACAATGAAGAATAAAAGGGCATGTAAGTGAAGCAACATCAATCTAGCACTATTGCTGAGGGGGAGGGGGGAAATCTCCTATTAGCTCTGCTGTGTTCACACACGGAAGCCCAGCGGTCAGCATGAGGCCAGTAGCAAGTCTGACCAGTAGTCTAATATTTCTTATTTGATCTACTAAATACAAGTAAGTGAAGTCAATTTATTAATGTTTTGAGAACAGGATTTTTAAAAACATTTTCTTGAGTTATAAGATTTTTTAAAATATGTTATAATGATTTTTTATGAAGAGGAAGGGAGAGGGATAGAGAAGTAGGAACATCGATGAGACAGAAACATCAATCAGCTGCCTCCACACCTCGTTCTGGGGATGTGACCACAACCAAGGTGCATGCCCTTGACCAGAATCAAACCTGGGACTTTTCAGTCCGCAGGCTGATGCTCTATCCACTGAGCCAAACAAATTAGGCTTAAGTTATAAGATGTTTGATTAAAATTGCAAGTAGTTAGTTTATTTTCTATAAAGGAAATCCCGAGGAATCGTTTCTCTTAGGCAAGAGCAGTTTAATGGGTGGTGGTGGGGCCTGCCTTGTTCATATCCACTTACCAGTTTCTAATACTGTGAACCCAGATACAACACTTCATCATGGCAATAGAGGTGAGAACCTTGGGAATATGTTCAGTTAAGACAGTGGTCAGCAAACTCATTAGTCATCAGAGCCAAATATCAACAGTACAAAGACTGAAATTTCTTTTGAGAGCCAATTTTTTTAAACTTAAACTTCTTCCAATGCCACTTCTTCAAAATAGACTCGCCCAGGCCGTGATATTTTGTGTAAGAGCCACACTCAAGAGGCCAAAGAGCTGCATGTGGCTTGCGGAAGAGACTTGTCAGTTTTTCTAACATGACTACAGAGACCTCTGCTGGTACATATTAGAACTACAATCAAGATCAGAAAGAAAAAGCAAGAACGGAGAATTTCTCCATTTTTTCTTCTTTTGTCCATATACTACCATAAAAAAAAAAAAACATACACACACACACCCTATAAAGAGTCTATACTCACAATGTGTCATTTTAGTAGGATCTGGTTAACAGCCACTTTTCTTTGAGGTGACGGGAGAAGGGTATCAAATTTATAAAGAAAGAAAATACAGCACCACAAGAACTGGACTGCAATACATCTCGCACAGCCATCCGATAAACTGGTAAATTATTCAAGGTCTATACCTCCAAGAAGAGTCTAGAAGAGGGACCCAGTGAATGAAGTTACTGTGGCCTGCTAATCTTGTTAATCTTGAGGATTTCTTACTCCTGTTATTCTGAGGGTTGTACCTGTTATGTAACTTCTAAGTGTCACTTAATACCTGCATGTCTATTTTCCAATTTGCGCTGACTTTATCTTACCCACAATAGGTCTGTTCACTGGTAAAGGCAGTCTCAAACCATCGCTTTTTTTGTTTGGTTTTCTGGAAGCAAAGAGCGGCTTTTGCTAACTCCTCCTGGCTGCCTCCCGCCTCCTGCTCTAGAGGTTTCAGACTCACGGTGCTAACATGGTCTTAGAGTGACCTCTTGCTGCACGATGTGTACATGAGCCTGCAAGCTCGGTCCTGGATGCCCATGAATTGTTAAGTCAGAAACCTGTCTGCATGTGAAAGTGAATACATTTACCTGCACACATGGAATGACCCAGCACTATCCACCTTAACTTTCTGATGTTTCAGTACTCTGTCAACGACTGGTTTCCCCATCATTGAGCAGTAATAGAAAGAACAATCTTCCTCTAAAATACACTCCATGAGCTTGTGAAATGGCCTATGAATGTATCCTCTTAGATTTTGTTTAAAAACATTTCACTTTCCTAATCAGATACGAGCCGGATACTATATGCAGGACAACTGAATAAGCAAAAGAATTTACATGTGCGGAGTGGCAGAGTTCCCTGTGGGGTCCATAATTTGAAATTCCATGGCATCTGAATTAAATTCCAAAGACGGGTTTATGATGTAAAGAATGGTCTTACTGTTTAAGTCCTTTTGGCTAAATTTCTCATGGATAAATTCACCTACAAGAGAGAGCGGGGGGGGGGGGGGGGGAGGGAGGAATGACTTTAGTGAGTGAGCAAATAAAATGGTAAATAAGAGCTGATAAAATTATATGACTGTTTTATTTTAAAAACTGGCTTTCAAAATCTCTGAAGTATATTCTTTAAAGAAATTGACATTATTGCAACTATCTCAAAACTCCTATGCAATGAACTTAAATGAGTCTCCAAAGTATTCTCTGTCTCAGAAATATTGTGCCTTAAAGAAAATATAAAAATAGAGAAGGACTAGGAAGAGACAGTAATATGGTAAAATATGTAATTCTTGCTGTCCTCTTTAGTGATTTATTTTGATTACTATCTTCATAAAGCAGAAGTAATATGCAATCCAGATAAACCACTATACCCAGAATTTAAAAAAAACATAAACTGACATCACTTTAGAATTTTAGAAAAAAAAGTCACAAATATGAATTTGGCTCTGACACTGAGTGTTCCTCTGACTATATTACAATCTAGCTGTTGTTGTTTTGTTTTCTGAAAAGTAGACAACAACAGTATATAAGGAAATAACATGTCAGTATTTGGTTCTCTCACTCAAGAGGCACTTGGAAAGGCTCAGCTTCAAACTCCCTTTTGTATCAAGATTGATTTATAAACCGCATCTCGCAGGAAGGCCGGGGGAGTGTTTACCAAATGGGCCTGCGCCTAATTAAATCACTCTCTAGCATTGCCAGGCCTGGGTATTTTTAAATGAGCAAGAACAAGGATGAAGGAAGACAGTACCTGTGGTTGTGTTCTCCAGATGTCCGTGCTGGGGGCCTCGTAAAATCTTAAAGATAATCTGATCATCCTCGGTGTCGGGGTCCGATGCTTTCAACACGCGAGAGGTGATGTAAATCCCGTAACAGCCATTTTTCAGGAGCCCCACTTGAGAGGCGGAATGCAAGTGTGAGATGTGCGGGGCTGTCTTGTCCAAGGGGTCCACCTAAATTGTCAATCATTACAAGTTTATACAAAGGCTTCTCACCCCCACGGGGTCTTAACGGTTAACAACGACAAACGTTCCTAAATCTCATTCAGATCCCTTTTCCTCCTCTTTTGTTAATTTCTGCTAAAGGCTGTCTTGTTCACAATACCCTCAGCAGATATCACAGAGCCTGGGACGGAGGGGGACTTTCCACTGTAAACTTGGACCCAGCCTTACTTACCTGTCACACTCCCCCATTAGGATGGAAGTTCTCCCATCCACTCCATACGCTTGGCACAGGGCCTGACCATAACAGGAGCTCAAGGAATATTTGTTAAATGGATATATTAGGAGTGAATTGTACCGCAAACTTAATGTTAGCTCCACAGAAAGACTCCCCCATTTTCCCAGTGTTTGGTTATTTACAGAAACCAAGCTATAAGGGTTTACAAATGCATTGAATATTTTTGTCATGCCTTCGTTCAAAGGGCAAAATGTTCACTAAAAGTAGAAATACCTCACTAAGAAAATATTAAGAGGTAATTGTGTGTAGGCATTTGTGCATCTGTTTCATTGATGATGAGAACAGGTGAACTCTATTTGTGAAGACAGTGTCTGGGCAAAGATGCGAATAGGTTCAAACACCTCAAAGGGTCTCCCTCATTCAGGTGTGGCAGGGAACTTGGTCCATCTTGCAAATAGTTATAGGTTAGGGATGGACCAGGTTTAGATGGATTAGTACAACTCATCACCGATATCAGAAAACAAGTATAAGAACACTACCTTCATTCCTTTTACCCCTAATCATTCAGTTCTTAACTTCACCTAACCCAAAATAATACCACCACTAACTTTAGTTCATCTTAGCAAAGTGAGAATAAGTGTAAATGATAAGCATAAATACACACACACACACACACACACACACACACACACACATATATATATTTTAGAGGCCCAATGCACAAATTTGTGCAAGAGTAAGCCTTCCTTCCTTCCCTCCAGCTGCTGGTACCTGGGACCCGGGCTTCCCTCCAGCCACTGGCAGGCACCCAAGACCCAGGCTTCCCTTGCAGCCCTGGCTTCGTCGGAAATGTCGTCCAGAAGGATGTCTGGTCTAATTAGCATATTATGCTATATATTATGCTATATAATATATATGTGTGTGTAAACACATATATATGATGATATTGAAAAGAAAAAGAGTTAAGAAGAACTGATAATAATTTCTACAACTTAGTATTAATTGATTTAAAACCCCAGTTATTATTTTTTGCAGAACAGAAAACAACTATAACACCATTTTTGTTCAAATCAAACACATATATATATATGTTCATACACAGGCAAAACTGTGAGAGCATTTGCACAAATCTGTACATTTGTCTTGGTGTGGCAAAAATACACCACGCCTCCTTTATGTATTTCCTTATGGAATTTTGTAACAACAAAATATTTTTTCCTAAGATCTGGGGGAGATAATAGATCAACCGAAGGACTTGTATACATGCATATAAGTACAAACAATGGACATAAAACTCTGGGGAGGGAGGGGATGTGTGGGAGGGAGGGAGGGGGGGTAAAAAAAATCAATAAAATATGTAAATAAATAAATAAATAAATAAATATTTTTTCCTCTCAGGTTTGCAAGGTCCTTGTTGACTAACAAAAATAATCATAAGAAGCTGAATATAACACAAATAAATGGAATACTGTGCTCATGAATTGGAATAAGTAATATCATTAAAAAAAATCCACACTACATAAAGCAATATACAGATTCAATACAATTCCTAGCAAAAATGACATTTTTTTTCACAGAACTAGAACAAACAATCCTAAACTTTATATGAAATAATAAAAGACCCTGAAGCAATTTTGAGAAAGAACAACAAAGTTAGAGGCTTCCTGCTCCCTCATTTCAAACTATACTACAAAGCTATAGTAATCAAAATGGTATGGTACTGGCATAGAAACAGTCTCACAGATCAGTGGAACAGAATTGAGAGAGCCCATAAATAAACCCATGCTGATATTGTCAAATAATTTACAACCAACCAAGAAGGCAAGAATATACACTGGGGAATACATAGTCTCTTTAATAAATGCTGTTGGGGAAACTGGACAGCTATGTGTGTGTGGGGGTGGGGGGGGGAGAAGAAACAAGGTCACTTTCTTTCACCATATAAAAATAGGCTCAAAAAGGATTAAAAACTTAAATATAAGACTTCAAACCATCAAACTAGAAGAAAATATAGGCAACAAAAATCTTGACATCAGTCTTGGCAAATGTCTTTTAGATATGTTTCCTCAGGCAAGTGCAACAAAAGCAAAAATAAACGAATGGGACTACATCAAACTAAAAAAAATTTTCACAGCAAAAGAAACCATCAACAAAACAAAAAGACAATCCTTGAATGGGGGAAGATATTCATAAATGACATATCTAATAATGGGTTAATATCTAAAATATCTAAAATACACAGCACAATATAAAACACACACACACACACACACACACACACACACACACACCAGAGCTGATTAAAAAATGGGCAGATCCTAGATAGATATTTGTCCAAAAAGGACATACAAATGGCCAAAAGACTCATGAAAAGATGCTCAACATCAGCTAACACCAGGGAAATGCAAATCAAAACCACAATGAGCTATTTATCACCTCACATCTGTCAGAATTGCTATTATGAAAAAGACAGCAAACAAAAAGTATTGGGGAGAATGTTGAGAAGAGAACACAACCACACTGGTGGTATGATTGTAAATTGACCCAGCCACTACGGAAAACAGTATAGAGATTCCTCAAAAAACTGAAAATAGAAATACCATAAGATGCAGCAATTTCACTTCTGGATATTTGGCAGAAGAAAACAGAAACACTAATTTGAAAAGATATGTACACCCTCATGTATATGTACTAAAATTCCAGAAAAGATAGAAGTCTAACATGGGATTTATAAACCATCTCTACCTGAGACTTAATGCTACGCAACCTTTTAAAAAATTATGTTTTCAAGGGAGATTTAATGACATGAAAATATTTTTATAACATAATGAAGAGTGGAAACAGACAATATACATAATAATACATAAAATATCGTGCCATTTTTATTGCACAGAAGAATGGAAGTCACCAATAATAGTTATCTTTGGTATGATTGTGAAGAATATTTTTTTCTTGTCTTTTTCTATAGTTTATAAATTCTTTAAAAATATATATATATATATATTTTTTATTGATTCCAGAGAAGGAGAAAGAGATAGAAATATCAATGATGAGAATCATTGATTGGCTGCCTCCTGCATGCCCTCCACTGGGGATCAAGCCTGTGACCTGGGCTTGTGCCCTGAAATCAAACTGTGACCTCCTGGTTCATAGCTAAACGCTAAACCTCTGAGTCACGCTGGCCAGGCAGTTTATGAATTCTTTACAATAAACGACTAATTACAGTCATTCTCCTCTTCTGAAAAGCATGGGTGGCAAACTCTACTGTGCGGTTGGGTGGAAGGTGGGGAGTCTTAGTTTTCAGGGCCTTTTGAATGGAGAAGCTCTGGTGGCCGCTAGATGAGTGGTCAATGTCAGGAGAGAGAAAAATCAAAATGCTTCATGCCAAGAAAGAATTTCTTCAAGTTGATAACTATCTGAGTGTAGGTGAGTTTTATAAAATGTTAGGTTTTCCTTGGAAACAAAAATGTTACAAGAGGAATGAATATCTGTTGGGAATCATTTGTTTCTTAAAAATGTTAGTATCAGAACTCTGGTCATATGGTCGCCTGTTGTGTCTTTGGTCACACGTGTGCTAAAAGGTATCTTAGTTTTATTAAAATTCTAGATTCTTCAAAAGCAAGTCTTCTGTCTTCAAATAAATGGAAGCATTTTAAAATATTGGAGTAGAGGACATTATTATTGTTGTTTTTAAAGAGAAGGCTAACTTCATAAAAGGTTACATAGTGGCTGAAACCGGTTTGGCTCAGTGGATAGAGTGTTGGCCTGCGGACTGAAAGGTCCCAGGTTTGATTCTGGTCAAGGGCATGTACCTTGGTTACAGACACATCCCCAGAGAGATTGATGATTCTCTCATGGATGTTTCTGACTCTCTATCCCTCTCTCTTCCTCTCTGTAAAAAATCAATTATATATATATATATATATATTTTTTTTTTTTAAAGGTTACATAGCAAGATATGGTTAATACATATAAAGGAATTTAAAAATATAAAACAAGTCATGTAATGAAAGGTTCTACAAAAAAATAGGAGAAGATGCTTGACCTGGAGGTTTTGTGAAGAAAATAATAATCACTGAAAGTAGCTGGGATTTTGGAAGGATAAAGGAAAGGTAGGACTTTCATGGGGCAGAGATATACCAGTTATTTATGGCTGTGTAAGAAATGACTCCAAAACATAATGATTTAATACCACAATGATTCATTTTAGAGGAGGAGGAAAGAGAGGAGGAGGAAAGGGAGGAGAAGAGCATCCACTGTATGTCATCATGACTCTTCACCTTTTTACTCAGATCCCCTCTTAGATAGAGACAGTGACCGTTAATTTTGTGTCAACATAGCCGAGCTATGCTGCCCAGTTGTTTGTTCAAACACCTGTCAAGATGTTGCCGTGGATATAACTGTTTAGATGTGATTACATTTCTATCAGTAGACTGTGAAAAAGGTGAATTACCCCCTAGACTGTAAGTAGGCCTCATCCAATCAGTTGAAGGCCTTCAGAGAAAAGACTGATGTCCCTTCAAGTGGAAGAAAGTTTGCCTCCAGTTTTGCCTTTGCACTCAAGGAATGTCCATCCTGCTGGCCTGCCTGGCAGATTTTGGATGTGTCAGACCCTGCAATTGTGGAGCCAATTCCTGAAAATCAATCTCTCTCCCCATAGATATAGATATAGACATAGACATAGACATGGATATATAGATGTATAGATAGATATAGATATATCCTATTGGTTCTGTTTCTTTGGAGAATCCTGATTAGTACAGAGACTAAAGAGCAAGGGGAAATTATGATTATTTTGCATAATTAGAAGGTATCCTGAAGTAAGAGACAGATATATCTTTTTTGCTGTGGCTGGAAGTGTGTGGAGCAGGGTGAACTACATCTAAGAAGAGCAGATCCAAGACTTTGAGAGCCAGACATACTTGATGTGTTTTGGCTATAAAAAGAAAAACACATTATGCCCTCCAGAATCATCATCACAGTCAACACAAATGTGGCAGGACTGGGCCCAGAAAGGATGCCGCTGTTGGATCAGGAAGAATTGAGCTTTTTGTGTGTCTCAAAAAATTGCTTAACTTCTCAACGTTTCAACATCTATACAATAGAACAAAACATATCTCAGAGGATTTTTATGAGAATTAAATCATATATGTAAATGTTCATAAATTGCAGCTGCTGCAAATACTATCCTTACCATTATTACACATGTAATTATGATGTGGCCTTGTAAGTTTTCATATGTTTAGTTGAAAACCATTAAAGTAGGTGTCATGGATCAGTAAGCATGATCATAATAGTGTAGTTAAATATTGTTAACCGTAGTTACAAGATGCTGAGAAACAAATATGTCTCAGGCAACAGGTTAGTGCCTTGAATACCTAATCTTATTTAATTCTCACCATAATCCGGTAAGGCATATTTTTTCAAAGAAGGAAAAATAGAATCAGAAGAGCTCAAGAACGCTCTCAAGATCATTTGCTAATAAATGATTTGCTAATAAATTTATTATCATTTGCTAATAAATGGCAAGGCAGAAATCTCAACCCAGGTGTGTCTGACTTCAAAGCCTGTATTTTTTTGTTCCTTTCTGTATTACCACCACTGACGAGAGGTCAATCATTACCCGTATGCAGGGACCACATCCATTTTGTTCATATTAATAAGCCTGGTGCCCGGCTTGGTGCCAGGCATCTGTAGACACACAGTACATATTTGAATGAAAGGAGGAAGGGAAAAGGAAATAGTTTTCCTTGAAGTTGTTTTCCACACCTCTCTGACAAGGAACTGCGTATTTCTCATACTTGCCTTGATGATGAATGAAACAGGTTCATGCCACACTCTTCCATCCACAACAAAGCCTTGGTTGGTCCCATCTGTGGCCACAAAAGTAAAGCAGTCAGTCCTGGAGTCCCTTCCCGAGTGCCTATAGGCCACCTTCCTGCTGTCTACGTCCTGCTGAGTGAAGTTGTGTTGAAGCAGCATGGTCCCCCGCAGGTAGAGATGGCCATGTCGTGGGAGCCGGGCCAAAAGGAAGGTAAGGTTCTCCACGGGAGTGTCAGGATCGGTCAGCTGAAGGAGGTCAGCGGAAAGCAGGCCTGTGGCCCCTTCAGCCAGTCTCAGCCCCTTGTTCTTGGTCACCACAGGTAAGGATCTGTCCACGGCTTCCAGGATGATCTCAAACACCCCATGCTTGGTCTGCAGTCCATTGCTGACAATGAATCTGGCAAAGAGAGGCAAGGCAGCCTTCAGCATGGATTCTTGTGTCACCATCTACTGGAATGAAATGATAACAACACACACCTTTACTAAAGGATATGTTGTGCTGGGACTCAAATGAAAAATCAAGGGCAGGTCTTTCAGAAGACACCATTCTATTAAATAAGTCACTAGGGTAACACACAAATTGCCCATTCCACATCCAAAAGTATTTCCTCACTAATGTCAATGGTAGACTCTATGCTGCCAGTGGTATTTCTCAGGCATAGTGTGGTTCTTTGCCCCAAGTAGGAAATGTCACATTCAGTTAGACCCATTGCATGAGCTTGCAGAGAACTCATTTTATATATTCATACTTGTTTCAATTGTATTTTCTTTGTAGGAATTTAATAAGCTAAACTTTTAAGACTAACAATTGGAGGCCAATCAAGTGCTGAGAAGGCTGAGTTTGGCTAATTCACTGTATTTGTATAGGACAGGCCACGTACATGAGCCATGTAATCATGCCTAACTCATCTCTCTTCCTGGGCCTCCTTTCTTCTCTTCTGCAAAGTGAAAGCTTGACCAACTGATCGCCAAATACCATCCAACTCTAAAATATCCTGTGATGCTCTAATCCCTTACTTGTCCTTGTGTTCCTACATTTGCCCCTTACAAGGTATGTGGGAAGTTATGGTAGACAAGGATTGTTTCCCTGCTTTAAAGAAAAGAAAATTATAGCAGAAAGATGATGAGGAAGGTTAGAGACAGAGCTGGGACTAGAACCCGGGCCTTTGGACCTTATACCTTCTGCTCTTACAGAGTTATTAATAAATACTAGTTTAGCAATCCACTGAGAAAGAGTGGTGTATCTGAGCACCACTGCAGAATTGTAAAGAGAAAGCTGAAATGATATAAATTCAAGGTAAGCAAAATCTCTCTCTCAATCTTGAGTTTGTGATCTCACAATGTGCTTCTGGTTATATTGACCACTAAATCGCATTATACCCACCACAGCCAATCTCAAAATAAAACTAATTTAAATGATCTTTAGAAAATTTCAATGTGTAATTTTTATTTTAAGGAAAATTTAGAATATCATCCAATCAAGCAAACAAAATGCACTATTAAAACTCCAAAGTTAGGAAATCACTACTCTTGAAATGAAATTGACAAATTCACCATAGATCCCAAAAATGTACTTTTCAAAATGATCATGGAGTTGTGTCTAGTAGTTTTTCTCCATGTACTATAATTGCTAGAAATATTCATGGTGGACGCATTTTTACTTGAATGTAAAAATCTAAAAATAATTTCAGCTGAATAGAACAAAATTAGTTTACATTATATAAGAACTTTATGGAGGTTCATATATACTTACTTATTTTGGTCAAGTTCATTTATTTTATTTGTTACTTTTTATTGCATTTATTGGGATGACAGTGGCTAATTATAGAGGTTTCAAGTATACAATTCTACAGCACATCATCTGTATACTGTACGGTGTGTTCGCCACCCAAAGCCAAGTTTTCTTCCATCATTATGTATCCCCCTTTATTGTCTTCTACTTACCTCCACATTTTGGAGGTTCTTTTTTTTAACCAGAGAAGAAAAGGGGTTTATATTTATTTTACTAACCTGACAAATTTGACTAACAAGTTCTTCATTCTTTGCAAAAATGTGTATTGTCCTTCAAGGTTTGAGGGTTGCTGCCTTGCTTTTGAACATGAAGGAACCTGGGACCGGGTTGTGTGAGCACAAGGAGTAGACCAGCTGGCCTGAAGCACAGGACTGAGGGAGAAGAGCAGCTGAACGCAAAGTAAAGGAGATGAGTTTGGCTGACCCAGATCTTGCTTTGAAAGCTGAGCTAAAATGTTTGAGCTTTTTTAATTATCTAGTTGATAAGTCTGCCTACAAGGAAATACAATGGTAGAACAAGGAATCTATGCCCCGAAAGCTTATGGTAGAACAAGGAATCTATGCCCCGAAATATAACAAACACAGCAAATCTCAACATTTCACATGCCTAGACTTGTAAAGAATATAACCTGCTGTGTGTTTTCTTCCTCCACAGCATTATTTTACAGTTTGAATAAGAGTATTAAATTAGCTTTAGAATTATAGACTGAACAAAAATCTCCTTTTTGCCCTAAAACCATTGGCTTTCCTTTCCTAAAACTGAACTCTTAATCAATATAGTCTAAGCAAATAGGGTAATTTCACTGCTGAATCGTGAAGTGTTAACAAAATTAGTTAAAAATAAAAAAAGAAAGAAAAAGAAAATTGTAGTGCACCTATAAAAATATGTGTCCAACTTTTTACTTATTAGTCCACCTTGACAGTGTCAAGGATCAAGTGATGTGCGTTTTTATATATAAAAATCATGGTCTATTTCTCTGGAACAGCTTTCCATGGGGTGATGTTTTTATTCTGTTGTTTTCCAGTTATTTTTTCTCATGTCCTCTCATCTGACCAGAAGCAAAACAAGGAGGTAGGCGTTCCCTCAACACTTCCAATTTCCCCTTTACCTACTTACCCCACCCAGAAATTCCCCCCGACCCTCTTCATGCCTCCCCCTCACCCTCTTCCACAAATAAAGTGGCCCTCTCTTCCCTACCAGATCAAAATGTGCTCTTGTGGAGGATTTTCAACCAGCCATTTACAGTTTAGCACAAATTTCAGCCCAGGGAACATATTTTTGGTATTAGCATTAATTGTGGAATTAAAGACTTGGTGCCCCATTCAAGCATGCCAACTATCCCAGGAGAAGGGAGGGGAAGGCAGGTGGGAGGCAAGTTCAGGAGCCAGGAGGTTGGGTGGGAGCTCCGAGCACCGCCAGGGGCTCCACCAGAGGTTGCCAGTGTGAGTTTCTGACTCTGTCTTTTCTCTCTGGAGATGAACTCTGACCAACCCTGACCAACTGGGTCCACGGAGCTCAGTCTCAGCCTGGCTGCATTTACCTATGAGCGTGTGACCTGTGTGAGGAGGTTGCTGTTGTCTTAGGATCCGAGCTGTCCGCCTTCCTGCCTGATCACAGGGCTCTGACCACCTTGGAACTCAGCTACCTGACATCAGACAGATGGGAGTGAGGGCAAGCAGAGCAGGGACCACAGAAGAGAAAGAAATATGTTTACTGAGGCCAGTGCTCCCAGCGGGGACCCCCAGGCAGCTGTCTGCACTGACCTAAAGCTAATAAGCCAGCGGCGAAAAGGATGCAGTTTCTAAACATGACTGGCTGCAACCCATCATTCACTCTCACAAGTGACAAAGCAGACTGCACACAGGCAGGGACACACTGTGGAGGGGAGAGGCAGGGCGAACCGTTAAAGTAAGCCTGGCAGGACCTCTGAGTGCAAGGAATGCAGCGCTGTTCACGCCTGCAAAGGTTAACCAGATGATCGTCCAAATGCCCCCTTCCCCTGCAGAGAAATCCTCCAGATACAGCCTCCAGTTGCCAGACAGCGATGCCATGGCTGCGATGGCACCCATTCCCAGACTCGGAAGCCGGTGGTAGCAGGTAGCAGCTCCTTCCGTGGGTCTATTTGGTTCCATTTCCTTTATCCCACTTCCCCGAGAAGAGGCGCAGCCACGATGACCATTGTTCTCCTGAAATCTGGGGGAGGACTCTCAGATTTGTCTGGGTGCCTGCCTGGTCTGATTTCACCATCACCATGGTGCTTTCAAGCTTTCCGCATTTCCTGGCAATGGAGTTGGCTGAAGAATCTGCCATCTGTCATGGCATTTAAAGGATAAAAATGGAATCATAAATAGAGCCAGTTCCTTGGGGGGAGGGCGGGGGGGGGGGAGGGGAAGGGAGAGTCCAGCCGGCATGTCAAAATGGAGGACATTAGCATGTTCTTTTCGTGCTCGGCTGCCAGCAGCTGAAGTCAGCTTGCTAATCACTTGGTGTCATCTGTCCCAGAACGCGCTGCCAAATCTCTCTTCCAGGCCAGCGGCACCAAACAATGCCGGGGAAATTTATGATTCTCAAAATATTTCTGCAGAAGGTAAAATCTGATCATTAAACACCCCCTTTCCCTGCTTAATTAATGCTGCCATACCTTACATTAAAGAGAGAAGGGGGTAGAGGGGGGGTGGGGTGGGGAGAGATCCTCTACCACAGAATTTATCTCTCTTACCCAAGCCAAATTTCTTGCCAGATTTAACAGCAAGCAACATAAATTTAGGTGATTAGACTGGCTGCATATATTGAATTTTTAAAAAGCACCACGATCACACTTTCATTAAAACGGGCTTTCGGCTTTGGTTCAGAGCCACTTGACAAACAGCACAGCCGCCCGTGATTGGGTTAGGGAATGACAAGATTAAAACGAGGGTCCGGGGCAGATGCTGGGCTCTTCCGTTATAAATATGCAAAAGTGCTGGCCGGACCTCAGAACAACAGGTTGAGGAGCTCCGTCCACCAGTGAAGATTCTCCACAAGTTATGGGTACCATGACGTCTCATGGGAAGAACTATCTAAAACGAGATCTCGACCCGAATGCAGCTCTGATTCTGGTATTTCAGTTCAGGTGGCTTCTTTGCCTGTTGGATCTTCAGTTTTCTCAGACATAAAATGGGTACAAACTGTCTCTCTCGAGGTGGAGGGGGAGAGAAATGATATACCGAGAAAAGGGTCTAGCACACGGCCTGATGCATTGCAGGTGTGAAGCAATACTCTCTTCCCCAGGAGTCAGTGAAAGGATTGGACTCAATCAATGCGTTCAACCTCTGTTGTTTATTTTCTCCCCGTAGACCTGTTGTCTACTTTGAGTCATTCAAACATCACCTTCATAATTTTGGCCATTTTCCTGTATTAGCTGTACTCTTATTACTTAATACTTTGCTTCATAACAACTCATGCTTTTACTTCAATAAATGTACTTAAAACCACCATAAATACTGCAAAATACATATAAGAAAAACACTGTTTTTAATTCTAGCTAGCTATTGTGGTCCAGTGGCTTGGAGCCTGAGGCTCGTGCTCTCTGTGAAAAAGGGAGAACAGTCAATATTGAAAAGCTGTTCACGACCTATGAGCACAGGCCTGAGACATCCTCTGGCAACCACCGGAAGCACAGAGAATACTGAAGGGAATAGTAAGGCAGTGGCTTCTCACTCTTGAGTCCCTGCCTCCTGGGCTGTCCTGGCTCGTGTGGCATCTTTAGATCACTCACTTTGGGCAACAGGGCCACTGTCTTTCTGCTAAAAGAAAACCTTGCTCAGAAGAAATCCAGTGTGGCCCTCAAAGCTCTAACAAAACAGAATAAAGCTCCATTAGTAAGTTGGGGTGAGGGCCCAGGGCCCACCCATTCAGCCCCTTGGTTTTCTGTCTCTGGGACCCCTGAGGTGTCTCCTGTACATCCCAGCACTCTTCAGAACGCACTCAGAGCAAGGGCCTGGTCCAGGCTAGGGATGGCTGGTCCTGACCGCATCTCTCACACGGATTCCTTACTCAGGACTTACCAAAGCCGCCTCTGCACGGAGGCCCAAGAATTGTTATTTTTATAAATCTCCCGGGTTATTTCTAGATCCTCAAGATTTAGAGGACCTTGAGGATCTAGAAATTTAGAGATTCTTGAGATAAATGATTTCTAAAGTGCCCTCTAGTAAGGCTTTCTGTGGAGGTGAACCAGGTAAGTTTTTAAGTATTGTCAAATGTGGAGATTTTGTTTTCCATTCTTAGTTCATCGCCACCCTCTGATTAATACCTAATATTCATTTATTTACTTCAGCAGATCACTGGCTTCTCCAACAAAGAGAGTGATGTCGTCCATAGACTCTCTGGTGAGTACTGACTTGGAGGAAGGGGATTAGGTAAGAGCAAAAACAAAAAATTAAAAGCCCTGAATCTGATATGCATGGATTAAACCAAGAAGCAACCACTGTCCATGGGGAAAAAAAGAACAGTGCAACTTCTTTCCTCCCTTAATATTATGGTTGGTGTTGTAAAGATAGGAGGGGAAAAGGTGCAAGGAAAGTATTTAATAAAAAATGGTAACAACAACAGTAGTAATAATAGCAGCTAATATTTATTTTGTTCTTCTTATGTGCCACATACTGTTTTGATTTATATATATATATATATATATATATATATATATATATATATTATTGATTTCAGAGGAAGGGAGAAAGAGAGAGAGATAGGAACATCAATGATGAGAGAGAATCATTGATTGGCTGCTTCCTGCATGCCTCATAACGGGGCATAAGCCTTGACCTGGAATCTAACTACTATCTCTGGTCAATGCTCAACCACTGACCCACACCAGCCAAGGGACACATACTATTTTAATAACTTTATATGTATAAGCTCATTTAAACCTTCCAACAACCCCGGAGGCAGATACTATGAGCATCGTTCTTTTTCACAAAAGAGAAAACAGGAGCACAGGGGGAAGTGTGGCTTGATGAGGGCCAGTGGAGGCAGTAAGGGCAAGTAAATGGACTGAGTAATGGAGGCAGCAACTGACCTTAAGCCTGTGCCTCAACAATTATACTGCATCACTTCTTGAGCAAAAGAACCAGCGTCAAAAAGAATCCCTACATCTCATGTTTTATTTAGTTGATGGCTAGCAACATTCAAGCACTGAATTGGTTATGAAGCTATTGACTAATGATTATCAAATGATTATCATCTTGTTAAGGACTCTTCAGAACGCACTCAGAGCAAGGGCCTGGTCCAGGCTAGGGATGGCTGGAGGTGGGGAGGTATTCGTTCAAACTTCCTTGAATTTTTCTGTTTAACTATTAAACTATCCAAATCTTAATTCTTAATTCTAAAAAAGCAAGCAAAAAATCACCTTGACAGACATTTAAATCGTGGTTATCATAGCATAGAATTTAGAAGGATAAAAAATGTATGATAGTGTGTGGTATTTGAACCTGGGTGTATTGGTACTCTTTACAATTTATGGGGAACCGCTGGGTAATACAAGACTATGCTGCATTTATGTTATTTGATGGCAGTCCTTCGAACGCTGTATTCCATCTGACATGGTGAAAGTTATTCAGAATCCCTGCAGGTACGACAGATGAACCAATGCTCTCAGGGCCTCCTTCTTAATTGGTAAAACTCAGGGTTGGATATGGACCATGATTCCCCCAAAGACGGGTCCAGGATTTCTTGGTTCTTATCCTAGCCCTGAAGACCTGCATGTCTCTCAAGGACAGTGACTTCGCCAGCTCTGGGAACAGCCAGATGATGGACCCTCTAGAGTTTCTCCTGCTCTTGGTGACTGGAAGCAGATTTCAGTATTTTAAATGAATGTGGACTTTCCACTAATGGAGTTTCCTTGCCTTTCCACCAGATTGTTATTCATTTCGATGATTTAATTGATGCACAATCCTTGAACAGGTGCACAGGCCCCCATCCTAACATTGTTTCTATGGGGAAATATGATCCACCGCATGACAATATGATTTACGATATGGTTACCCAAACACATTGTGTCACAGGCAGTGTCTGCTTATGCCAAATGTTTGCTAGTAAATACCTTTCCCTCGTATAGAAAAACATCCTCAAAAAAGTGGTAAGTTCCTTTTCTATGTCTCCCTTTAGATGGCATCCTCACGTCTCTACCTTCCCCCTCATAGAACAGCTTGCACTGAAATCTGCTTATGTGTTTATTTTTAAACAAGCCCTCATTTCTTGCCTTCTGCTGTCATTCTAATTGTGCACCTTCACCTTTATACAACTAGGTAGTAGAAGAACACACATATACCAGAGCTGGAAAAAAATTCATTTTTCCCTTCCTTTCGTCTTTCTAAGCATTAATTCAGGGAAGGGGTTCTTTTTATTTTTAATATTTTTTATTAATTTCAGAGAGGAAGGGAGAGAGAGAGATAGAAACATCAATGATGAGAGTATCGTTGATCAGCTGCCTTCTGCACAACCCACACTAGGGATCGAGCCTGCAATCCAAGCATGCGCCCTGACTGGGAATTGAACCTTGACCTCCTGGTTCATAGGTTAATGCTCAACCACGGAGCCAGGCCAGCTGGGCCAGGGAAGGAGTTCTGAAACATTTAGGGGCTCACCTGAATCTGTCACTGTGGACAGGCGCCTTCCTCTGATGCACATAGCAGACTGCCTGTCCTATGATGTCCATTTGGCTGAAAGTTGAAATGGGGACTCCAGGGTAGTGGACAGATTCCACCTGGCCATATCGTGGCGGGGAGGTGAGGACATAGAGCAGCTCCTCAGGTTTGTCTGTTCCATCCACAGCCAGGAGGGTGCTGGTCGTCAGGAAACCTCTGTCACCTTGAGGCACCACAAGTGGCTTTGCAAGGATGACAATATCACCTACGGGGCAGAAGAGGTTGTGGTCAAGTACCCGATTGAAAAATCAAATAAAATGTCCAAGGTCAAAACAACAACAACAACAAAGGCCAAACTGTGCAGAAATCAAAACAAACATGAGGTAGGAAGGTTTCTGTAACTATGATTAATGAAAGAATTAGGCAAAAGCTGTGAGTAGATATTACGCAGAAGAGGAAACACATATGGCCAATAAAAATACAAATAGATGCTCAATCTCAATAATGGAAATACAAACCAAGATCACAATAAATTGCCAACTCATAATCAACTGATTAGAAAAATGTAGAGGTTGGATGACGTGAAGTGTTGAAGAGGATGTCGATCAAGATGATCTTTCCGATGATTCCGGTAGAATACATTGGTACACAATTTGGCATTATCCTGTAAAGAGTGGACTATCACGTACGCCTTGACCCGGAGATTCCGCTCCAGCTGTGTGCTGGCGAGAAGCACCCGAGAGGCACGTACCGGAAAGGTCACCGCGGCACTGTTCCTAATTGAAAACGCTGGCAACAACCCAAATGCCTTTCTAAAAAGTGAATATCATATAAACAAACTGTGGTCTATCCACAATAGCAAGACGGATGAATTACGGCTCCCTGCAATCACAGATAGATGTAGCTTACTAACATTTATTAGTTTCGTGAGCAAGTCCCAGAAAATTATACACAATAGTGAGGGGGGTCGGGGAATTAACACAAAAGTCAGGATGGAGGATGGGAAGTGGTAGATGTTGGTTAGTGTTCATACTTCAGTCCCCGAGTTGAATGATGGTTGTATAGGGGTTTATTTTATATATATATATATATATATATATATATATATAAAATATATTTTATTGATTTTGTACAGAGAGGAAGGGAGAGAGATAGAGAGTTAGAAACATCGATGAGAGAGAGTCATCGACCAGCTGCCTCTTACACACCCCCTACCGGGAATATGCCCGCAACCAAGGTACATGCCCTTGACAGGAATTGAACCCGGGTCCTTCAGTCCCCAAGCCGACGCTCTATCCATTGAGCCAAACCGGTTTCGGCTAGGGTTTATTATATATTTTTAGAAGACTATAGGAGTGAATGAGTGAAGCAGAGTGGGTCACACATGGACAAAGATACAGAGTTTCACAAATTAAGGATTATAATCCAGTTTTGTTCATTAAAAAATATGATCATACCTAAAATACAGAGCTTCCACTTTGTGCCAGGCACAGGCCTTGGGGCTCTGATATCTTCACATCAATGCTATAAAGTGGGGTACTGCCATATTTTCCAGGTTATAAATGAGGAGGATATTAAAGCATAGAAATGCTAACTCATTAATTATTACACAATTAATAAAAGGTAGAGCTAATATCTGTACTCAAGCCATCTGACTCAAGAGCACAAATTAAAACTATTATTTTGTTTCCTCTCTTCAATATATAGGAATTTTTTATACTTCAACACTAAATGGGTGAATAGCTAAAAGGAAATGTGAGTGAAATAAATGCCAAACCAATTCTAATTTTAAATATATAAATGTCAATCAAACTTTTAAAATATATTCTGTCCCATGAGGAACTAAAAAGTAAAAATAAAATAGCAAACAGATATAACTTTCGCCCAGTGCTTCTCATGAGGGGTGATTCTGTCATTTTAGACATGTTGGCAATGTCTGGAGACATTTTTGGTCATAATTTTGGCCACTGTGCAAATCAGAAGACATAGCATACCTGGAGGGCCTCATGCTATTTATATTATAGCTCCCAAATGAAATTAGCCCAAGTGCTCCATACTATGGTTATGATTTAGTCTAACAATTCAGGGAAGTTTCAAATAGAGATGAACCTATGAATATCAACCTATTAGCCAGGTCATGGTTCAATTTCTGGTTGGGACACATGCCTGGGTTGTGAGCATTGCCCAGTATGGGGCCTACAGGAGGCAACAGATCAATGATTCTCTCTCATCATTGATGTTTCTATTTCTCTGTCCTTCTCCCTTCCTCTCTAAAATCAATAAAAATATATTTTTTAAAAGAAACAGAGTAAATTCAGAACTTCTGACAATGTTAACAGGTTAATGTATTCACAATCCTTTTAGAAAATAATCACATATCAGCTGAGCAGACTTGTTTCCTTTTCTTTTTGGGCAACTGGTTTCTATTGCTCAGCCTCCCTTAGCATAGAAAGTAATTGCAATTCAGCCACTGGGATACAAGAAGACAGGTAACCGCCTTCAAGCCTCACCCATGAAATGTTCTCATTTTCCTCCATTTTCTCACTTTTAGAGTGACTCCAAGGCCTTCAGAGATGAAGAATCCTAACTAGAAATATCCCCAGGTGGCTGTGTGGAATGTAGCACTACTCCACCCCACCCCGGTCCCCCGGAATGCATGGTGTGAAGGCAATGAGAAGACTTCTGTCCTAACACATTAGTTGTCTGTCCTGATATATTACTTGTATTACATATATCTATGATGAACAAGTCTTACTTTTGCAGAGAGAAACATCTAGCTTATCTGAGAGTCACTTATTAGACATCTTGATGAAATATACATTGAGAAACTAATAATAAATAAAAACTAATAATAAATAAAAACTAATAATAAAGAAAATAATAAAGAAAATATATTATTATACAGCTCAAAATAAACATCTCACAATCAATCAAACTAACTTGAATTTTGTTTTAAAAGATTCAGGAGAACTGTAATTTTACCATGCACATGAAGTAAGATTTTTACTACACTTAAGCATCTGATTTAGCTCTGAGATTCCTGGCAGCCAAGGCAAAAAAAAAATAAAAAAAAAATAAAAAAATCTAGGTATCTTTCTATATATAAAAGCATAAGTGACCATTCAACTGGTAGCTATGGCACACAATGACCACTTGGGGGCAGATGCTCTGACCAGTAGGTTAGGTTGCTGCTGGGGCCCTGTCAGCTCCAAATCTGGTTCACCCACACCGGATTCCCTTTCAGTGTGCAATAGAATCCATATATTGGGCCACTAGTAAAAAATAAATAAAAAAGGAAGTATTCAGTCAACCAAGCATGTATTGAGGTTCTAAGAAATATGTAGACCTTAGACTATCTACATGTGAATGAAATATGATCCTTACCCTTCTCACCTAATCTCTAAGCAGAAGTATGGAGTAGTGACCTTGGGTTTCAAGGGCTTACACTCTCTCTTGCTCATTCTCTCCCTTCCTTTGAAATTCATGTTCAAGTAATAATTCACTTTCTGAAGATAAGACACATTGATTTAGCAATTTTTTCCTTAAAGCCATATTCTCTGATCATCAAAGTAGGGTATGCAGGCATGTGGTGGATGAGTCTGGATATCCAAAAGGCTTTTTGTAAATACTAAAAAATTACAAACATATTGGCTGTTGTTATGAACCTCGGAAATCTCAGGCAAAGCAGGTGAGGGGCCAAATGATTGAATCATAAGTTATAGAATTTCAGATGTCAAAAATGAAAGGAAAAGAAAAAAGAAAGAAGGGAAGGAAAGGAGGGAGGGAAAACTTAGAGTGCTTACAACAGCTCACTTTTGGTTATAAGACTTGATCCCAGTAAACCTGGGGTAGGAATGCTTTTACCTTTTCCCATATCCTTAATGTTGATCTGACAGTCAAATGCAGGTGACCTGTTGTCGCCGTCCCAGAGGTAGAAGATGAAGCTGTCTTGGTTTTGGGAATCCATAGCCCCGGTGTGTGTGTATCTCAGCAAGTTCAGGTCCACTTCCTCCTGAGTGCACTTCATACCAGGGCGGAGAGGGACCCAGTCCCTCCCTATCTGAAAGGCACCAGAATTAGTCAGCTGCCCATGCTTTCTTTTTCCAAGCTAGTAAACATTGTCTATATTCCCTGAAAACCTCCAATATAAATGAATTCAGAGGAACTCCAGTTCAATTTTTTACCACTTAGTTTTTCCTTTTATAGAGATATACTAAAGCAATTTAAAACAGTGTCAGCCAAAGGGTTTTTTACACAGTTGTGGGTTTTTTTTTTTTTTTAATGGCAATTCAACAGCAATGCTACTTGCGAGGTATTTATCATAAGCAATCATAGCTGATTAAATATTCCAATTAATGAGAGCAGGTGGGTAATTGAGCTACTGAAATTGATTCTTTAAATATTAAATGTGTTTCACCTGGGGCTTTCTGTTTCTTTAGTTCCTATCATTGTACAACTAATACAAACAATATTATCAAACTGATCTGCTATATGGGTGAAGAAGATAAAACAAAGAGAGAATGGATGTACTTTATTTGTCATACATTTTACAGCCTTGCTAAAGCCAAAGAAAAATTATCAAGCTCTCTATTACTATCTGCACTTATACCCTGAGGAGTCAGCAAAAACATGTAACTGCAAATATCAGAATTGTTTTAAAACAAGTCATCATTAGTTATGCAAGTATTCTGTACAGAATTCAGCTCAGAAACTGTGGTATTTTCAATTTTCAATAAGAGGCTCTTATGCTGGGGGGAGCTGACAACTGAGAGTATTAGAAAATATTGTAATAAATCTGTATGTGGTTAATACTTCCCTCAAAACACATAGCTTTCCCCAAGAATAAGCCATAAACATCATTTGACATAATTCAAGAAAAATGCGATCTTAAAAATTTACTTTATGATATTATCTTGTGCTTTTTCTGCCTGGTTTAAGAGACTAAAACAGAATTTTTAAATCACTTTTTTCTTGACACATTATTCCTCAGATTCCCAGTTCCTGCAAAACTGCTTTGTCCTCCTCTCCTCTCACTGTTTAGCCATTTCTCTTTTTGTCATTCTTTTGGTAAAGTGTCTTCTTCTTAATATGCTTGCCCAACTGATATTTGTACACAGCCATGTTCTGTTCCAGTGCTCACAGGGTAAAAATGAATTACATTTAATAATTAAGCTCACTGTTTCCATCATAAGATTTATTTGCAAATTTTATTATTAAAAACAGATTCTTTTTCAGTGTTTAAACTGGATAGCCTATACTTGTATTTAACCTTTTTGCTTTGTCATCTTTTCTCAGGAAGTAGGTACAGAAAACGATATATTTTGCTCTCTCATCTCCATCTAGTTCCCCACTTGCACTCCGGATTGCGAGCTTTGACTTGACAAAGTCATTTGCAAACCACCAAAGAGGAAGAAAAGTCAGACTCAAGGTGGGAAAACTAAGGGAGGACATAAAAAACAAAACAAAAACCTGGAGAAATTCCAGGAGGCCTGGAGTCCTGGTCCCTGGTTCTGGAGAGACTTGGAGGACACCTAAAGAGCTGGGAGAGAATTACGTGGCGCCATGCTGGGAACCCGGACCCATCTGGATTTCCACAAATCCAAAAACACTTCAGTTCCCAAGCCACCCAAATGTGTGAGCTCTCACTGCCTTTCCGCTTCATTACTCTCTGAAATGAATTAAGGACACAGCTGTACCTCAATTTAAATCAGCAATTGCTCTTCACTTTGATTCTCTATAGTACCTACAATCGAAGACGATCAAGCTGTTCCACACAGAATGAATCCTTGCTGCCACTGGAGGAGTGTCTACATGGCATTGAAAGTTAAGCATTCAGTCAGATAATCACATTGGGGATGGATGGTGGTTGTTATTGCTCGCCGTAATCCACCATTCAAATAAGCAACTGATGGATTACCTAAGTGACCTTTGCAAGTGTCTGATCTGTAATTCGTGTTGGGCATCAGGCACATTGTTTGAATCATTTGTTAAAAACTATCTTTTCTCCATTGTATTGACTCTGCTCCTTTGTCAAAGATCAGTTGGCTGTGTGTGTGTGTGTGTGTGTGTGTGTGTGTGTGTGTTTTAAAGATCTCTATCCTGTTTTATTGATCTATTTGTCTGTTCTTTCATCAAACCCATAGTGTTGTGGCAGCTTTATAGCAAGTCTGAAGGTTAGATAGTATCAGTCCTTCAATTTTGTTCTCCTTCTATGTTGTTTTCCTTGTACATTTTGCCTCTCCATGTAAACTTTAAAATCAGCTTAGTGATAGTCACAATTGCTCTAAAAAACAAAATTTACTTTAAAAACTTTTTTAAAAATCTGGTGGGAATACCCCAGCAACTCACTCTGCCTCCCTCCAAATTTAGGTACAATCTCCGTAAAGAGGGAGCAATGAAGAACCTTAATATTGGTTGAGTTTACCCCAAATTCAGTACGAAAATTTAGAATAGTGTGTTATCCCAAAAGTAGGAAAATTAAATGTTCTATTTCTGGAGAAAATATGACTATTAGAGAATAAATTCAGTTATAGAAATCTGTGTATTGAGAAAATTTATATCTGCTATACTTATTTTGAAAAATAAAGGTAAAAAGGCCACTAACCTTAAGCTGAAGTTGCCCATTTTGGGGAAGCCTGTCAAATAGATAGTAAATCTTCTCCCTGGGAGTGTCTCCATCTGTGGCTGAAAGAACAGTACTAGAAATAACACGAGTTTCACCCATACTCATCATAATTTCAGCCTTCCTGTAAAAAGAAAGATGTCTGACTTGATATGAAAATAGAAAGGTATTGCTTTAGCAGGGGACTCTCATAATGACTATTACAGTTTCCAATCTTTAACGACTAGGAAATAATATTCAATATTCAAATTATTGAAAATTATGAGTTAGTCGTGGCTCTCATTTCACTTTGCACACAGAGAAATCCTAAAGGACAATTAGTCAGCAACAATGAATATGCTATGAGGTAATTGCATACGTCTAATTGTTTACACATATAGAACTTTACAAGTTCATGCTGTAATTTATTTTAGAAAAATATTTTGTTTCTAATACTGTTTTTCATACAACATCAACTCCATGAAGTAAGTGGTTCAGGCATTATTACTCTAATTTTCCAGACAGAAACTTAGAGAGATTAGACATCCACAGAGATCCTTTGATTATGGTTTATGATATGCTTTAGGAGTTTGGTGATATTTGGGTAATCGGTGGACCTCTATGTTCCTCTCTGTCTCCATGGTAATATATGTGAAAGGATTTACTTTGGTGTCTGTCACGTAGCTAGTGTTCTCTTCAACAGAGAAGCAGAGAGGAAAGTGTGCCATAGTCTGAATTACTCTGAAAGAGACCCCAGGACAAGAACTTTGCAGGTAATTTCTTTGAGAAGTACTTTCAGGAACAGGAGATAGAGCGAGGAGTGAGAGAAGGAAGGAGGAAGCAGCAACAAAGGGTGTTTTTACAGCTGTGGGGCTCAGTGCTGCAGGGATCCTTTGAAGAAACATGTGAATTATGCCTCAAAGTGTGCTTTGCAGGCTAGGAGGCGAGGATATTTATCTATCCACTGTCTCCCACAGGTCAGAGGCTGTCCCGAGTGTCTCCACTGTGCCTGAACACCAGCTGGATGGGCCTCTGCTGCTTCAGAGAAAGCCCTGAGGCAGAGCAGGGAGCAGACAGTGTGGGCACAAGGGTTAGGCACCGATAGTGTACTCAGCATGTTCCATCACCACCACAGCCGCAGTCAGAGGTGGGCCATGGGGATGTGGCCCAGGCTACCAAAAGCATCTGCTGTAGCATCCACAAGGATGTCAAAGAAATCGTGTCAGATCCCCTAACAGGTTGAGTAAGATGAGAAGAGCTAATAGATATGGTAGGAAACAAGGGAGCAGCTTTAATAAAGCGGTTGAGGATAGAGACAGTGGGCAGAAATGGGGGAAGTGAACACAATCTATTCTTTCTCTTATTTTTATCTTTATTGTTAAAAGTATTATATATGTCCCCTTTTTCCCATTGACCTCTTTAAGCCTTTATCCGTCCCCTGCCCCAGGCCTTCACACTATGGTCTGTGTCCATAAGTTATGTGTATATATATATATACACACAAACACACACACACACACACACACACACACAAGTTTTTTGGTTAATATCTTCTTGCCCCCCAGTTTGAAATAAATAAGAAACTGGGTCATCTTTGTAATTTTAGAATGAGAATATCTGCTTGTAATAATAATAACTAACATTTATGAGCTCTCACTATGCATTAGCTCATTTTTTCTCAAGCAGTTTTACATATTTTAATTCACTTAATCCAAGGGTGGGGAAACTTTTTCTGCCAAAGACCATTTGGGTATTTATAGTATCATTTGAGGGCCATACAAAATTATCAACTTAAAAATTAGCCTTCTGTATTTGGTCAACTCACCAGGGAGCGGGCCTAAGCTGTCAGTTGGACATCCCTTAAGGGCTCCCAGACTGCAAGAGAGAACAGGCTGATGGATCACCCCACCACCACTACCAGTGCATTAATTTTCTTGCACTGGGTCTCTAGTGGAAATATAATTGATAAAGATTATATCCTATGATCACACTCTGATCAACTACAGAGGGAGATACTGAGAAAGTCTGCAATTAATAATATCAGTCCAGAATTTTTAAAGAACTATTACTTTGACATCAGGTGGCAAGGGATGTTAATTCATATGGAGCATGGCAGAGAACTGCTGGATAAGGAAATACCAAATTTGTGGCATTGCTATATCTCCCTCAGCCTCTCTAGTTAAAGGTTTGACCAAATCGACAAGTGAAGGCTTTCTGCAGTTAATAGTATCACACTTTAGTTGAATCTACACATTAATTACACTTTGGTGCATGTGTTTAAACGTTTAATACGCTGTTCATTCTATATTGTATGTTCAGTCATTCTTAATTTAAGGTGACCAGACGTCCCTCTTTTGGCAGGAAAGTCCCGATTTTTAACAAACAAACAAACAAAAAAATTGGGACTGTCCCGCCAAAAGCGGGACGTCTGGTCACCTTATCTTAATTGTTTAAAATTAAGTAGAAGTTTTAGAGAGAGGGAAAAAAAATAATTAAAGGACTCGTTTGAGAATTGTTAGGAAGTGGTGACATTAACTAATATTTGCACCTAAGTTCTAGGTACCTGGTAGGTGGGACAAACTGTGACAGACAGCAACAGCAAGAGGCTTATTTCTCTCAGAGGACACACACACTGCATTTACACCTAGCCTTCCTAGTCAGAATTTTGTAGAGAATCTGAAAGGGACTCTCTTCAGGTAGCTTACTTGTTCAGCGCGGGTTTCTCATCATTGACTGGGGTGACCTCTACTGAGATGGTCTTAAGTATCTTATGTTTCCCGTCAGACAACTGGATTGTGAAGTCATCAGCAAGGTTCTCTGAATCATCGTGCACATACATCAACCTCATTCCTGGACAAAGGGGAAAGAGGAAGAAAGTAAATCTTCCTTGTGATTGGACAATCCCGAAACATAGCACAGATAACTGTTTTAATTTCCAAGCCATCGTTAATCAGTGCAACAGGGTGAAATTAAACTGTTTCATGCAGTAAGAATATTCTCTTAGTTGATCTAAAAATTCCAATTTAAATACTTTAGTATTTGATAAAGGTCTATTTAAAATCAGTGAGAAAATGACATATTATTTGGTAAGCTACCTAAGAACAAAGTTGTCAAGATGCTCAAATGAAATAGAAAATTAGTTCATTACTTGGGAGAAATTATACATAGATCCCCACCTCAAGTAAAAAAATAATATAATAAATTCATATGGAAATGCAAAGAAACCCAAAAAGCCAAAAACAGTCTTGAGAAAGAACAATTTTGGAGGACTTGCAATTCTTTATTTCTATACTTAAAAACATAAGTTATAAGGCAAATGAAATATGAAAAATCTTATTCATAATATGAGACAAAAATAAAACATCAATATTTAATTATCTCTTATACATTGATCTGAATCTATGAAAAAGTGAGCAAATAACATTATCAGGTAATTCACAAAAGGTCAAACATATGGTCAATAAAAATAAAAATACGTTCAATTTTACTCATCTAAGAATTTTTCAAATCAAGATAACAATGAGAAACTATTGTTGGCTAATAAATAAGCAAAGATTAAAATAAAAGACAGTTTGTATAAAATCACAGTGCAGTATGTCCAGAGAATGAAAAACCTAATTAACACAATCCATGTTTTCAATTAATATTTTAAAAGTAAAAATACTTTAAATAATCATAAACAGATTGCATAATCTGCTAGTTTTTTTAATTTTTAAAAAATATATTTTATTGATTTTTTTCAGAGAGGGATAGAGAGTTAAAAACATTGATGAGAGAGAAACATCAATTCAGCTGCCTCCTGCACATCCCCCTACTGGGAATGTGCCCCACAACCAAGGTACATGCCCTTGACCAGAATCGAACCTGGGACCCTTCAGTCCACAGCCCAACACTCTATCCACTGAGTCAAACTGCTTTGGGCTGCTAACAATTTTTATTAAATGTGTTTTTAATTGATTTTTTTTTTTTGAGAGAGAGAGAGAAGGCAAGGGAGATGGAGAGGGAAAGAAACGTCACTGAGAGAGAGAACTATCAACTGACGGCCTTCTTCACATCCCCTATCAGGGGTCAAGTCCACTGGGCATGTGTCCTGACCCGGAATCAAACAGGTGACCTCTGGGTGCATAGGTTGACAACCAACTGAGTCACACTGGCTGGGGCAATGCGAGCAGTTTTATAAGTTCTATGTGTTTAGGGTCAGGAAATGTGTGTGAGACTGCACTAAAGCTAAAAAAAAAAAAAAAAAAGTAGACATAAGTGAACCAAAAATAAAAAAGAGGTGAAAATCTAATCCCTGAGAATATCACCAAAATATTAATTTATATGAACAACCTTTATTTTTTATTTAAAATAATTATATAGTGCAAACTTTAAACAATACATATATAATTATTTAACCTAACAGTAATCAATGAGTGTTATTTTCTAAAGACTTTTTTAAGAGTAAAATTTGATTTATTATTCCTTTTTCCTATGTTGTAAATTTAGAAAAAAATATTGTAACAATACATTGTATTATTTGTTACACATGCTTTTATTTGGGAACATAATTTAAGCTCCAGAATTTATCTTTGCAATGGATCAAACCTGAGAAATATATGAATTCGCTTCTCAAATTCAAACATGAGATGTTATTGTACAACTATTGCAAAATTAGCCTTTGGGCATGAAGCCTACACTCTAGCTGGGGAGTGGGAAAGGAAAAGACAGTAGGAAATGTTGTTCAGGTGCTAACATGAGCACAGAAAAGGGATAGTTCGGAGGGCTTGGGTGGGTCCAAGGCAGCTGGTTCTGAAGGCACAGTGTTGGCAGCTCGGCGAAGGAGGGGAAGGACACTCAGGCTGGGGAACAGAATAGTGAAGACAGGAAAGAGAGGTACGAGTGATTCTAGAATCACACACTTTTCTCAAAGATTTAAAGTACTTTTTTATATAGAAAATGGGTTCAGATCGATGTTTTTAAATGTGTAATTCAAAATATAACTCAGGCTACTATTCCAATGCGCCATTTCCTTAAAGAGGAAATTGTCTCCTCAGAGAATAATGAATTATTATATTTATATGGTTCCAATGTGGAAATTTTGGCAGATAAATTTCTTCAAGTTTAATGATTTCAAGTTTTAAAAAGAAATTTTTATTATGACATAAAAGCTTGCACTAATATACCCCAAATCACATATATCATTTTTACTGATGCTCTAAAAGTGAAAAAAAAACATAGTATTTCCTTTTCTATTACCCACTATCTTCAGCTGGATCTTATGTCCTACATTAATCCAGAGCCCACAGGAAACCCTTGGAAGATAAATGAATAAAGTAGGTAAATGCCCTTCTTTCACTTCCTATTCCTCTGATTAATTTTCGTCTTTTCTGGGTTAAATTATTAAGTTGGTAACAAGCAAATCCAAGTGGAATGCGATATACCATTCTTGAGAAGCGCCATGGAAAAGTTGTAAACAAGTGTGTGCCTCTGGCCGGGGCCGGCTGGCTGCTGGTACTGAGGAAAGTCCGGGTTGGACACCCCGTGGAGGAGGAGGCCATGGCGGGGCCTGTGAGTGATGCTGAACAGCAAGGGGTCCTCAGGCACATCCAGGTCGGCGGCACTGATGACTGAAGAATCCAGCTCTTTCATCTGACCTTCACACACCTAAGCAGCAAGTCGGAAAAGTCAGCTATGTGCACATTAAACTGGTCTTTCTTTAATTTTAAGATATCCTGTTGCAAACTGTCCATGAGATTTGTGTGTCATGAGTCCTAAATATCTCTGGTTTAACATAGCCTAAGAAGATGACAACAAATCTATTAATCTCACATTTTTCAAAGCAGTTTATTCATTTCTCTGACGGACAAAAGATCCTGTGTGTGTGTCTCTGTGTGTGTACATATAAAATTTCATAATTCAAAAATTAGGGGGGAAAAGGCAACCAAAAAATGCTTGCTTTCTAAAAGTTACAGAGTTCACTTGTAAATCTGAGTGTAGACAGACCCTTTACCTTCAGATCCTAAGCTGTCAGTTTAACCTGCTGGACCTCGTTCCTTTCACAATTTCAATGTTTCTGTTTTAGACAGGGCACAAATAGCTGATAGACATGCGAGGGGTATCTTTTGTGGTGTAAGTTTTTATCATTAAAGTAAAAACTTCTGTATTTTTATTAAAACCAACAACAATTGAGAAGGGTCCTTTTGGATGCATCGTGGTGTCAATTTTAATCGAGACCCTTCACTGCTCCCCCATCCGCATACTTTTCCTGAACTGCCTTCCTCCACTTTCACACCAACATCACACTTCCTACTCCTTTCAGCACGAACTGAATGTTTTTTTATTTTGTGTAGGAGCTAGTCATTTAGATTTTGACTAGCTGTTCTTAGCTGTCCATCAATAATTATAATGCAAGGAAGAAAATTTATAGGGCTATTAAATAGGGATAGACAAGAAGTGCAAAAAGGAAGAGGAGACTAGGAATGTCATTAATGCTGAGTGGGCACTTTAGCCTTAAGATGTACATGGTTTAAATTGTGAAAAATGCCCTTTTTTTCAACCTCTCTTAATGACTTCAAAGACAGTCTTCCTGCAACCACTTTTCACAGAATTTGCATAAAGAAGAATTACTTGCCATATCTGATACTTGAGCTAAAATTATGCATGTAAAAAAATCTGTCCCTACTTACTAAGGATGAAGATGGCATCAAAATTTAATGCACACAAATATAATTATGAAATCATCTTTGATCTAATTTGTTCTTTCCTCCAAGAAATTTAATAAAGCAATCTAAACATATGTTCTAATAGTCCTTCTTCAGAGAGCTTGGGAGTCCCAGATTCACTCTGTGGCAAAAAACGGTAAATCAGTTCACAAGATGACTGGGACATTTTATTGAAAAAATACGGACTTCTTTTTTGTGTGTGTGTGCCCATTTAATTGTTTATTGAGTTTCCTAAATAAAAGGTTTAGATCAATATACACAAAATACAGATACTCACTAGTAGATGTGAAATGTATTATAATAACTTAAACTAAAATCTCACTTTTTTTCATGTCGCACACAACTTCATGGAAGCCAGGTATTTACAAAATAAATTTTTTGACAAGAAAGTAAAATAAATGACCTTTAAAAAAATCACCTGGCACTTAAAGCCAGCTCTGCTAATAACACAGAGGGCTCCACATCTGTTAGTCTTCAATGGTTTCTCTAAGGAATGCTCGATGTTCCAACGGGAGGAGAAAGGCAGAAGCTGGCACTTAAATCTCCCTGGAGAGGGGCTCTCACACGCCAGTAAGATTCAGTAGAGCCCTGGCCAGTTGGCTCACCTGGTTTGAGTGTCATCCTGCACACCAAAAGGTTGCAGATTTGAGTCCCAGTCGGGGCATGTACCTAGGTTGTGGGTTTAGGAGTATGCTGGAGGCAGCCCATGGATGTTTCTCCCTCACATAGATCAAAGTCTGAGCTCATCCATTTAATCAGAATTGGCTACATATTTGCTTAAATCAACATACGTAAAAAAATTAAAGTCTTTAAAAAGAATTCTATGCTGATATAAAAATTTTTTCATCATAGTTATTTTTTTAAAGTAGAGAGTAGTAGGTATAATAAGGTCCCTGATTTGTAAGTAAAAACATGCAGAAAAATTGCATATAAACATACTGGCATGTGCATAGACATTTTTTGGTGGTATTAAATTACTAAAATTTCAACTGATGGGGAGTGACTATGGGTAAGAGCTCTTGAAAAGGGAGAATTTCACATTTCCCTTTGTATATGTTTATCAACATTCTAACTGTTTAATAGCATACATTTTTTTATTATTACTTAAAAGTTGACAGGTATTATCTGAGGTGAAATTATGGGTCATTTGATATATATATATATATATATATATATATATATATATATATATGAATTTGTAAATACAACCAACAAATGTTATTATTTTAAAAGTTTTAAAACTACAGAAATAAAGCCCTGGAAGGTTGGACTCAGTGGATAGAGCATCAGCCTGCAGACTAAAGGATTCCAGTCAAGGGCATTTACCTCATTGCAAGCTCAATCCTGGGCCCTGGTCAGGGTGCATGCAGGGAGCAAACCATTGATTTGTCCATCTCTCATTGATGTTTCTCTCTCTCTTTCTCCCTCCCTTCTACTATCTCTAAAAATCAATGGGAAAATATTGATTAACAACAAAACAGAAAGAAAAAAATCTGCATAACAAGAATGGTTCAAATTTCATTTTTTTGTATTTTTAAAATATGTTTTATTGATTTTTTTACAGGGAGGGATAGAAAGTTAGAAACATCGATGAGAAACATCAATTAGCTGTCTCCTACACACTCTCTACTGGGTATATGCTTGCAACCAAGGTTCATGCCCTTGACCGGAATCAAACCTGGGACCCTTGAGTCTGCAGGGCGATGCTCTATCCACTGAGCCAAAACTGTTAGGGACAAATTTTATTTTTTATTTAATATATCTAACTATATGAAATAAGATGCCTGTAGTCCATGAGTCAAGAGTCCTTGCAATGGACGTTGTTGAAGAGGGTGTGGTATGGACAGACTACTGGGTGCAGATTCCAAGCTCTGTTATCTCAGACCACCTAGTTATCTTTTTTATGACTCATTTTTTCAGTTATTAAATTGCAATAATAATACCATCACCCTAAAAACCTATTTGAGGATTAAATATGAATACATGCAAGGAGTTTGGAATAGCACCTACAACCTAGGAAGTATTTATCCTATATACATGCAATTATAATTGCGTTTGTGCATTAGCTACATGTTAGCAATTATTATCATTAGCATCATGATTATTAGAATATTTTAAGTGATTGCATTGCCTGACATTTGTGACTTCCCTCCCCACTCTTCAACAACTTGATGTGTTAAGTAAGTACACTGGAACCTGGTAAACAGACAAGGTGAAAATAAAATCAGAAAACAATAAAAGAGAAACAGGAAATTCTGGTCTTACAGTAATATTCTGCACCACAAAGTCGGGAACTTCATCATTGGTGGGGTGGATGATAACAGAAAATGGTATTTCCAGGGAACGACGCTTCCCATCTGTGACATACACCGTGAATTGGTCAGCTGTGGGTTCCACCCTTAGGTGCCTGGACTGCACATAGTTAACATGCAAAGCCTTCATGTCTTTCCACTGAAACGAAGCTGGAGCACATCGAGAGTAAGCTGGTCAATAGGAAATCCTTGTTTCCAAGCTACTAGCTCTTAATCCTTTAACCAATAGACTATCTCTCAGCAAATAAAACAAGAATCAGCTCTCAGGGTCTGCTACAAAGACTATCAGCTGTCAACATAAAACCAGATATCCATAAATCCTACAGAAGGGATAAAATTCGCATGGAAAACAGAAGAGCCATAACTGATAACTGCCAGCCAGGATAAGAAGGGACTTCATGACCATTCTTCATATACTTATGTCAGGGAAATCTTCTCTTGATTAAAATCACTTCTGCATGAGCAGTTCTTGTCATGCTTCATTTAAAAGAGGCCATTTCTCTACCTTTACCAGAAATTAAGGAAGTCCTGTACCATTACTGTCAGATGAAAAAGACAAGGAGTTAAATGTTTTCTAAGCCACATGCTGAGTTAAAAGTGTGGGCTTGGAGACAATCTACTCTTTATAGACTTACCTTTCCTCTCCTGGGGCCTCAGTTTCTCATTTATATATTCACTAGAGGCCTGATGCACAAAGATTCATGCAAGAATGGGCCTCCCCTCCCCTGGCTGCTGGCACAGCCTCCACTATGGTCAGAGCTGCCTTTCCGCTCCGGCCTAGAGCTGTCTTTCTGCCTTCCCATGTTGCCCAGAGGCCCGGAGTAGCTGGGATGGTGTTGTTGGTCACCACCATGGCAACTACGCAAGTGTCCTGCCTCTGCAGCTGCTGGGCACCTGTGTATGCAAATTACCCCCACCATCTTTGTTGGGTTAATTTGCATACTAACTACTGATTGGCTGGTGGACATCTCAAAGGTACAGTCAATTAGCATGCTTCTCTTTTATTAGGTAGATTTTCTCCTGATAGAGAGTTTAATCAAATGCAACTTTTAAAAATATCAAATAAAAGAAAGTATTCAGAAAAAAAGAAAGGAACCATCTCTTCCAAATAAAAGCAAAATAAGACTCAATCAATCATCTGCAAACTTGACATCCATATCAAGCAACTGGTTGGACTGAGTAGAATAAGCTGACCTGCTGTGTTGGTATTTTGACACTGTCTCAAATCAGAGAAAAATGCTCTATGTTGTGCATTTAGTCAAAGGAAAATTGTATAGACTTTAATGCAATTAATCTATCTCCCCCCAGCTTTCCTGAGATAAAATTGACATATAACATTATGTAAGTTTAAGGTGAGGATATCACAAAATGTTGGCCACAATGAGGTTAGTTAATACATCATTTATCTCACATAATTTTGTGGTCATGGCAGTGAGAACAGTAAAGCAGACTCTCAAAGTGACTTTCAAATATACAACACGCTATTGTTAACCACAGTGTCCATGCTATACGTTAGGCCCCCAGAAATGATTCATTTTCATAAGTGACATTTCCATTTATTTTGAAGTAAACTTGCATGCATGGGAAATCTCAAAGTTAAAATGAAAAAAATACTAGTATTCAAAAGTACCAACTATAACAATTCCTTAAATGCATATGATGCTTTGAACATTTTTGAAGTCCTTACCTAGTTATTGAGCTTAGGATGGCCAGTAAGACCCATAAACATAGGCGAGTTACTGCTGGTTATGAAACTGACTTACCTATACTTATGCCCATATTGCTTTTTTCAAAACCCACCGAAGGGAGGGTGTTTTCAAGGTAGCCAAACTGGGGAGGAGAAGTCAAAACAAATTCCAAATCATCTGCTGCCGTGTCAGGATCAGTAGCCAACAAATGACTAATGGTGAGAGCTGCTGAGAAACCCTCATCTACCATGAACATGGTACCTGCATGCAAATAATAGCACAATTAGGACTTAGCGTTCAATCCTCTCATCAGAACAGTGAGGACAAAGGAGGTGATTGAAATTCCAATTCAGAGAAGCCTCCCACATGCCCATGTACTTCCATGGGAGATGTTCATTCCCTTCAGCATAGCATAATTCTCCTTAAGGTGAAAATATTCGGGGGTAATGGGTGGAATTTAATTGACTTATAGAATTATATTTTTTTTCTTGCACAAGCAAGCCAGACAATAATGAAAAGACAGCAGAAATGCTAAATGCTCCAGTTCAGCCTTCAGTCATTCTTAAGGAACTCTGATTTCCCTTGTGTCTCAATAGAAGTGACAAATGAAAATAAGGATTGCCAAACTGTTTTAATGATAAGGCACTAAATGTGGTTTATGTACTCTTCAAGATCAGTTGTTACCTCTGTTTGTCAGAGCCTTAATTGCCTGCAAGCCATTATGAATTGCTCATAACCAACGTGTTTTTTTTTCATGCCTGGTGCTTAATTATTCTGCAGGGACAATGCTTTCTTTCCAGAACATTGCTTGGAAGATAGTTTGCAAATTACAATAACATTCATACATATGTTTGTATTTTTTTTCTGAGAGACAGGACATATACATAATGCTTATGAAGAGATGACTTTCTAAAAAACAAATAAGGTTAAATGTATATAAATGGTCTCTCTGGTATACTCATTCTGTTCTGATAGAAATTATTATGGGTAAAATAAATTATCTCTCTCTCTCTCTCTCTCTCTCTCTCTCTCTCTCTCTCTCTCTCTCTCTCTCTCTCTCCAGAAGGCAAATAGTATTTTCCCATGTGAAATAAAACCAGAATTGAGGATTCCAACGTCGTCCTCATCCCAACACACACACACACACACACACACACACACACACACACACACACACACACTTGCATGCTCTCTCCATACAGAATTACTTAAATTTTTAAATAAGTAAATTATTTTTGCCCCTTAATTTTTTACAGATTTGAGATTTTCCACAAATTTGTATTAAGGCAATTCTGTATGGTGGTTTTCTATTTTGACTGTAAGTGCATTATTCCATTGAACCATGGGCATGGGACTCGGTGAGATAATAGAACTTTAACAGGAAATCACTGTCACCTATTGCAAGTGAAGGTGGTTGGTTGTCCACTGGATGCACTGTGATGTTGAGATCATACACCGGAAAGGACACATGAAGAGGAACAGATGGGTGAGGTCCATTGTAGCAACAGCCATTCACAAAAGGGCCTGCTTCTTCATCCGAAACCACTAATGTAATGGTGTCATAACAAGGCACCAGGCCAACCTCACCACCTGGAAGACACAACTGTAGCTGAAACCTGACTTTTTAAACATATAGAAGACCAAGGTGTTCTCCTCAAACCCCTTCCATGAGCACAGAGTGTCAAGAGGAAAAAAAAAGTATGTGGCTAAAATGCAAAATTCCACTTTATCACTATGAAATTAAATAGAGTCGTGAAAATAATGCAAAAATGCTTGCCCATCTGTTGCCTTTGGTGAGATCCTTGCCAGACATCTATCACCATATGGAGGGGCAAAAGGGGCTAATGAGGGCCTGACAGTTCACAAATGATCAAGGAACAGACACAAAACTAGACTAGTGATGGTTTCATTCTTCCCTCATAATTGTTTAGACCACATCAGGAAGAGCAGAAGGCACCCTTGTCCCTGTGGTAATTGTCTGCCCATTTGCATTAACCACCTTAAATGAACAACCATTTACCACATAGTAGTTCCAAGAAATAGAAAAACATGGATAGGTGAAACACAAAAATAATCCACATTCTTGTCATTTGTTTTGTTATTTTCCTCATTATAAAATAGCCACGATGTTAATAAAACAAAAACAACACCAGGAAAAGAAGTGAGATTTCTTTTCTTTTCTTTTCTTTTTCTTTTTTTTTAAACTCTTTGAGGCTCACACCTATGAGTTTCAAAATGCCTCCAACCTAGGCAGTGAGGGGAAGAGAGAAGATTAGGTAATTTATCAGCGAACAGGACAATCCACTCTTGGGTTACTAACTAACAGCTCTGAGGTAGTAGTGTTCAGCATCCAGGGGACAGAAACGTTCGCCACATGTGCTTTTGGTAATCCTCATGCATTGCTTTGAAAGTGCCAAAAGGGAAGCAATTAAGTTTGAAGTTTTAATGAGACTAGAGTACAAAAGATCAGGGATGGTATTGTTTCACAAGGCACATTGGTCACATTTACAGAATATTATGCTTGGCATTATTCTCACTATTTAAAAAAAAAACACACTCTAGAAAAATGGAGAGATTATATTATTGAGCAACTAAATGATCAAAGGACAAGAAAAATGGTTTTAAGGAAAAATAGAGTTGAAGTTGAGGAAATTAAAATTAAACAACCAGCTCTGGCTGCGAAGGTCCATTGGAGCATCATCCCAATATGTGAAGGTTTTTGGTTGGATCCCCAGTCATTGGATCCCCAGTCAGGAATTAACCAATGAATACAAAAATACATGGAATAACAAATTGATGCTTCTCTCTCCCTCCCTCCTTTTCCTTTTCTTTCTCTCTAAAAACATATCAATAGATTTGAAAAAATAGAATCAAACAACCAGCCTCCAAACTTAGGAAAGGTAAAAAACAAGAAGCCTATCATCCTTTAATATACTTAAAAGACAAATTGGCTTTAAACCATATTTACTACTAATCATTCACTCAATAAGTACATATTGAATATTTAATGCCTACTATGTGACAATTAGTGTTCTCAGTGCTTCAGCAGAGAACTGAAGACGTTTTGAAAATGTCAAAAGGCATTTCAAAGTATGTCAAGTGTCAGATCTACTGTGTGTCAGGCACTCACACTGGCTATAGAAAATGAGATGCAAATTTATTTAAAATATCACAGATGTGTGTTTCTATTAAGTGGAATGATATGAAACTGCCACTATTGAGCCAATTTTTACCTATTGTGTGGAAAACACACATATCTCAGTCTGTCTCTGTACAAAGCACCAAGGGTGAAGAAGATGAGAGGACTGGCTGGGAGAAGGGCACTCATGCCAAAGAGAGTCAAGGATATTACATGCAGTAACTGTAATTTCAATATAATGGAAGCATGGGAAACATTGGCAGAAAGAGCTGAAAAAGTAGCCTGAGTATTAAGCCAGAACTACAACACAAGTGGAGTAATTCTTTACCTTGAAATAAAATATAGTCTAAGGGCATGATTTATACTTAAAACTCTTAATCATAGTGGCATGTAAGAGAACAGTTTTGAATGTCTTCATGTTTAATAATGGGAGAATAGCAAATTAATAATGTATTTTATATCATAAAATAGTATTCATTTATTAAGCTTATGTTTATAGTAACTTTATAATATTTAATACATATTTTAAACATGTTAGAGATGATTTAAATGAAAAAGGTAATCTATAAAACTGGACATACAATGCAATTACAACTATGTTAAAATTATGATTAGAAAATAAAATACTGTAATACTGAAATGCTCAACTTTGATAGATAAATAAGGTGATAGATCAGTTTTTCCCAAAACTTCATGATATTTTCCCATTCTTTCCAGGTTTTCTGCAGTAAGAATGTATTATTTTCATTATATAGTCATAGAAAGCAAATAAAATAATGGTGACAAAATCATTCTCAGGTAACCTTTATAATCACTGTATGTAGACAAGACATAGGCCACTGAAACTAGATCTTACAATACTATAGTTTTTTTATACAGATCTTAGCAAGGTGCTAAATAATTACCAATTGAGCAACTGAATGAAGGTTTTGTTATAAGAAAACATAACAATAAAAAAGAAAAAAAACCCTTTGAATATATTATTTCTGCTAACTTAATAACATAGCAAAAAAATTCATTTTAAATAATTTGCCCCATTGCCCTACCTGGTTTTATGAAAAAAATTAGTTACACTCCCTTACATGGCTATCACACTAGAAGAAATTTATAGTCATAAATTGTTCAGCACCTGGAACAGGGCATTGGAAGAGAAGACACCATTCATCTCACCCTAATTCATCCATGCTGCATGAGCCTGCCAAAGATGTTAACATTATGTTGTAAATGGCAATCACGTCTTTGGGTCCCTCTCCGCCAGTCTATTTGAGATTGACTGGGGAAATCAAAGAGAAATACCTAGTTATGAACTTTGGAGAGAAACTGAAAAACATCAATCACCTGGACGAGTCTCCCTGAGAAAAGGAAATAACTAAATAAACCTTATCTAAGACTAAACGCAGGTGAAAATATAAGGAGATATCATTTAAAGAAAAAAAATTGTCTGGGAGTAAATAAAATGTGCCATACTAATTAGCACGAGACTTTGGTATCCTAATAAGTCATTGCTTTCCAAAATACACATAAAAATATTATTTCCAAATGTTTTCTCCCATTTCCAAATTAATTCTTAGCTATCTCAATCCTCCCTCCTTGAGTTCCCTACCCCTTCACTGCTTGCATTCTCTCTCTATAGCTCTTCAAATAAGAAAATACTTGAATTCCAATTCCTTTTATTTCCACTACCAGTCATTTGGCCTACATAGCCAGATGTACTCCTCCAGATGAAATGTACAGGCAAGAGAGGCATACAGGTGATAAGCATGAAATGGTAATTGAGGCAATGGAAGGATGTCAGAGGAAGCATTCAGTGTCATTGCTGAGGAATTGCCCACAATCCGGAATTCTGAAGATGTGCAAGGGGTGATGAAGTACAGATGCATCACACTGCCACTTCCGCATGGGAGTGTGTTTGTCTACTCATTTAAAGAAAAGTTCTTCACAAGGGAGTCTGGATTATACTCTTTTGTAGCCCACAGTGCCCAGTACTGTACCTTGCAGATTTACTATTACACTTATTTGAATATTTTACCTGGGAACACATGCCACCTGAGTAATGATGTAGTGTGATGCCAGAAACATAAGCATGATGCTGATCAGTACGTGTTTGCTGCATCTCTCATCTGTGTCCATCACTGTTCTGGACAAGTTACACAAAGCCTAAGACTTCATCTTTGCTCCTCAGAAACTCAAAAGGTGGGTCAGTTACTTCTTAGCAGCTAGATGGCCGTCAGTAAAACTTGGAAAATTAATAACATTTTGTTATGATGTTATAATTTGTAACTGTGATAGTCCAAGAAACTGTGATAGTCCAAGAAAGACATTGTCCAAAAGGGGATGAGGATGAGCCCAGCATGAACGAATGGTCTATGTGTGAGCATCGTGAACAGAGCAACAATAACACTTGCTCTTTTTCTATTCCGAAATGCATTCTATCCCTGAGATCAGAAATATTTCTAAGGATGCTCAGCCTACTGAACAATGGGATACAGGCTGCTGCTGCTTCTTTGTCGTGGATGCAGTAAGACTCAGATCACTGGAGCCCATAGTGAGGAGTGGGGTTAAGACTGTCATGTTACTGACATTCCTTCTCTCTAACTAGTCACAGCACTGTCACTCACCCGTATGTTTGTAGGTCACGGCCCCTAAGATAACATCTCCCTGAGAGAAGTGATCCACCGTGACTCCGCCTTTCCTCACCACCCCATGCTGAGGTCCTCGAGAAATCACAAACATCAGTTTCAAGTCATCACTGTCCGCATCAGTAGCAAAAATGTGTTCAGAGGTGATGACCACCTCATCGCCCTCTGAGCAATGCATCTGAGTGTTGAGGTCAGGCTTCAGGATCGGTGGCTCATCATTGACGGGAAGCACCTAAGTAGGGGGGGAAAAATGCATATTTTCAAGAAAAAAGAAAGCAATGACAAATGGTCCAACTGGCAACCCATAGCTCATAGTTGGAATGACAGGCATTTTCAATCTTCCAGGCACATGAAACAATAGCCATGGAACCAGGCCAAGCAGTTTGTATCTTTTAACTTTCCCCATATGAACCATCTTGTGAGAAACGACCCACCTGAGAGACATTCTAGGTAAGAATGGGAGAGCACAGTTATGGTTTGGGACTCAAATATCCCATTTGTTTCCAGGCAGACAAAATATAAATGTGACAGAAAGCATCCTTCACCACAGCCCCTGTCCTCCTTCATTAAACTCACACATATTCTAAAGCAAGTCTGGTCCTTGCGGTCCGATGCATTTACATCTCCCACATCAAAGTTATTTATACTTCAAATTACTTGATGATTACAAACCTTTCTTCTACCCTCAACTTCCTGCCACCCAGGAAGTTTCTCTGGACTTACAATAAACAGCAGCTGCATGTCAAACATTTTCAGTTAAATCTGAAACTCCATAACCATCAAATCAATGCCAGGTTTCAGCTTGACAAGACATTTTTCTATCACAGCCATGAAAATGAAACTCCATGCAGGAGGGAAAGAAAAGCCACGTGAACTCATGCTGGCTCTCAGGTTTTAAAAAGATGATGGGGAAATTTGAAAAAGCATATCTTCTAAATGGGAATGAAGGGCATTCCTCCTCCAAGTTCACAAGGGCAAATTGGTGTATGGTGTATGTTTATGTATCAAGTCTGGCCCTGTGAGTATTCTCACCCCCGCATTTCCTTCCCCCCTGCTTCAACCAATGGGATCTTTACAATCTGGTTCCCATCAAGTCCCTGCCCTGTGAGAACCTTCAATGGCTTCCCAGCACTGCTTCTAGCGTGTCTTTGACCTCATCTCATGCTATGGGGTTCCTTTGCCACCCCAATCCATTTCACCCCAAAACACTGCCTTCCTCACATCTCAGGTCTTTGCACCATCTCTGCATCTGCTCTCTGCCCCTTGGCTAGCTATGCTCTGCCCCCAGCTATCTGCTTGGCTACCTCCTCCCCCAGATTACATGTGAATTTCTTGTTCATCATCATATCCCAAGCATCTAGCATAGGACCTGGCAGAGAAGACACTAATTAAATATTTATGGAATAAATTAATGTAACCATGTATATATGCACCAGTTATCCTGTTATTTATACAACTGTTCAACTCTACCAGAAGTATACATGAAACTGTGTTGACACTACCCTTTAATGAAATAGAGGGTTGGGGTGATAGAAACATAGCCTTATTTATTTAATCACAGGTATACAATATTCTATTTTCTATTGGCTTATTAGGAAACAATATCTTTGTTCAAATCCTCTGAGTGAATTCATTAAAGACCCTCTTTATTATTTTTCTTGACTTGATCAATGAATCTCATTAATATATTTATGATAACCATCTTGCAGTTCACTAAATAGCCTCTGCTTCAAATGAATAATAAAGTCCAAAGGGAACAGAATCAAAACATTCTTCCTAGGTCAGTGGTCGGCAAACTCATTAGTCAACAGAGCCAAATATCAATAGTACAACGGTTGAAATTTCTTTTGAGAGCCAAATATTTTTAAACTTAAACATCTTCTAATGCCACTTCTTCAAAATAGACTCATCCAAGCCGTGGTATTTTGTGGAAGAGCCACACTCAAGGGACAAAGAGCTGCATGTGGCTCGCGAGCCACAGTTTGCTGAACACGGTCCTAGATAAAAAACAATAATATGCCAAAAATTGATTGTGCCTTTGATTGACTTTTAAAGGTCATGTCCTTTTGTCTAAAAAGGAACACATTGTCTTTCCCCAAATGTATTGCTTACTGTCAATAATAAGATGGCCATCAATAGAAAATAGGTTAGATTGGATTCTTTTCCCCTTAAATTTGATTTTCAGGGGGAAAAAGGTAATTCAGAAGAGTTTTTTTTTTAATATATTTTATTGATTTTTTTACAGAGAGAAAGGCAGAGACATAGAGAGCTAGAAACGTCGATGAGAGAGAAGCATCGACCAGCTGCCTCTTGCACACCCCCTACTGGGGATGTGCCCGCAACCCAGGTACATGCCCTTGACCAGAATCAAACCTGGGACCTTTCAGTCAGTAGACCGACATTCTATCACTGAGCCAAACGGGTTTCGGCGAGTTTTCTATATATAAAAGTCTGCTAATAAAAAATAACTTTTCTTATTGAAGCTGAAATAACACACTGCTCTTCATCAAGACCCCATGGCCCTTACGGGGATTAAGTGGGAAAATGCAAGGAGGGCTCTGCATGGAGACTGGCATGGAGAAGTACTCATGAAAGGTTAGCAACATGAAAATGAAAATCACCTGGTAAGTTACAATTGAGGCAGTGGTAAGGAGGAAGGAACACTGGCCCAAGTACCAGCCAATGGCAGCCCAGGTCTACACAGTCAAGATAATGACTTTGGGCAAGTCACTGAACCTTCTTGGACCTACATTCCTTCACCATAAAATGGGGATAATGCCTTCTCTGTCTATTTCTTAAAACACTAAATAGATATGATCATTCTTAATTAACTGTAAAACATTGTACAAACACATTATTATTATCACAAATAATTTCATATCACAAAGATCTGACAAAATTCCAAGGGAAGTAGGATATACCATAGTAAGGATAATCAGTGACTTTTCAGGAGCATGATGAGTCTCCTGAAATAGAGAAGGTCTATTTCAAAACCTTCCTTTGTCACTAACTATAAATACCTGCAAATCCTATGAGTTATGCTTATGGACTTGGGTGGTCATGCAACAGTGAAACTTGGGGTTCCCATCAGGCCTTTGGGCATGTACTCAACCTTTGTATGCAGACTTTTCTTCATTTGTCAACAGGGGGGAAAGAAGCCTTTCCAACAAACCGCAGGCAAATTCACAAAAGGGCACCTAACATACTAGTAAACAGACACAGCTTCCTCCCCACTATAACGAAATCCTAGTGATACTAGTCTCATCTGCCCAGCCGCAGCTTGAGAGTTACAGCTCAACAATATTAGAAATAATTTACATATAAAAGCAATTACTTTTGCGGAAACCGGTTTGGCTCAGTGGTAGAGCATCGGTCTGCAGACTGAAAGGGCCCAGGTTCGATTCTGGTCAAGGGCATGTACCTGGGTTGCGGGCACATCCCCAGTAGGGGGTGTGCAAGAGGCAGCTGGTCGATGTTTCTCTCTCATAGATGTTTCTAGCTCTCTATCCCTCTCTCCTCCTCTCTGAAAAAATCAATAAAATATATTTAAAAAAAAAAGCAATTACTTTTAAAGTTAAGTAAATGGGTTTGAGGTCAGAGCGGTTCTATGTTTAAATGAATTGGAGAGAGAAACATTGTGCCCATTTCACCAGTATAACTTTGTCCTCTGCTGCCTGTCCTGAGACATTCACAGATGAAAGCAGGCATTCTCTTCTTTGGAGTCTCTATTTTAAATTCTATAGGGACTCTGAGCAGGCTTCCAAACTAGATACTCTATTTCTATGTGAGCCAAGAAGGAAATGTTCTACCCACCTCGATGTGCAGAACAAATTCTACTGAATTGGTGCCATCTGTGACCTCCAAGAGTATGTCATCCTGAAGTGTTTCAGATCCATCGTGCTGATACCTGTGGGGATGACAGTGGTCACTGACCTCTCAAGGCCGCTAGGAGAGCACAGTGAGATGCCTGGCACAAGAGTTCTTGCATAACTTTGGCCATATGCTTAATAAATAAGTATCAAAAATGCAGCGGAAGACATTGGAAGATGGCGATATAATCACGAAGTCACAGATTGAATCACTCAAGGACCCATGAATGTAAAATTGTTCCACCCTGGAAAAAATGTGCTATATACATAATAATTTCTTCCCAAATTAAAAAGCAGTCCTTCAGCTTGCCACAATGACAATGGGAACCAGTTGGTGCAGCTCTGGCTACTTACAGAAAATACTGGTTGGTGGGATGCTGAGACTGAGCAGTAGGCCGGTAAAAGCAGGACACTGGATGTTCATGATTTTCCCTCCTCCCCCACTCTTAAGGCTTATCCTTATGCCTGTGCTCTGGATTTATTCAGCTCTTCTCTAAACCTTTGATCTATGAATTAGTTATTGCTTCTCTCCTGCCATTTTCCTTTTTCTATTTGTTAGCGCCCTGCCTCTCAAGCTATAAAAAATTGAGACTTAAAAATATTTTTTCTTGGTCTAGTCTTGGCTTCATTTCCCTTTAGTCAAATGTCTTAAAGATCTTGTCTAATCCTAGACTTTCCATTTACTCTGCAGACCACTATAGTGATATACATATAGTAAGTTCTAAACAGCTGTTGGATTGAGCCAAGTTTCTAGCTTATCAATGATCTGTTAAAGATATGTAGGAAAGAAAATAAGACCTAGGAAATTAAATTAGAAGTCCTATTACAAGCCAGTCACAAGGTACTACACATTGTATGACACCATTTATAGGAAATGCCCAGAATGGGTAAATCTACATTTACAGAAAATAGATTAGTGGTTGTCTAGGGCTGGGAGGAGAAAAAGGATGGGGGGGGGTGTGGCAGATAAAGGGTACAGCATTTCTTTTTGAGGTAATGAAAACATTTCAAAATTGATAATGGTGAGAGTTGCCCAAATCTATGATTATACAAAAAGCCACTGCATTGTATATTTTAAATGAGTGAATTGTGTACATATGGCATGTAAATTATATCTCAATAAAGTTGCTTAAAAAAACAAAAGAGAAAAGAAAGATTGCATAAAAATAGTATAGTATATTGAATATATGTATCTGATTATATATATATATATATATATATATATATATATATATATATCATATGAAAAATTCTAAAGCTAAAAGGTATTTTATTCAGGACTAGTCTCCCCCATACTCTGGCTAGAGACTCAGGTTTGGGATTCTAGTCCAGTGGTGGAGAAGGTCCCCCTCCCAGCACTAGTATCCCTTCCATAAGCTGCCTCCTTTATTTTGTCATGCTCCCTGATGTTTTCATCAAAAATAGGTTGATATGAGATAATGTGCTAAAGCTATCTCACCATGCTAAAACTTCTCAAAGGGCCAAGTAGGTCTAGGAGTACATATCCAAAGGCATGTCTATGAAGTCAAACAGAACTTCTTTTAAAACAAGACTCCCCCAATCAATAAAAGAGAAACACCACATGACCTCACTCATTTATGGATAATAAAGAACATTATAAACTGATGAACCAAAAGATAGATATAGAGACAGTAAAGCAACAAGCAGACTGTCAAATTACAGTGGGGAGTGGAGGGAGATCTGGGGAAGATAATAGATCAACCGAAGGACTTGTGTACATGCATATAAGTAAAACCAATGGACATAAAACTCTGGGGAGGGAGGATATGTATGGGAGGAAGGGAGGGGGGCAAAAAAAATCAATAAAATATATTAAAATAAAATAAAATAAAACAAGACTCTTACATACTTTCAACAATATAGGGGGGGATAAAACACTAGAGTGTCCTCCATATACTAGCTAAGTGACCTCAACCTCTTTGTACCTTTAGGTTAAACTATAATATGAGAATAAAATCATCTACCTTGTCAGGTTTGACTGATGTAAATATTAAATAAATTTTTTAAAAAACATAATTGCAAGTCTCTAGAAGAACACTTGAACTACATATGCTGATAAGTATTGATACTTTTATTTTTCTATCCATCATTCACACCCTATTAAGAATTACTTATACAGCTCTCTAACATAAAGTTAAGAGCTGAGATATAAAAAAAAAAAAAACCTTAATGAGAATAAGAGTAGTGTAAAGAGATAAAGATATTGGAGACTAAACAATGTAAATAAATTAAATTGATCTTCTTGTGTACAAATCCTACTTCCTAATCAATATTCAAGTGTGGAATTAAGCATTTGATGCTTAACACTTTCTACTATACTCTACCAAAAAGGCCAAAATTCCTATGTATAACTTGAACTTGTGAGAAATTAACTAGTACGTTGCTTTTGAAAGTCTGTTTTTACAAAGAAGGTTTGTTTGTTTTTTACTAGATTTTGTAAAAAGTTTATTACAGAACCATGAAAGACTAAGATCAAGGTAAGGGGAACTACTGTAGGACCATGAGGCAGGAAATGCCCTATCTGTGACTGTCAGACAAGACCTACTCCATGCCATACCTACTCAGCCTACCCTATTTGTTTGCCTACAAATCCCCTTCCCAGTAGAATAAAATTTACACTGAAGACATTGACCAACAGAATTCTATCCCAGAGTTCCCAGGGTTATGAAACTGGCTTTTCTTAAAGCCAAGTTCAATCACGTAGATTCGCCTTACCAATGATTTCACTCTATATTCATCTAGTTTACCTGTTACCTCTTGCAATATGTGTGGTTTCAGCAAATTCAATATTCATAAATTTTTGCTGTTTAAGTATCCATAAAATCATTCCCATTGGTTCAGCAAGCCAAAGGGAAAGAAAATGTCTGGAGAAAAGTTAAAATTTTGTCATTTCTCATTTTCAAGTGTCCCTTGAAAGTATTAAGCATGAAAGCACTTCTGAATGAATTGGACAAACTTCTTTCTTTTCCTCTTCCTCACCACTGATCCAGATGGGAACCAAAGTGTGCAAAAGAAAAATGCCAGGAAATGTTCTAACCTAACTTTTAAGGCATGGAGGTCTCCCCAAGAAAATGTGCACCCTGTGCTCAGAGGAAATCCATCCAGCTCCACCCTTCCATGCTGAGGCAGTCTCTGCGGGGAGAGGTAGATACTGTCCAGTGTGGTGTCCGCATCCGAAACCAGGATGTGCTTCGTGCTGATAACGCAGTGACCGCCCTCAGCCACTCTCAGGGGATTGGCGAGTACCTAGAAATAAGGAAAGCCACATTGAAAGCTTTGGTCCATGCAGTATCCCTGAAGAGAGAGCTTGTTAAATCAATAAAAAAGTTCCAGTACTATATTCACCTGTTAAGTAATTTTTTAAGAATGTGATAAAGGAGTCGAGCTCATAGTTGAACATCTCATCTGAAAAATGTTATTTACTAACTGTTTCTGATTCTAAGCATGGATGGATATGAAGAGTCAAGACAGAAGGCAGGTCTGTGAACCTCAAATGATCTATATTTCATTTATCCCAGACCCTATAGAATAAAGGCCGCACATTGGTTACTATCAGTGGAGCTAAAGTGAGAAAATATTTATCATCATGTGCACACTTACCATTGCTCTTCATATACACCTTAATCTACAAAATAATCAAAAGCTTTATCAAATTCCCCTTAGAAATAATTCATCTCTTTTTTCCAACCTAAAAAAACTTAAAGACTTGGGAAATTGGAGTTTTTAAACATCAGTTATAATGAGTATCTTATAGATGGAAATAGGTCAGAATTTTAAGATTCTATAGGAAATAGATAGATTTATCCAAACATTTACTTAAATATTGAAACCGTAGAGATATTTTTATAATAAAAAAAAACCCCACTGCTCAACTAATAATTCATTTGTAAATAAAATAAAAAATTAGAAGGTATAGCAAGGGAATGTTCCATGGTCAAGAAAGTTTAGAAAAATGTTACCTACAATGTCTTCACCTTGGAGATTTATAAGGCACAGAATACAGTCAATGCTCTGAGATCCTACAGTAAGAAAAGGTTAAGTGTGTCTAACCTGGCATTTTCTCAAGTTTGTATTACTACCCAGAAGCAAAGCAAGCAGATCCAGTTGGGCTCGGAGAGCCCTCACAGATGACTGGGTGGATGCCCTGCCCTCCGAGGACACAGCGTTCTCCATGGGAGCAGCCACTCTCCTCAGAGAATGGCTGTTGCCAGAAAGAAGACCGATCCCAGGGGAGGATTGTTAAAGGAACAGGTGAGGACAGGGAAGTCAGCGAGGAGAAGGCACAGCACCATTCAGAGCCCTGCTCTACCCTCCTGCCCACCAGGCACAGCTGCCAGGGGTATCCATGGATATCCCAAGGACAACCCTCTGGGCCAGAGAAACCATGAGACAACTGCCTTCTGTTCTTTAATAAACTATTTCCACCAGAAAAGGAAAACATAAAAGCAAGAGCTTTCTCTCCCTACAACCACCTTCACTCCTCTCCCACCTCAGAGGCCTTACTCTCATTTTGCCAAGCCTACATTTCCACTATTTGTAGGAGAAAGAAAGAAATGGAGCTCTTGTTGTGAAAGGAGTATTATCTTTGAAACATTATTTCCTGCATTACATTGCACAATATCTCAAGGAATACACTTTGTTAGAGATGATTTTTTTAGTATCATACATATATAGAACAACTTTCAAAACATGAAAGCACAAGGCTAACTTTCCCCCACTCATTATCATTGCTTTGGCTCTGGGGCTTCAGGTTAGCATGGTGTCAAGATCCCTAGTGGTTATCATTCAGCCCAGTGCAATGTGGATATTTGAAATCGGGAAACTAATCCTGTGACTGATTTCACTGAAACTAACTATTTCTACTATTCTCGGGTCTCATGGATACTATTTCATTTGTCCCGTAGACTGAAGAAAAAGAAGCCACCATGCCATGTTAGCTCCAACTCCTCATAACTATTCAATTAGCCTTCAAATGAAGTAGGTACCTGCTCATTGCCTTCTTGGCTTTCCCCCCAGCTCATCTTTTTCCGGGAAAGATACTTTTGCATAAAAGATACTTTTGCATAAATGAGTGTTTCCCCATAATAGTTCAAGAAAAGTTGTACCTTCTTCTTTAGATGTCAGACTATTTCAGGCATCCATCTCATAAAGAAGAGGATGGTGTGGATAAAATCTAATCATATTAACTGTTTTTTCTAAACTATTTTCTCCACAGGAATATGATCTGGTTTCTGACAGAGAAAGAGTCACAGAACAAAGTTTAGATTATTTTGTCTGGGTTCCTTGATGCATCTTCTATGAAAAATTACTAGATCATGCTGGCAATTTAAATGGCTGTGCTGAGTTGAGTGGGACTTTGGGGGCTGGAGAACACGCCTTTCCCCCCTGTTGCTATGAGACATGAAGCTCAGTATTGCCAGAGCTTCCAAATTTTCAATGGAATCCAGAAATCAAGACTTGATAAGAAACCTCCTGATGATTAAGTGTTGGCAATTCATTTTTCAAAAATACTGTATTTTACCCAAGTTCTGTGGGTTAGGTAAGCCCCTTAGTCCCTCAGGGTGAACCATCTGCACCACAACTGTGGGCTGGTATAAGAGATGGTGAGAAAGGTGCAAGAAAGGGAACATCAGTGCTTTCCTGGCTATCTTCCATGTAGCTAGCTACCTGTGAAGGAACCTTCAGGAATGAGACATGTGTAGATTCTAGTCTCCTCGAGTTCCTAATGAATGGGCAATCCTACTTTGCCTTTCAGCTTCTTAGGGGGAAAATGAGCCCAGGAATAGCAACACTAATTAAGCCCAGCACTCTGATGGGGAGGAGGCGGGGTATGGAACAAACTCAGTATGAACCCCAGCTTCTCAGATAAGACACACAAAGTGGCATTGCCTTTACAGTCAGTTTCCATAGGAGACCCCAGTGCTTTAGAGCTGCATAAAGGTTGGGGAGTAGGACTGAATAGAATGGAAGGGCCCATCTTAATTCATTTTGGAAAATTAAAAGCTTCTGTAGATTACAGAGTAGCATAACTGGCCTGCGGTGAGAGCAAATAAGCCCTTCTGGTTGCTAAGAGACCCATAACTTAATCCCCTTCCCCTGATCAACACATGAAACTCAGCAGAAAGAGAAGCAAATGAAAGAGATTTTGATAAAGCTTTGAAAATAATGCCAAATCCAGCAACTGGAAAAATCGCACCTTTTAGACAAAAAGTCTCGTGGGAGGTGAAGGGCTCCCCTCCCCATGCTTTTTCCTACGCTGTCACTGGAACATAAAATAGTTATTTTAAAAATGCCTGAAGGGGAGTTAGCACTTCCGATAACTTAAAGGCTTTCCTTAGGCCCTCCCTCATCATCGCCCTTCACAGCACACAGTGCACATACCTTCGGAACTTGGTTGTCCACTGGGAGAAGAGTGATGTTAAAGCAGATCCCATGCAAAGCCCCGCCATGTTGGTTACTGATGGAAAACGTGAACTGGACGTGTCTTAGGTGGGGGCCTATGTCACTCATGGGCGGCATGTAGGCCACTTTCCTGTAGTTCACAGCATCCTACAAAGTAAACCGAGATGGACACATGGATGCCAATTTGCAAGGATTAGAGACTTTTAGAGAACTAGGTCTCAGAGAACCATCCTGATAAGGACATGGAATATTGTAAATGCCACCGTCATTGATTTGAGCATTTCATAAAAGTCCACTTTATAAATCACATTTTCTAAAAATCAGGTGGAAAAGGGGCAAAGAAAGTAGGTAAATATATCAAGTGCTTAGAGCCAGTCAGCTCTGTAAAAGACAGGACACTTGAATGTTAACAGCTTCGCCACAAGAAGAGCTCTACCAGTTCAAGTAGCTGCATGACATTGGTCAAGCTGCTGACACTTGCAAGACCTCTTTTTCCTTATCTGTAAAATAAATGAAATGATAAAATAACAGTTCTTCCCAGATAGGTTTGACATACGCATTTACAGCATCTAACTACAGGGAGATAGGCAGAATTGGACCCAAACTATAGCTAGAGCTGTGGTCTGTACACTTATTACCCTTGTAGGTTTTCAGAAGAGTCCACAGGAGTAGAAAGAAGACGGATAAAAATTTTGGAAACTAGTAGATGTTCTGGTTGAATTGTGTCCCTCAAAGGGTATGTTGAGCCCTGACTGCTTTGGCTCAGAAGATAGAGCATCGGCCTGCACACTGAAAGGTTCCAGATTCAATTCCGGTCCAGGGCATGTACTTTGGTTGCAGGCACATACTCAGTAGGGAGTGTGCAGGAGGCAGCTGATCCGTATTTCTCTCACATAGATGTTTCTGACTCTCTATCCCTCTCCCTTCCTCTCTGTAAAAAAATCAATAAAATATATATATTTTTAAAAAGTATCTTGAAGACCTAATCCCTGGAACCTCAGAATGTAGCTTTATTTGGGAATAGGTTGTTGCAGATGTAATTAATCAAGGTGAGGTCATAGTGGAGTACAGTGTGCCTTTAATCTAACATAACTGATAAACTTACAAGAAGAGAAGAGAGACAATCAGGAAGAAGATAGCCCTGAGATGACAGGCAGAGGTTGGAGCAATATATCTACAAACCAAGTCATATCACAGAAAGCCTGCAAACCACCAGAAACTAGGAAGAGGAAATGAAGGATTCCCTTACAGGGTTTCAGAGAGGATGGCCCCTGCCAACACCCTGATTTGAGGCTTTTAGCCTCAAACTCTGAAATAATAATTCACAGTTCTTTTAAGCCATCCTGGTTGTGCTACTTTGATACAGCAGCTCTAGTACACTAATACGTCAGGATATTAAATAAACGGAATTTAGTGGAATAAAAACATATGTGCCTGGTCCCTGCTGGCAACACAATGCAAAAGTCTGTAGTGAATTACAAGATTGTGAAATCATATCCAGCCTGATCAAGCACTGTCAAGTAGATGCTTGCATGCTTAATGTAAATGCACAAGCAGAAAGGATAAAGACATCAAGCACTAGTAACAGACATCAAAGGCCATCATTCTCAAGGGCAATACTAGGAGCACCATGACTTCTCTGAGGATACTTCCTTCCATCATGTTTTTCAGCATTGTAGCACAGCATCCCACCTGAGTGAATGACTTCAAGTCCTGAGCTGCAGGATTCTTGGTTAGCTTTGGTATGCTATCCACCATGAATAATTTTCCAGCGTCCAAGTGTCTAAAGAGAAATATTAAACACATCAGCTCATTTTTCAAGTAATGAAAATTAAGTCAAATAGCCTACCACCAAGTTAAAAAAAAAAAAAAAACTAAAAGAGCTCATCATAGGAAGAAATAAAATATTCCTTTATGTTAGGGGTGTTAGCCTTCAGTGTAATCTCATCAATGCTATTTTCATCACTGTTGCAAAAAAATACGTACAATATTTTCTGCTTGACATCGTGAAAGAGAATCATTATTCTCATCCTAAAAATGTTTCCTTGCTATCATGTACATGAAACCGGCTAAGGTATATTCATGTCACTTCCTTGATTGGCATCATAGCATATGACCATTTTGTGACCTGCAATAAATACCTAAAAATAATGCAGTAGAGACTCAATACATTTTACTAAAAAGAAAAAAATAGCATTTTCTTTAGAAAAGGGGATTAAAAACTGTTTTTAGGGCAGCTAAGCTGAAGACACTACAAGATGCAGGTCACTTATCCATTAATACAGCTTTGGAAGGGGGTTATAAGCCTGAAATTAGAGTAAATGCTAAATGGAATGTATGTTCATGTCTGACAAGAAAGCAATTGAACCTCAGCACCATATATTGACCTTTTGGACTCTCCAGTCCTAGAACACAACGCTCTAGCAATGACCTTTCATAGATACCTGTGACTGAAAGAGAAAAATGGAGGAGTTGTTATTGTATAGACCAGCTCCCTGTCATACGATTCCGTATCTATGAAATGTAGATGCTTCTTAGTTAGGTAGGCCACCTCCGTTTCCTTGACAACCAGATGCCGAGAAACTCCAGGAGCCTCTTTTGGAAGCTGGTCATCCACTGGAGTGATATGAATTGTCACCACCTGAAAAGAAACGATCTGTACCATTAGTGTAAGGTACCAAAAAAGACACCAAGAAAACATCCCCACAATCACCTATTATGGTGATTTTGGAAAACTTACAATTATAATAGACTTTCATTGAAATGATTTAGGAGGTATTAAGAATGTGAACCAAAAATGGAACATTCTCCACCCATTCGATACTACATTTTAAGGATGTAATTATCACAATTATAGGTAATCGTTCATGAGTGCTATAGAGAATGGGTATTTCTGCATCTCCCTTCCAACACCCACCTGTGCATTTTTTACCTCCCTTACTCAGATTCTAGAAACCGTGACAGAAAATTTGGCTCCTCATTTTCTCTCCACACATGTATAAAACACCTCCCAGAGTCTCTACTTATAAAATTCCTATACACTGACCACACTTCACTCCCACCCCAGCTGTCATTCCTCTAGCTCTCATAATTTCTTCCCCACATTATTGCAATAGCTTTCTGCTGGCCCCAACTGCAGTAGCTAATCTAGACTTATATACCTCTAGTGTTATCTTTTAAAAAATACAAATCAAATCAGGTTATTCCCTTCCTCAGTCTTAATAACCACCCAGGAGGGGCAGCCTTATTCAAACTCCTTAGCATGGCATCTAAGAGCCTCCACAGTTTGGTTTCGATTTTGTAGTGATTTTTTGCCAATATTATGTTTTGGGGTTTTTATTTATTTATTTATTACTTTTAACACTAATTTTGAAAAAGATATATAACCACCACCACTCCCCCCCACACACACACAGTTTGCACACCCCATTTTTCCACTTTATCGGCTACTACTTTCAACAGTAAGCCAGCACTCCAGCTGCACACAAAGGTCTGGGTCTTAGACTTTGAGTTATGCTGTTTCTTCAACTTGGAATTCTTTTCTCCTGCTTTCTCCAGCAACCTGAGTTTTTCTTGTACTTAAAGGCTCTTCTTAAACATTCCCCAATTTCTCAGTTAGAATTAATTGTTCCTAAATTTGTTTGTTCCTTGAGAAACATTATTAGTCAGTAGTTCACACACAGTCTCTCCTAGACTGAAAGTTCCCTAAGAGGAGGGTCAGAGAATAGTACAAACCACATGGAATTTGACAGTGAACAGGCTGTTAAAGGTTTACATATGCCACTTAGCAGCTATTGATCTTGAACAAGCCACTAAACTTTTCCAAATGTCCATTTTCTTATATGTAAGTTAAGCATAATGACAACAGCCTCACAGAGTTGTTATGAGGATCAAAGACCACTATGTAGCCAGGACTGGTTTGGCTCAGTGGATAGAGCGTTGGCCTGCGGACTGAAAGGTCCCGGGTTTGATTCCGATCCAGGGCATGTACCTTGGTTGTGGGCACATCCCCAGTGGAGGGTGTGCAAGAGGCAGCTGGTCAGTGTTTCTCTCTCATCGACTTTTCTAACTCTCTGTCCCTCTCAATTCCTCTCTGTGTAAAATTAATAAAATAAAATAAAAATAAAAAAGACCACTATGTAGATAAAAATGTCTCACACATAGTAGGTGCTCAATAAATATTCTGTTCACCGCTATAGCTCTACATCTGGCACAGTATTTTGTAGGTAGAAAGCACTTCATCGGTGTTTGAATGAGTCAATATGTCCTGTTTGTGATTTTTAAGAATTCTTAAAGCACATTCACAGGTCTGGATCCTGCTAGGGGGCATGGAGAGTTTGCTCCACAGCTTCTTTTAAAAATATTTTTTTACTGATTTCAGAGAGAAAGGAAGAGAGAGAAAGATAGAAACATCAATGATGAGAGTCACTGATTGGCTGCCCCTCCAATGCCCACACCAAGGATCAAGCTCTCAACACAGGCATATGTTGGCCCTCAACCACTGGGCCATGCTAGCTGTGCAGCCGAACAGCTTTTCTTATCACATTTTCTTATAATAACCCATGACTGGTTGTGAGAAAGCAATTACTTATTCTCTCTTGCAATGGTATATTTGCTTGGTGTCGTGGGTTTCTTCTCCTGGTTTTTATTTCTTTTAATATTTTAATAACTTTATTTTAATAAATTTAATATTGTCATTGAAGCACAGATCTGCAATGCCAATTTTTAAAAATATCCTTTTTTTTCTTTATTTTAGATAGAAGAAAGGAGAGGGATAGAGGATAGAAATATCAGTCGACTGTCTCCTACATGCTCCCTGCTGGGGATCAAACTGGTGACCTCTTGGTTCATGGGTAGACGCTCAACCACTGAGCAACACCAGCCAGCAGCAATGCCAATTTTGTCTATAATAATAGTATTCACAACACCCAATTTGAAAATAAAGTAACTTCCTTTTTAAATTGACATACAAAGCAAAACACACACACACACACACACACACACACACAAACACACAAAACTACAATATTGAAAATACTGGGACATTAGCTGTGCAAGCTGTGCCCCCTGAGGCAAATCAGTGAGCCCCTTTGGGATCCGTTCTTCTCTCCGAACATTGGGAATGATAACAAGGGCTGTTGTAGTGAGGTGTTGTCAGGATTAAATGAGATAGCTAGTAACACAGTGAGTACTCGGTAGTAGGTGTTCAATAAGTTAATTCCTTGTCTCCATTCTTCATTGCTCTTACACAAGCCTACAGCATATGTGCTGCTCCATTTTGGAGCATTTCAATAATTAAAAACTAAAGGCAGTTATCAAAATAAATAAACATGATGACAGTCATTTCTCCAGTCTCCTGGAGTCGATGTCACAATTCCCCCCCTCCCCTCCCCCAATTATAGTTTCTTGCTAATCTACAAAGTTCAGAAATTCTCTGTAGGGCTTCCCAGCCACAGCGTGGATCAGTGAGGCTGCACTTAATTGAAAAACTGGATTTAATAAGGAAACAATAGTTATTGTGCCTTCAAAGAGACCATTTTCCATGCTAATTTAGTCTCCAATGTGTTCTTTGTGTGGAAAGAATGTACCAGGCATGCTTTTTTTATACTCCTGTAGTAATTCTTGGTGGGCACATTTTTCAACATGCTTTATGATCGCCTAGGTTGATGTGTCTTTACTACATATTGATGTATGTTTAAACAATTACTCTGTGTGTGTGTCTGTGGATGAGAAAAATCCTATTTGAACAAACTCCATAGAGAAATGAACCATTTACATTTTACTGAAATTTGGTTGTGACAAAGACGTTATTAAATAGCCATTCCCCAACAGTGGGAAAGCAATACCCAGCCCAATTGTGGGGCTCTCACTTGCTGGGGTCCCCTGCATGCCTCCAGTCTACTTAAAGTCACAAGCACCCAAAGACAGACTTACAGGGAATCAGAATACAAAGTGACAAATCAGTACACAGAGTGACAAAGCCTAACCTTGACCCTCAGTGTTCATAATATTTTGTGGGCGGATATCTCTCCCTTGTTGATATGGATTCTTGATCCTTTCTTCACCCTGACCTTTGATTCCTGTCTGATTATTTACCTTACAGCTTCCTTTGAGTTTATCCTGTGCTCCTTTTTGCCCCCAGGAACTACTTCCAAAGCTTTTGGCCCACCCTACTTTCAGGTTTGACTTCTGAATGCTCACACCCTGGGTGCCGGTTCTCTTGTCTGGCCCTAGTTCATTGCTCCCTTCCACTTCAGCCTCAGGCCTTTGGAGCATCTGCTGTCATTTCTTAGTCATCTTTCTGCTTCTCTCTTCTATCCTTATTTTGTATTTTCCATTTTACTCCCAACATTACTCTCTCCTGGTTTAAGATCTCCTGAGGCTTAGACCCTATAAAGTTCTCTACTGAGGAGGATAAAGAAGGAATATTTTTAAAAAGCAAATTGAAGCATTGAACAGACTGCCAAACTACAGCGAGAAGGCAGGGGAGGCTGGATGGGGGAGGGGCTGTAAGAGATCAACTGAAGGACTTGTACCCATGCATATAAGCATAAACAATGGATACAAGACACTGGGGGGGGGGGGGGGTAGGTAAGGGCATGTACTGGGGGATAGGGGAGACCGGAGAGAGGTCAATGGGGCGGGGGGGGGGAGGAATGAGACATAGGTACCTTATTTGTAATACTTCAAACAATTAAAAAAAGCAAATTGAGAGCATGAGGCTTTATTTGATGACAGTCATGACAACCAAGATAGGAAGAGGGAGGGGTTTCTTGCTGATGTGTGAGCGTCTTGTTGATGCACAGGTAGATCTCAGCAGGAGTGTCCAGTGAGGAAGCATGAAAGGCGGTAAGGAGCATCCCTGTTTTTATTAAATTGTTTTTTACCTGAGGAGATGGTTGGTTTCTGCTTCCATCAAAGGAGGAGTTTTAACATGTGGCCTAAGCAATCATCTGAGTTTAACTTAACCTTCAGTGACCACGGGACCTACTGATCACAAAAGCTCCCATTAAGTAGCCATCTTATCTGGACCTTTAGTTGAATAGCTGAAAGTTACAATTTTTAAAAATACTTTAAATACAATTTTATATGCAGGGCATGACTATCTAATTGTCCAAATTGAAGATGCAACCGTCAAATAGACTAGATCATCATTTAAGTTCCTTAAAATTTGGACTTTTCAATGAAAGTATCAGGGTTTTACAACACAAAAGTTCTCACCAGCACACACACCTACAATACTCGTTCTGTTGTAGTGCACACATTAATTAAACTCTGGAGAATTAAACTTTGCACTTACTACTTCTTCATCTCACTACCTCCCTAGTTTTTACAAGACATTTCAGTTTTCTTATTTCTTCCTAGTTTTAATAAAAGTCGAAAGAACCAGAACAGTTTTTGAGGTTCTACTCTGAGCCCGGTATCAAGGCCTGAAGACACAGACGAATAATTTAGGATTCCTGTCATTAATGAGCTCACAGTTTATCCAATAAAACAAAGAATGGCATCACATTATAGTGATTTGCCATTGGATCCGCTACATAAAAGGACCACGTGACCCAGCATGGGGGAACTGTGGAATGAGGGCACCAGAGAAGACTTTCTGGAAGAGGCGATGTTATCACTGAGAGAGGGTCCATGCCTGGAGAGGAAGTGAGCTGGTACTGCCACATATTAGAAGAGGGAGAATTGGGGGAATGGATATGTGAAAGAAATGAGCCACATGCTAACCTGACAAGCTCAGGGAAGGCCTGGGTGGCAATCTTGTAAACCCAGAGACCTAAGATAACCACAAAAGATGGTTTGGAAATTAAATATCTAACAGGTTATAGTAGCTAATCATGTCCCAGATATTTTCCCAGACAAAGATCAACTTCTATCTTTTTACTGAACCCATTTGCCTTTTTGCCTCTAAGATAACATATCTGTGAGATATCTGGGTAACTTGTAACTTCCCTTTTTCCGGAGCCCCTGGGGCACAACTAAATGTGGTGAGCACCAGGACAGATGCTTCAGATTCCTTCGTTATCATGTTAATTGTTTCTGCACTCACCTGAGTACAGGTCAATCATTTTACTTTTAATCTAATCCCAGGGGTTTCCCACCTCTTTGCTTTCTCCCACCTCTTTACTCCATCACCAATAAATTTCATGTAACCCATCTATGTCCCTCCTTTGATTTCAGTGTATAAATAGAGAATTGTAACCCGCCATTCTTCGGAGCATTATCTCAATCCGTTGAGGTTCTGCTTCCCGGGATATGTCAACAGTAAGGCTCAAATAAACTCACAAAAAAATTCCTTACAGGTTTCAATGGGTTTTTGTTGTTGTTGTTGTTAACAGATACTAGATAAATTATATTGAATACAAAGTTACTAAATCAGTAGATTTTAACTGTCCTCAGTTATAAGGATATTGCTGATCTATTCTTCAAGAGACCCTGTGAGGGATTCTGAGGTTAATCTAGTCCAAAAAGATGAAGGTTGGGACTAAAGCAGTGGCAATGGGTGGGGAAGTATAGACAGATGAGAGAAATTTATCTGGTAGATTTAGTTAGATTTGCTGACTAATTAGTTATTCAGATATTATAGAGAGAAGGGATTAGGGATGACTTCAGAGATTCTAGTTACAGTGGTTTTGTGCAAGCTTGGGGGAAATATACCTGAGGACATGGTGTTTTTAAAATGCTGTGGACATGGTGTGTTTTTTTGTTTTTGTTTTTGTTTTATTTTTTTAAAATATATTTTATTGATTTTTTTACCGAGAGGAAGGGAGAGAGATAGAGAGCTAGAAACGTCGATGAGAGAGAAACATCGACCAGCTGCCTCTTGCACACCCCCTACCAGGGATGTGCCCGCAACCAATGTACATGCCCCTGACGGGAATCGAACCTGGGACCTTTCAGTCCGCAGACTGACTCTCTACCATTGAGCCAAACCAGTTTCGGCGACATGGTGTTTTTAAAATGCTGGTGAGATTTGTGTGCCAGGCCTCTAGTAGATTAATAAGCTGAAAGCAGATATAAATGTAATTATGACTCCTTCTTTAGAAACCCTTCCATCTATCCAAAGAAATAATCTCATAACTGGATCTTACAGTAATTAATCTGACTTATTTTTCAAAATTTAGAAATAATTTTATTTGAATAAAGTTTTTATTATGCTGGTCCTCATTATAAAGGGATCTAACATTTACACTTGAAATTAAATATGATAGAAAGAAAATATAACCTATAAAATATATAATAGAAGAAAAGAGAAAAGCAGTCCCTAACTTTCTATTTTTTAAAAGGCATATAGTCTGCTGAAAGTGATATGATATTCTAGTTGAAAACAAAGCTCAGTTTGAATAGTTGCAACAAATTATTTAGAAATAAATCCTTTGGATAGTTATAATTTAGGGTTAGCAAATCAACTAAGGTCTCAAGCAAAATGTAATCTAGAAATAGAATAACACAAGGAAAGAAGGGACTGTTATTTGTAAAGGAGTTAATAAGCAGTTAAATTGAGAATTCTCTTATTCTCTAATTTTTATTAATAGGGACCACCTACTTCCTTCAGTTTCTGGGCTCTCAGACATCATTCTTCCTGATCATTTTCTTTGGTTACCTTTAACTAAGCAAACAGATGAATAGCTTAATCATCTATGCATTGGCCATTAGGGACAGAGGCTGTAGACAGCTATTCCATTGATTCAAGATTTGCTTAGAACCCTGCATATTCTACCTTCCAAGATAATAGGGATAAAATGCCTTAAAAAATAAATGATATGTAATAGGTGATCACTTAATTGAGCTCTCCTTTTTTCACTCCAACCACTAGCCACCCTCTCCTTGCAGAGAGCTTATCTTCTTACATTTGTCCATATACTATACTAATTCCATCTCTGTAATTTTTTAAAATATATTTTATTGATTTTTTTTTTTTTACAGAGAGGAAGAGAGAGGGATAGAGAGTTAGAAACATTGATAATAGAGAATCATCGATCAGCTGCCTCTTGCACACTGGGGATGTGCCCGCAACCAAGGTACATGCCATTGATCAGAATCAAACCTTGGACCCTTCAGTTTGCAGGCCGATGCTCTATCCACTGAGCCAAACCAGTTTCAACAATCTCTGTAATTTTTATATGAGAATGCCTTCTTACAATTATTTCTGCATTCTGTGAACTTAAATATTATCCTTGAGTTGTAGTAAAACTCATAGTTCTTCAAAAGCAGCAATAGATAATAGCTAATTTATCTATTGAGTGCTTACCATGTGCCAGAAAGTGCTCAGTACTTTATATATATTACTTACTCTCACAATCATTCTCTAAGGAAGTTGTATTAGTCCCTGTTTTACAGATGGGGAAACTGAACCACAGATCAAGCAGATAATTGTGTCAATGCAAAACAGAAACATAGGCAGCCGAACTTCACAGCCTATACTTGAACTACAATATATAAATTGCCAGTGTTTTCCTGAGTGATATGAGGACAGCAAATTTTGTGAGGTGTCCTATATAAAGGTGCTGGAAATATCACTCACAAAAATTTGCAGAACTCATTGGAAAAGTAAATGGTAGAAAAGTGATGTTACAAAGAAATTGACTTACTTTTGCTTACTCCATTGCTTCTCAGTCTTTGAACCTTGAGACCTATTTTCATGTAGTTCCTAATAACATTTCCCCATAACTGATATCTGCAGACAAGTCTTTGAGAAGTGCTCAGAATGGCCTCTTACCTGTGGCACTGAGAGATTTGGAGGTTCATGGCTGTCCCAAAGGACAAATTCAAAAGAATCTTCAAAGATTTCTCCACCAAAGTGACGATAGTAAATGATGCCATTAAACAGGTCCCTCTGAAGGAAGCCGGGGACAGGATAGCCTATTGGGTCCACAAAACACCAAGTATTTTTGTAACCAACTACAAGTGTTTGGATATAAAGATATTGGACTTATCTCAAGTCTTCTCTGCATATCATGTTGTATGTACCCAAGGACTCTTCATAAAAGATTATAAATAATAAAGCAGAAAAATTAAAGTTGTTACATATGTTGATAAATTTACATTAGAAAAGTATTTTTAAGAAACATTGTCTTAAGAAACACTACTTGATCCCTATTTTGACACTCCTGACTATTTTAAGAAATTATTCTAACAAAATATAAGGAAATGCTATTCATGAAATTACTTTATCAATAATCTACAATAAGTCAAGCATCTCTCTTCAAACTTATTTGTTCTATCACTGAACTTGGCTGACTTAATTTTTCCAAGTGAAATGATTACTTTCAGGCACAGCTCTGGAACTTTCTAGATATCCACCCTTGAATGAATCAACTTCAAGTCTCTAAGTCTCAGGCTTCCCATCTATAAAATGGGAATAATAATAGTATCTCACTTCATAAACTGACATCTTCACACAAATATCTTCACACAAATATCTTAACTGCCCAGAACTTACCTGTCAGTCCTGGCCCTGGCTTCTTCATGATCTCTCCAGCCTGAGGAGGTCCCGTGACGTTAAAGAAGATGTAGTCATCACTGGAGTCCATGTCTGACGCTCTCAGCATGGACCCCTGGATCAGTATGGTCTGGCCCTCCTCCAGTTCGATAATAACATTATTGATGAGGAATGGGGGACTGTCATCTTTGGGCAGAATGTTGATGGGAAACTTATAGCGGATGCTGTGATGACCATCGAATATCCTGAAGACCACAAAGTCTTTGGTGGAGTCGCTGTCATCGTGATGATAGCGAACAACTCCAGCCTGCAGGTCAGCCACGGTGAAGAGGAAGCCTTTCCCCCCTGGAGGAGAGAGCAGAGATGGCAGCGACTGAGGGAGGGGCTCAAAGGCAGCCCTTACAGGGGACGCTGCACTAGGCAAAAGGGCACTGAGGAAAGGGGTGCAGCTGATACTCTCCACTTTGGGAGAAACCACCTCCACAAATCAGGTTTTGAACACTGGTTGTAACAACTATTAGCTGTGTAGATTGGGCAAGGTATTTGATTTATTTGAGACTCATCTACAAAGCAGAAGTATGGATGGGAGAACATAAACAAAAGTAAGCTGACAATAAATGTTAATTATTGTTTCACTCATTATTATCAACCTACACGGCAGAACTTCTTACAGGTGTGGTCTCAAACCAGCAGCATCAGCACCATCTGTTAGAAATGCATGTTTTTTAGGCCCTATCCTAGACCTACTGAAATAGAAATTCTGGAGGTGGGCCCAGCATTATGTGCTTTATCAAACCCTCCAAGAGTCCACTGAATGCTAAAATTTGAGAAGCACTGGCTTATTGACCAAGAGCTAAAGCTCTGGTATCAAATGGCCAAGGTTCAGATCCCAGTTCTGCCACTTTCTAGATACATGACCTTAGAATGGTTGGCTTCTCTAAGACTCAGTTCCCCATATGTAAAGTAGAATAATAACAGTACCTCACTTTATAAAGTAGTATGAGATAAAGCATGTAGAATATTTTGCACCATATCTGGCACAAAGTAAATACTTAATAAATATTAGTACTATTTCCTATATCCTCTGAGCCCAGAACATGATTTTCTTATAGGCCACTTCATTTCACAGTATTAATAAACATTGCTTCACTTTGTATAGACATTTACCATTCTTGACGGCAGGAGCCTCATTACTCTCCCCATACCATGTGTCCGTGGTAAAGACTTCACTGGAATCATGATTAAACTCTAGTATAATGGACACTGCAAGCTACTTGCCCAATAGCCCTCAACTGCTTCTTGCTTGGTACCAAGATCCTAGTTCTATTTGGAATGGCATGAGACCATGTTTAAAAAATCCTGTCCCTAGAATCTACTACATGCTGGGATAGCATGTGAGTTGATAGGAGATATAAGTGAAAGTCACTGTATCCAACACCTGGGACAAGTGGTTGAAGAAAGCAAACTAAGATGGCATAATTTTTTTCTTTCTTCTTTTCTCAAATGCAGACCCAGTGTTAGAAGTATAGGTGCCATCTTGTGAGCACCAACAGAGAAGAAAAGAGAGCATCTGGCATCATTGATATGGAATGCCTACATCTGGACAACTTGTCACATGAGGAAAATATGAATTTTTAAGCCACTGTAATTGAGTTTCCCTACATGCAGCCGAACATCCCCCCTAACCGGCAGACTCAGTCATAAGCTGACCTGGCACGGGCCTGGGATTAGACAGGAGGATTTATCATTTTATTTTTGATTTCAGAATTCCCTTATCATAAATGATGATTAATAAGAGCTCTCTTTCTGCTTTATAATTAGGCAAACTAAGAGGATAATTGAATTAAATCCTCTGAGCTTATTATCAAGAATGGACTATATCATCATAAAGTATGGCTATTATTTTTATTAGGCTAATTAACCTTAGCTACCATCCTTATAATTATAAATTCATTCTTTTAAACTATGGTAACTACTCCTAACATCATAATAATATAATGATTACCAAAGTATTTTTTCTGTTTTTCAAAACATTTCTCTGAGACAGAGAAATGATAGGAAAACATTTTGTCTTCCTACTGTGATGAGACAATCAATTAAGGAGTATATTTAGAAGGAGTCCAATAAGGCATCTGAACTTTACTTATTTTTTTAAAATATATTTTATTGATTTTTTACAGAAAGGAAGGGAGAGAGCTAGAGAGCTAGAAACGTCGATGAAAGAGAAACATCGACCAGCCGCCTCTTGCCCACCCTCTACCGGGGATGTGCCCGCAACCAACGTACATGCCCTTGACCAGAATCGAACCTGGAACCTTTCAGTCTGCAGACCAACGCTCTACCACTGAGCCAAACCGGTTTCGGCGGCATCTGAACTTTAAATAATGAGCTGAGCCTAAGGCACCCTCATAAACTAATGTAAACATTAGTACTAAGGCACAAATGTTTCAAGATCTCTAGATTTGAGGGATATGACAATTCAGTTAGAAATGGGGCCCAAGAGATGCTAGATACACCCTGTTAAATATGACTTGTTTTTGGAGAAGTTTCTTCTCCAGCTCTATGCTCAGTTACCAAGGTTGATCCTTCACCTCGTATTGTGAGCCGCCCATGCTGCAGGCCATCCACGGTGACCAGCTGTACAGCACGAATGTCATCATTGTCAACAACCTGAAACTGTTCCCAGGTGATGGCCCGAGACTGCCCTTCCAGGAGATTCAGACCTGCAAGACAAAACAAACATGTTCTGTGGCATGCCAACACGCATACGTTAGGACGAAATTAAGGCATTTTAACTCACATAACTAGCTGAAATTGTATTCCCAAATACTTTTTAAGAAACTGGAAGTTAGCCCTAGCTGGTTTGGCTCAGTGGATAGAATGCTGGCAGCGAACTGAAGGGTCCCAGGTTCAATTCCCACCAAGGGCACTTGCCCGAGTTGTGAGCTTTATCCCCAACAGGGGACATGCAGGAGGCAGTGATCAATGATTCTCTCTCATCATGGATGTTTCTATCTTTCGCTCCCTCTCCCTTCCTCTCTGAAATCAATAAAGAAATATATATATATATATATATATATATATATATATATATATATATATTTTTTTTTTTTATTTTTTTTTTTTTTTTAAGAAACTGGAAGTTAGCTTTTATTTTTAGAAATATTTTCACTTTTAATACTATCACCAAATACAATTGGCTCCTTGGGACATATCCTTTAGAGACATGACAGTGCCAGAAAATAAACACCAAGGAAAGAACAGATGTTATGCTCACAGTGGCCTCTAACTCAAAATGTCCACAAGGACTTTTCCAAAGGCCATATCCATGTTTTGTAGGCATGAGTGGCAGAAGTACTTTTACAAGTAAAGCTGAGTCTTGAGCAACAAGGGTTTGAACTGCACAGGTCCATTTATACAGACTTTTAAAATAAATACTGTAAATGTATTTCATCCTCCTCATGATTTGCCCTTTTCCATTTTCCCCTGTTTTCAGTGTAGGATTAAGTGCATGCAACCTGCCTCAGCAGCTGTTGCTAGGGAACCTGAGCTATGAAATACAGCATATTTAAGGGAAAGAAGAAAAGAAGGGAGGGAGGAAGGAAGGGAGGGGTACATATAAAGAATCTCTGTGACTGGTAATAACAATTTTGAAACCAAGAGTGTACAGTATGGCCCAGGACAAGGCATCACAAGGGACACAGCAAAAGAGTAAGCAAGAAGACTATAAGTATATATAGCAAAACATTAACAGCAGCAATGTCTATACAATGAAGTAATAAATGATTTTGAATAAATGATTTTATTCATTTATTACTATATCATTCATTTTTTCTCAATCATTCATTTCTATTCATTCTTTTCTTTTCTTTTCTTTTACTATTTATTCATTGTATCTTCCCATTTTTAAACAATGAACACATAAGTTCATAATAAGTAAAATTTTACTTTAAAAAAATGGAGTCTAATGTCCAGAGTAGCCAAAACCAGATTTGGAGTTCTCTTAACAAGCCTGGGCTTCACAGATCACACATAAATATACAGACTATTAAGTCTCTATGCTCACATAATAATCTACTTAATATGTGATTATAACTACTAAACTACAGGGCACCAATTCCTTTTTTCTTTTCATTATGCTTCTATCAGAGGTAGATGAGACACAGAGTCAAAATTATAAATCAAGGCTACTCAACTAATGTTATCCATCTCTACTGAAAATCACATGCAGACAAACTCGTGTGCATACAAATATATTACCTACATGTAAACACACAACTGAGATTTATTCAAGCTGCCACCAGAGGATTTAAATCAGACACAGATATTATCCCCTTAACACAGTGGTTCTCAAACTTTCTAATGCCACGACCCTTTAACACAGTTCCTCATGTTGTGGTGACCATAAAATTATTTTCGTTGCTACTTCATAACTATAATTTTGCTACTGTTAATGAATCATAATGTAAATATCTGTGTAAATATCGTAATGTAAATATCTGTCCATAGGTTGAGAACCGCTAGCAAGGTTGCCTAAGACCATCAAAAAACACAGATATTTACATTACAATTCATAACAGTAGCAAAATTAGTTATGAAATAGCAAGGAAAATAATTTTATGGTTGGGGGTCACCACATGAGGAACTATATTAAAGGGTCGTGGCATTAGAAAGGTTGAGAACCACTGCCTTAGCAGAACCTAGCATCACTGCTTATAAGTATGTTTTGAATACTATTGATGGAATTAATGGGAAAGAATAAAATTTTCATTTACATTCTACATTTATATTTGACCTAAATATATACATTGCACTGTAAGTTCAATTAGAAATGATAGGCAGAGTAAAGCCTTCTTTTATTTTTATTTTTTAAATATATTTTATTGATTTTTTTACAAAGAGAGGGATAGAGAGTAAGAAACATCGATAAGAGAGAATCACCAATCAGTTGTCTCTTGCACACCCCCTAGTGGTACATGCCCTTGACCAGAATCAAACCTGGGACCTTCCAGTCCGCAGGCTGATGCTCTATCCACTGAGCCAAACCGGTTTCAGCTAAAGCCTTCTTTTAAAACAAATTAAGCAGTATAAGCTCTTCTTTATATATTGTGGTTTCCAAGCAACCCAGCTTAATAATAAGACAAATGTATGTCTTCCTTCTATTCCTCTGAACAATTTGAGTTTGAGACCTTTTCTTTCTCAGTCCAACCAGAGCTCCGTATCACACACAGACACTCTGTGCCTCTTTCAGGTGAAAGCTGTCCTGGCTTATCTCCTGCCGAGGAAAGAACTCGGGAATCCTGGATTCACATTTCTCACCCTCCCAGAAGAAAAAACAAAATGAAACCAACGATCTGATGCCCGGACTGGACTGAGTTACGTTTGCTTTATGTGTGAAATGGGAATAAAACTGCCTTTCTCTCCTGACCCATATACTATCTTTCTTCCCTTCAGGGCTGGGTTGCTTGACACCCTTCACTGAGCTGCACCTGTGTTCCAGGACACACGCGGGGCATTCGTGTCTGAGGTTCTGACGGAGATGTGGATGGTCATGGGCAGGCTCCTTTCGAAGAAGAAGTCGTATACCTCCAGCTCCACCTGAAAACAAACAGCTGCATGTGAGCCAGGCATGGAGATGTTAAAGCATAAAATACCTTCACAGCACAGATGGGGGCTGCTACTGCCTCATCTCCTTCATGACAGCCTGACCTCACTTTTTCAGGCTCTAGATCTTGCTGCTTAGTCTATATTTTTTAAGTTTTCTTCTCAATAAAAGAATCCTTAACCTTAAATAAACAAATATGCTGAAAACGTGGAGCCTCTCTCAAAGGTATAGGGTCTAGAGCAGTTCTCAACTCGGGGTGATTTTGTGCCCCCAGGGGACATTGGGGCATGTCTGGAGACATTTCTGGTCTCATACTTGGGTGTGTGTGTGGAGGGGGTGCTCCTAGCATCTAGTGGATAAAGCGATGAGGTGAGCTGCTAACATCCTCCCATGCATAGGACAACACCCAGGACATAGAATTACCTAGTCCAAATGTCACTGCTGCCGCTTTTGAGACCCGGATCTACAGGCATCTACATCACTAACCTTACTTTTTAAATATATATATATATATATTTTTTATTATTATTATTTTTTTTTTACAGAGAGGAAGGGAGAGGCATAGAGAGTTTAAAACATCAATGAGAGAGAAACATCAATCAGCTGCCTCTTACACACCCCCTACTGGGAATGTACCTGCAACCAAGGTACATGCCCTTGACCAGAATCGAACCTGGGACCTTTCAGTCTGCAGGCCGATGCTCTATTCAGTGAGCCAAACTGGTTTCGGCACTAGCCGTACTTTTAAATATCCAGATTTCACTTGCTCCCGTGAAATCCATAGTTGCTAAGTGGGGCTATGCAAGTTTGATATGTGTGTGTCTCACCAGATGTTGACAGAGAAGGATGAGGGCTGAGGCTGGAATGGAAGACATGCTGCCTACTTTGGAAGCACGTATGGTCCCTCTGAGAGGATAAGAGCATGATCAGACAGCAGCATGTCAGCAACTACAACATAACAGAAGAAACAGCTTCCAGGGGACAGGCTAAAAATGAAACTATACTGAGGAGGGAGAAGTACATTTGCAGGCGTAATGTGAATATTAGGTTGAACCACATGAAATAGTATTTTATGTACTCACTAAGAAACTCTTTTCAATATATGTAAGACCCAATAAAATGAGTTTGCGTTTCCCAAAGAGGCAAACGTGACTGGAAGGTAGACTGACCTCCACCCAGGGAAGATCAAATGGCTCAGGGGCTCTGACCTAGTCTCTGCCCTCAGCAGCCTCACCCCGCGGCTGAGTGAGCAACGTTCTGCAGAGATGCAGGGCTTCCCGCCCACAATATTGGAACAGGGCATAGTCCCCACTGAGATCACTGAGCTACCGTCTCACAAAAATATCGCAGATCTGAGCAAAGGCTGCACTGAGATTCCATGACACAATGCCAGAAAACGCACACGGGAAGCAGCAGAGGGGCAGCGCTTTATGAGCTGCAGGTAAACCCAATGGCTGATGAGAAATCACTCCGTAATATGGGAGGAATGAGAGGCAGGGGCAGGAAAGAAACAAAAGCTGCCACTTACTTTTATGAAATGAAGAAAATCAAAGCAAAAGGCAAAACGCAGCCCTTACAGTCTGAAGTCTTTTGTCTGCCCTTGGGACTAAATGCTGCAAATGCCAGACTTAGGTGGAGGACAATGGGGTCACCCCAGGGACACTCCTTTTCCTTAATAAACCTGAACTCAAGTCCCTATCGTTCTGCTCATTTACATTTCAGCTTGCTGGTAGGTTTTTAAGTATGTAAAGGGTTATTACGTGCAAGTCTGTAACCAGCTGTTCTCTACCCCCTTTGGATACAAAGCAAGAGGCTGAAGTGGGAGCAGGAAAGACTTAGATTAAATGGAAAGAAGACTTTCCTGATGGAAAGTGTTTGATAGTGAAATTAGTCATCATATGAGACTGTGGAAACACCTACCCCAAGTCAGTGTTATTAATCAAAATTAAGGACCCCAGTAAAAACACTTCTGCAGACAAAAAAGAATTTAAAAATTATAAACAAAACTCATCTCTAACTTCAATGGTCCGTGTAATGCAGGAAGGCTGTGGAGGGCAGCAGTTCCTGGACCAAATGTGGCCCTTAGAAATAAATATTTTGAGGCTGACATAATATATTTAAAATGTTTAAATATAGCCCTAGCTGGTTTGGCTCAGTGGATAGAGCATTGGCCTATGAACAGAAAGATTCCAGATTCAATTCCGGTCCAGGGAACATGCCCAGGTTGTGAGTTCGATCCCCAGTGGGGGACTTGCAGGAGGCAGCCGACCCATGATTCTCTCTCATCATGGATGTTTCTATCTTTCTCCCTCTTCCTTCCTCTCTGAAATCAATAAAAATATATTTTAAAAAAACATTTAAATATGTTTTCTGTCTTTAAAAACTGAAACCTTTTTACAAAGAAATTATAGACTTCCAACTCTTCTTGACAAACAAGAACTAGAGCAACTCCAGGCATCTCTGGATCAGCTGGAGCTGAGCTGCAGCTGCTTCAAAAGTCACCAGCTCGCTCCTCAGTCCCCCACAGTGTCCCTCTGGGCGGTTTGCCTATCTGTAACCCTAGCCCAGCTCCTTTGGGCATTCCAGTTTGCACCCAGATGGACAATGATTGCTTCTCTTCTGGGGCAATGAATACACAAACTCACCTCAAGGCTAAAGGACGTGGCTTTCTAAAGAAACTTTGACTGCCAAATAGGCTGGAAGTTTTGTCTCCCTTCCTTCTTACCTCATAATGTCTCCTTTCCGAATGGCTGCTGTTTGGCGGCTGATAGGCAATCTGCATGTCACTGAGGTCTTTCCAGGTGAATGAGGAGATGGGTCTGGTGTGGTCCCACAGGTGGGTCACAAAGCCCTGCAGTGGGGCTTTAGTAATGTTGAACACCAGCAAGGGCTTGGGGGTCTCATCCTCTTCACAGTCCAGAACTGACGTAGTCAAAGAGGTCAGGATGAACTGGTCCACCTCCAGAACAAACATGGCCATGAACGCTGCCCTCGGAGCCTGGTTAGGAATGCCAGCTCTGATGTAGACGGGCAGCCACGCACTCTCTGACTTTTGAAGGAGAAAGAAAATAGGAAAGGAGAAATGATGTGAATAAAGCTGGAACACTCAGAATGAGAGTGTGACACTTAACACACAACCACAACCTAGAGGCTGTATCTAGCAGTGATCGGACACCTGTCTGTACAGAAAATCACCGGGGGAGCTTTGAACACATTCTGATGCCCACGTTCCTCCTCCCTCTAATTTAATTGTTCTGAGGAGGGGACCAGAAAACTGGCATTTTTAAAATAATATACTTTTATTGGTTTCAGAGAGGAAAGGAGAGGAAGAGAGAGATAGAAACATCAATGATGAGAGAATCGTTGATCAACTGCCTCCTGCACGCCCCCCACTGGGGATTGAGCCTGCCCCCGGTGTATGTGCCTTAACCAGGAATTGCATTGGGACCTCCTGCTTCATAGGTGATGCTCAAATACTGAGCCATGCTGGGTGGGTGAAAAACTGTCATTATTAAAACTGTCTGGTGACTCTAATATACACTGAGTGGCCAGATTATTACAATCTCTGCACGCATAATAATCTGGCCACTCAATGTATATTCTATATAATCCTATATAATAAAAGGCTAATATGCAAATTGTCCCTTCAACCAGAAGTTCGACCAGCAGGCAGGCCAGCCAATCACCCATGTCCCCTCTTCCTGGCCATGCTGGCCAAACCCCAACCTATGCATTAATTCATGCACTGGGCCTCTAATACACACACACACACACACACACACACACACACACACACACACACGCACACTGAGTGGCCAGATTATTAAGCGTTCAGAGATCATAATAATCTGGCCATTCAGTATAACCAATGTTAACAAATGGCACCTACTTTCGCATCAGAAAGAATGGCTTTCATTCTATCTCCACCACTTATGATCTACACGACTTTAGACAAGTTATTTAATTCCCCAATCTCACTTCCCCAGCTGTAACATGGGAATACTAGATCCCCAAGTACATGACAGAAGTGTCCCCTCATGTCCTGCCATGCAGCTTAAAATCAGGCAGAGGCAGAAGGAGAGAAAATGAGCTTATCACTTGATACTCGTGCAACTGAAAAATGGTTACCAGTTTTCTAGTTTGTTAAATCCCCAGGTCTCCAAGTGAGAAACACATAGTAGGATTGCAAGTGACCACTCAGGCTAGCAACATGCCCTCCTCAAATGAGAGAGCTGTGAGGAAAGGGGTTCAAGCCAGGGTCTCCAGAGGAACTGTGCATGATGGGACCTGAGGTAGCAGCAAGTGCTAGCAGAAGATGGTGGTTATCATAGGATTTGATGTTTCCCATTGTGGAGAGAACCAGGCTCGATGATCAGAGTCAAGTTGGTTTAATACTGCTGAACACTAGCTAATGAACAATGAACGCTATTTTGTACATAACAGAAAGTTACAAATGGAATTTTGGGGGAGCTCTGTCACAATTGAACTTCCAATAAGAAAAATATCAGATTTTAATGTGAATGTGAGACCGATATTATGGGCAGAGTTTAACAAACCCTCTAACCCACTATAAGAATATAAAAGGGTTGAGAGAAGTAAGAGAAAGAGAGCTTGTTAGAGAGAGGAGTGCTTGGTTGTGCTGAGTCACTCCCCCGACACCCAAAGCCACACAAAGAGGAAGGGTAGGACAACCCTACATCCCTTGTCTCATGTGTCAGAAGAGAAGTTTCCTCCAGACCAGCCTTAAAATTGTGTCTTTTACAGGTGGAACACACAGAGAGCTGATGCTGGAACCCACAGAGGAAGCTATGTGGCCAGAAGTGGAGAATAATGCTGGCTGTGCTGGGCACAGCCTACAGTGCTTGCGTGTGGCAGGAAATAATACAAGAATGCTCCCAGATATAAGCCAAGTAGGACAGAGAGTTGGTCTGGGGTCACCCTAGACCCTGACCCTTAGGGTACATCCTTGAAAGGCCAAAGAATCCCCGCAGCAAGAAGCTGGAGGTAACAATCATATTCTAGGAGTTGCAGGAGGAATTTTAAGTGACCACTCAGGCCAGAAATGCATCCTCCTGAGACGAGAGATCCAGGGGAAAGAGACATCCCTTAAGGGGTGTCTCCAGATGAACCATGAAACTGCCCCAGAGACAAAGGAGCAGCTTGAAACATCTGGCAGACTCAGAGGCATGAGGTCATACTGCATAGCGGCTGATCAAACAAGACTTCTCTCTCCCACACTCCCACCAAACCACCTGCCCCACAGCCTGGAGGTTCAGCAACTAGCCAGCAAAGCTCTAAAGAAGAGGGCCTTGCAAGAGAGAAACAGGGAAGATAATCAGCACCCCCACTTCCATGCATGGTTTATGAAGACAAAAGAACGTATTCACATGCCATTTAAAGATCTATCGGAACATTCATAATTTGAAAATTCAAAAATGGAGAAATCGCCGAGACCTGTTTGGCTCAATGGATAGAGCGTCGGCTTGGGGACTGAAAGGTCCTGGATTCGATTCCGGTCAAGGGCATGTACCTTGGTTGTGGACATATCGCCAGTAGGGGGTGTGCAAGAGGCAGCTGATGGATGACTCTCTCTCATCGATGTTTCTAACTATCTCTCTCCCTCTCTCTACAAAATCAATAAAATATATATTTTTAAAAAATGGAGAAATCACCATATAAAAGGACTGGTGCTGAACAATATGACCAATTAAACCTAGAGTTAAGTCTAAATAAACATGTTAAGAAAATGAATACAAATATCCAAAGAGCCTAATTGAAATAGAAGACGTAAGAAATAACACTATGTAAGAAACAATAGGAGATAACAATCATATGCTAGAACTAAAATTTCAGATTACATAAACAAAGCCTGAGAGTTGGGTAACTGCTGGGAAAAGGGATAAATAGGATCAATCCTTATTATCTAGCAGTGTTTCCCAAAGTGTGGTACATGTACCCCCAGGGGTACGGGAAGTGTTTGGTGGGGGTACGCGTTGCACCGGAGTTTGGTGGGGATATGCACTGCACCGTGCTTAGCTGTGCCTAATTCTACATTCTCATGAGTATGAGGGGTACTCAGAGTTATGAAAATTATAGAAGGGGTACACATATGTCAAAGTTTGGGAAACGCTGATCTATAGGAAGGAGCCAGTGAGCTTGGTTTTTTGTTTTGTTGTTTTGTTTTTTACTTTAAATATTAAAAACGTGGGTTAAATAATTTTTTAAAATTTAGAATTTAATCCTGATAAAACACAAGGTGGGATAAAGGATTTCCAAAAAAGTACAGATAAAGCCAGAGAAAATTTAACCTGTTGTGTAAGGCAGCTTTTTAATAAGAAAAGCAAAAAACAAGAGGAAAAAAAAAACACCCTTATATGTCTATTATTACAAAAATATAGCTTATGTTCCTTTCTTTCAAGACAAATATTTTGAAATTAAATATCTAATTATGTGTGTCTTGCACAAGAAGCATTTAAAATAAAATTATATACAAAGGTTAGAAGTAAAAGGATGATCCAAAGTTATCATGTAAAAAAAAAATAAAAAAGCAAAAGTGACCATATCAATTTCAAAGAAAGGTAAATCCAAGACAAGAAGCACTAAAAAAAAAAAAAAAAAAAAAAAATAGAGTGGGCAGTTGATACGATGATTTATACAAGACGAGGCTTCTGATAAGCATCATTATACTTAATATTATGCTGGCCAACTCAGTGGAGAAGAGACCACAAATAACAAGAATAATTACTGAAAAAGGAGATAAAATTATCATGATTAGTAAAAGATATAACTATGGTTTGTAAAAGCCCAAAGAATTGAAACGTTCTTAGAATAATTGAATCCAAGAATAAAAGCCAGAGAGAAAAAAATTATACCAAAAAAAATAATTTTCCTATTTTTCATCAGTAACCAATTAGAAGCTATAATAGAGGGGGGAATCCATTCCCAATAAGTTAAAAAAAAAAAAAACTGCCTAGGACTAGATTTACTAAGTGTGGTCAACGTGCATGAAGAAAACTGAAAACTTTAAAGAGACATATCAAAGAACATTTGCCTAGATGAAGTAAGACACCTCACTTCTGGGTGAAAAGACTAAATATAGTAAATGTTCTAATGTCCCAATTCTTCACCAAATAACTTGTAGTTTTAATTGAATCCTGATAATAATACATAGGGGATTAATTTTAAGGCAACATAAATGATTTCATTATTTATCTGGAATTAAAGATAGTTGAGAATGAATAAGAAAATTTTGTAAAGGAGTGATGAGGACGAACCTGCCTGTAAAATATTAAAGTGTATTATTAACCCATTATATTTAGAATAACTCAGAATTGACAAAGCAATAAATAGGCAAATCTAGGAACAAAAGAGCTCTCTTTGAAATAGTATATTTCTGTACAACATAAGAATCATTGAAAATCAAGGTTAACAGGTTAATTATCAACAATAGTGTTGACAATTTTGGCTACTTAGAAAACACACTTCCTGTGTTTCAAAATATAATAAAAATTTGTTGTAGGTGGATTAGAGAGGCAAACATAAACAAGAAAACCTTTAAATTTTTAGAAAAAAAAAGTTTATTGGTAAAATAATTTTATAAGGATAGATTTATACAAGCATAAAAATAATAAAAATATAAAATTTTAAATAGAGCATAAGTTTTACTCCATAAAACAAAACTAACTTTGGTTTACATGTCTAACTTTGGTGTACAAGTGTGTATATGTTTGTGAATGTATGTATGTATCTGAAAGTGGTAGAAATATAGCTAGTTTTATTTCTTCCTCTTTGCTTTCCGTGTTTTGTTTTGTTTTTTAAATGCTCTTTGCAGTGAGCGTATTAATTTTATATTCATAAGAGAATCTGTTGTATGACATGCCAAGTTGTCTATGAATTAGGTTAACTCTAAATAAACTAAGAAGATGCTTTAAACGGGTCAACTCCCAATAAAACTGATCTGAAAATGTAAATAAAGCTCTAACTCAGTATAGAAAGAAAAAAAGAAGAAAAGAAAAATCAACCAAGTAAAAAAAATGTATCTCCTTTTTTGTCTTTTCTTTTTTTAATGGAGCTAAGAAAGCATTAAAAGTAAAGAAGTTTCACATCAAAACAAGCAGAAGACATCTATTAGTAGTTAGGAGACCTAGAGTTTAGTCTTGGCTCCGCCATAAAAGAGCTGTGTCTGTTTGGGCAAGGTATACAATTCCTCTGGCCACAACTATACAATAAGATGGATTAAACCAGTGACTTTAAACCTGGCTGATGACCAGGTTCTTTTAGTGGATGATTTTTTAACTGGTTTTTGTGAGGTGCTTACTATGTGCCAGGCTTTGTGCCAAGTGCTTTATAAGTATTACATCATTTAATTATCTCGATTATTCTAAAAAGTAGGTATTATTACTCCCACTTTAAGATTAAAGAAATAAAGCATAAAGTTCAAAGTTACACAGCTAGTTAAGTAGACATTTGAAACAAGACCATCTGTGTCCAGCATCATGATCTTAACTATTAAATGTTAGACTCAAATCTATCTCAAAGTTTTTTCCAAATCTTTATTCTAAAATTTTCTGATCATATTTTATGTCATCAATTCCTGAGGAATAATAATTTTCAATGTTTGGATCACAGGAGAAAGCCTAGTGAGAAATCATACTGTGAGCAATGAAGGTCTTTCACAAATGCAATAGTGGATTATTGGATATCAGCAAAAATCCAAACTGTTTCATATGCTACACAGTCTCCTCAACTACCCAAATCAATAAATTATAGAATACATGAATCAGTATAGTAGTATGTAAACTATTTCAGATAAGTTGATTCCACTTTATGTCATCATTTCAATGTGAAGAGAGTAAGAAGAGGAAAGGACATGAGTGCTTAAAAGAAATTGGAAGATGGAGGAGGCTATTAGAGGCCTGTCTCCTTCATGATCCAGTCCTCCACCTCAAAATCCAAAGGAGTTAAAGGACGTAATCTGCTACACCCATAACATAGGGCTGAGGTCCCCTCCCTCCCAGTTTTTGTGGCCTCACAGAGTGGGTAGACCCTGGTTTTCCCTAACAGCTGAAACGTGGTTCTAATAAAGAAGGGGGAAGTGAGGCATCAAAGAGGTGTTACAAAAGGTTAAAGACTAGCTGAAGAATATGGAGGGAGGGCGAGGGAAAGAAGAGAAGCATGAAACTGGCCCCAGTCCAGAGAAAACTGCTAAGCTGCTTAGCTGGTACACTGTTACTGGCACTAGAGGCTTGGAGCACAAGATTTTTGCAATTGGGTGGGGTGGGGGAGGCCTCAGCCTGGCCTGTGACCTCTCACAGTCCAATAGCCCTCAGGGGATTGACTAACGGCAGGGAGTGGGCCTAAGCTGGCAGTTAGATATCCTTAGCAAATGCTTCGAAGGTGGGAGAGGCTCCCACCACTGCTACTGTGCTCCCCAGCCATGAGTCCAGCTTTTGACCCTGTGGGAGCGCACTGACCATGAGGGGGCAGCTCCTGCATTGAGCATCTGCCCCTTGGTGGTCAGTGTGCATCATAGCAACCGGTCATTCCACCATTCGGTCTATTTGCATATTAGCCTTTTATTATATAGGATTATATCTAAAAACCACTGTATCGAGCACTTACTGGCAGAATAAACAAGCCTACAGTTCTAACAAATCACTTAACAGTTTCATTCACACTTTCCCTGACATGGGAACCAACATTTCACCTCCATGGAACTGGCCCTCTTTTTGTGGATCAGCTGGGGACACAGACACATAACCCAAACTCTACCTTGTATACGATCTTACTCCTGCTATCTGTGAGGTCCAGTCGGATGGAGATATAATCAATGTTGGGAGAAGGGGGATCCTTATGTTGATATCGAAGCCCCATCAGCAGGAACTCCTCACAGCTCACCGTCAGACTTCCTATTCTCTTCAGTCCCAGGGCACAGCTTCCCCCTGGACATCTGAGTTCTGTTCCCAGCTCTGGAATGTATAGCACTGAGTCAAGATAGTCATTTGAACAATGCGATTGTAAAGTTTAAAAGCCAATCCTCCCTCCTGCGGATATTTATTCCCTCTCACTGCCCCTAAAAATACTCATGTGTACCCTCCAATCATTCGCTGAGTGGGTTGTTATTATTCTTAAAGCCTATAATTTCCTCTACTAAAAAGAATAGTTGACCAATTGTTGCAGGAGATCCTTGTCCACCAGAAGTTACACTGAGGGAAAAAAATAATAAAATGCATTTTCTGGTGCTTGAACATCTATGACAAATAAGCCAGGGGCTCACTGTAAGCCTTCCCAAGCCCAGTCACAGTCTTCCTTTACAACAGCCACTTCCATGGAACCATCATGCAATCTCTCTCTTTCAGGCTGATCTACACACTGACATTCTCTCCCCATCGTGCTTGTCACATACTGGAGTCCCTGCATACCTTTCCAGGTCCACTTACTCTTCTAGTGAATTTCCCCTTAAGCATTCTTTGACCAACTGAACCAACCTGCTCCCTTCCACTGAAAACCATAATCACTTCTATAACAGTCTTCCTGTCATTTTTTTGAATGGCCTTCTATATATTTCTCAAATGTACAAAATGGATATCCTACTTCTTAACCAGAAGACTGAATGCAATGGCATGCATAAACCTGTCTTTATCTGTAAACTGCTGTCCAATCTCAAGGTGTTACTATGACTATGATTACCCCTTATATTTCTTGGTCTTCCCATAATGCCTAGAACACTATTAGTCATATAGGAGTTGTTCAAAATATCTTGATTAAATGAATAACAAAAGAAAATGATCTATTAACTCTTCCTGATTTAAACCATTGGCTGATGCCCACCAGCTCTACCTCAAACCTGCTCATAATCTAATAATACTTAATGAATACACCAACTACTCTTAATACCAACGCCATCGCTGCTGTGAATAACAGCTGACATTTTTTGAGCACTTATTATGACCCATACTGTGTGAAGTACTGTGTGCTCATTTACTCCGTCCTTATACAATCCTATGGAACAACTATTGTCCTTGCCCATTACATAGGCTTGCACAGATTAAATACAATCACACAGGAAATAAATAGCAGAGGCAATTTTCAAGCTCAGATCTCTTTGACTCCAAAGTCCCTACTCTTCACCACTACCCTACATTGTTTCAACCAGCTACAAATTAGACTAAGCAAAACACTCTCGTAGTGGAAGATGACCATTTACAGATATTTTTGTCAGTGTTAGTAACCCTCAGATAATTATCAAAACATTTCGTACGAGACTTAGGGAAAAAACTGTGTGGCTGATCTCCACGAGGTTCTTCTGGCCCAGGCTCCACCATAACCACCTGGCCATGGGCTGGCAGCCAAGTGCCCGCAGGGTCCAGCCTGACTGTACACTCCAAGGTAGGTGTCCTCTCATAATCAAAGCTAAGCAGGTTCTTATCAATGGCTCGGGACAGGCCGTAGAATTCAGACACCTCCAGGGCATTGTTACTCATACGGATGATGTTACAGTCTGGTTCCAGGAGATAGACACGCAGGATAAAGGTTTCTGTGAAAGTGTCTGTCTCAGTAAATCTATGGGGAGAACAAAGCAAAGGCAAAATTTATTGGTGCTTGGGTACCTTTTTTTTCCCCATCCCCAAAATCCCCTTTTATTCTATTTTTTTAAATAATTTTTATGTTTCAATTACAGTTGCCATACATTATATTAGTTTCAGGTAAACAACAGAGTGATTAGACATTCATATAAGTTATGAAGTGATCACCTCGATAAATCTATGGCCCACCTGACACCATACACAGTTATTACAATATTATTGACTATATTCCCTATGCTGTTCTTTATACTGCTGTGATTATTCTGTAACTACCAGTTTGTACTTCTTAATCTCTTCACCTATTTCACCCATCTCCCCAATCCCCTGCCATCTGGCAACCATCAAAATGTTCTCTGTATCTATGAGTCTGTTTCTGTTCTGCTTATTCATTTATTTTGGGGTTTTTTTTAGATTCCACATATGAGTTAAATCACATGGTATTTGTCTTCCTCCATCTGACTTATTTCACTCAACACAATACTCTCTAGGTCCTTCCATGTTGTTGAAGATGGCAAGATTTCATTCTTTTTTATGGCTGAGTGATATTATCTAATACATTTAAAAAACAGATAGTAAACTTCTTATAAGCAGCTGCTCATCAAAAGGTATAACTTTACTGAATTTTTGGACATATATTCATCCAAATTCTCATTAAGAATTTATAATTTACTAGTATAATTTCATTTCCTATTATAAGGGGATAGTTGGATCCAGAGATACCTATACAAGAACCCTAATGGGGAACAGAACAGGGCTAATCATTTGCCACAGAAAAGCCCCAAGAAGGATGATACAAATAAAGAAGACTGAACATTGGTTACAATTCTTGCCTCACCCATCCTGGCTTCCAGTTTGTACTGATTGCTTTCTTGTTTGGAATCTAGTAACTCCTCCATGGTAATACCTATCCACAGAAAAAGAAGTGCTCAGAATAACTACCTAGCAAAGAATGTGCAATGATCCTGTGATGCTTACCTGTAAAGTCTAAGCTTTACTGTGTCTTCATCAAGAATTGGGCACCCGTTGTGAATATACTTTACTTCATTGGGAAGGAAATGGCAGTCAAAGACCTAGTTCACATGAAGAAATGGATAAATATCTATGAGAAAATTTGTACAAGAGTTAATTTTTCCAGCAGTGAGTAGAGTACTACTTGGAGAAATTATGGTTTGTTAACATCTTGTTTGTTGTGTGTGTGTGTGTGTGTGTGTGTGTGTTTTAATCACCACCACCTTTACCCACCCTTATGCCCACTCATCATTCTATTATATAAATAATTACCTTTTTACAGTCTACAGTGCATTTGAAATATGGTTTCATAAATAAAAATGTTATTTACCCACACTCCTCAGGAGTTCATAGTTCATAGCAGTTGGGTAAGAGAGGTCTACCATGTTCATGAAAAGGCATGCATTACCAAACTCATGAATATACTGGATGAGTTCTGTATATATTTTTTTATTCTCCTTTAATTCATTCCTTTTCCAAATAGCTTTTTTATATTTAAAAAAAAGGCACTAACTATGGACACTAATGTGGTTCATCAGAGCCAAACCTGACCCACAGTTGTTTCTCATCTACTTTAGAGAGACCACTTTTATTTTTTATGTAATAACAGAAATGGTTGCTAAGACAAATAGCAACCTAAAGGCAATTACTTCTATTCAACTAAAATTATAATTAACTAGATCAGCTCATTCAGAACTGAGAATTCTAATTTTTAAAAGATGTCTTTTCTCTTCCACCTATCCCATGACCCTCATTCTGCCCACTCTGACTTGGTAGAGTTCTAGAAACACAGCAGGTCCTTGGATAAAGTTGTTTCTTTCAACGTCATTTTGTTACAACACTGATGAGATGCAGTAAGATCTTAACTCTTGTTTGTATCAATTAGCCTATGGTAAAACTGGTTTTGTTACACGTCGTTTAGCATAAAGTATCCGAACTTATTGATGATGTTAAGTGAGGACTTACTGTTCCCTTGAGGTATTCACACATCATCACTGTTGAGTTCATGATGTTTAGCCTGTACCTCGTTATAGCTTTGAACATTTACAGACAACATACTCTGAGAAGACTTTATCACTAATACAAATGATCTTTTCCCACAGACATCATTGGTTCCTCTTTCTAATTTACAACAAAGAAGGAATAAAGGAAGGACCTTTCCCAATCATTGACAAATAGTCAGGGTAATAAAGAGACAATCTGTTTTGTTAAAAGAAACATCTGTTTTATGTTTCATAATATGTTTTCCTTTTATAAAAGGCGACAACCATAATTGTCCATAAATTTACTAACTAAAACAAAAAAGAGCTAAATCCTTTTCTAATTACTGTCTAGCTTTGTTTTTTTCCACTTCAACTGCTTTTCAATTACAATTTATAATTAAATTGTCACACATTCCTAACTCATTACTCACTTTAATGACAGTAAACTGGTTCAAACTAGAAATGTTTTCTTACTGCTGTATTTCTTACACAAAAGAGCAAGCTCAGCACCAAACCTGGGTGTTTTTCTACCCAGGAAATTTTTTGATTTGGGACAGGTGTGAGAAGGGCTGTGCGTAAGGAAGTCTTGCCCTAAAACATAAAAAAACAAACAAAACAAAAAAACCACTGCCATTGACCTTATCTAATTGACTATATCAGGAGATTGTCTAAACAGAAGATACTGATGTTTACCAATTGAAATCCCTTTCCAAATATCCAATAGGAAAATGAACCTGTTGGTCCTAGGACAAACTTCAGTAATGAAATGAAAACACTAATTGAACAGATGTTAAACAAAACATTTCCTGTGCAAATCAAATAAAATTGTTCATTACCCAGCAGGGTGTTGTTAATACAGTCATCTTGCTAGAAATGGGTTCACATAAGCCTTGCTTTCAACATCCTACTAAAATCTATTAAAGAATAATGTGTAGGCTGTGTGGGTGTGTGGTGTGGTGTGTGTGTGTGTGTGTGTGTGTGTGTGTGTGTACTTGGCTTTGCTTCATTTCAAAAACCCCATAAGAAATAAATCCCTGGAGTAAGCTAAGTCAATCTGGATTAAAAACAAGCCCACTTTTCAAAAAGTATACTTTACTTGGCAATCTTGTTTTTTGTTAAAATTATCATAATAAAAATAGGAAGATGACCTGGCAGTTTGAGAAACAAAGCTTTCCGGATATCTAGATTTCTTTAAGATACAAAATTCTACTATTTGACCCAAAAAGGTGATGAAACTTCACATTTTAATGAATTCCCTTCCCATAGGAAACATTTTAGAAGGTGCAAATCACACATCTACTTTATATGATAAAAATCTATTCGAGATGTCAAATTTACCTCCGGAAATACGCTGAACATTTAGGACTTGTTTGTTGTTTTGATTTGTTGTTGTTCATCCTTGTGACCAAATGGCTTTTTTTTTTTTAAATCTAATTTTAGATCCCTTTTTGCTCTCCAGTGCCTCACAGTCAGCCAAATGGTGAGGACCACAAAAAAAAAAAATGGTGATGCCGAGGCCGGTTTGGCTCAATGGATAGAGCGTCGGCCTGTGGACTGAAAGGTCCCGGGTTCGATTCCGGTCAAGGCATGTGCCTTGGTTGCGGGCACATCCCCAACGGGGGATGTGCAGGAGGCTGCTGATTGATGATTCTCTCTCATCAATGTTTCTAGCTCTCTATCCCTCTCTCTTCCTCTCTGCAAAAAATCAATAAAATATATATTTTTAAAAAATGGTGAGGACCACTGAAGCATCATTGAAAATATCCAAGAGACAATTCCATTGCTCTCAGAAAAAGTGCTATATATATTTAGAAGTGATAGGCTCTTTGGAATGGGAAGAAGATATCCCTCATAGGCTGACTGAAGTAACAGCACCTCCTTCCCAAAGTGCTTTGTAAGGAGAGAGAATCTGGTGAAGAACAGGGCTTTTGTTTTGCTCAGTGGGGGATGCATGCTTGGGAAGGAGCTAGACCAAAGGTTGTCCCAGCATGCTACTAGGAGGACTTTTTCTTCTCTTCTTCCCCCACAAAATATTCATTCTCACTTCGAAATAAATGTTGGACATTTTTTTAAAATAGATTGATTGGAAGGGGTACCAAATTATTAGTTCATCAGTCTTTATAAAGCACCTACACATATCCATCTGGGGACCCCAGCCTTCAAGGATTAGGATCCTATATTACTCCAAGGGTTTTTTTTTTTTGTTGTTCTTTTTTTATGACCCCTGTCCCTGTTGGTGGGTCTCCATTGCTTGCAGCGGAGCTTATTTATGTCACCTGCCCATCTGGGGCTCTCCTTTCTCCTTGAGTGATAGGTGTCAATCAAACACATTTTCAGAGTGCAGGTGTATTGAGAAAAAGTGAGGAGATAATACAGTTATGAAACCCTTATGGACCTGGGGCCATTACTGTATAATAGCAATTTTTAGATGCCCACCTGAAGCTCTTTGACTGACAAAAGCAAAGCTCGTGGGAAACTGGAGGGAAGTATTTGTTTACTATCACATCAGGAATACTCCCAACAGGAGAGCCTTCCACAGAATTCTGAAGTGCTTCAGAATTGGACCATAACTTTGTGTCATAAATAGAATATCTAGAGATATCAATTTGAGCTACCATCTACCCAAGTCTCTATAGTCCACCTCCACAACTTCCATTATCACTTTTGAACATCTTTATGGAAGGAATATGTTCTTTACTCAAATGAAGAATAAAATTAATGTTCACAGTTCAGCAAGTGGAAATGATAAGATTTTTCCAAAAGCAGCAGCCAATGTTGAATATTCTCGAAATTGTTTACATTGGGAGGATAAATAAACCACAGTAGAAACAAGTAATAAAACCGAAAGCAATATTTCTATTGTGTATGCAAGTAAACTCCAAGTTTCAGCAAATACAATATATGATCATATAGATTTTTTTTTAATCCAATGAATTAGAAGTCAATTATTCACCCTAGAAAAGGATTGGGCATAAAATTCCCTGAAGTGACAAGATCTCTTGGGTTTTGAGTAAAGGAAAAAAATTTATGCTGACATTTTTGAAGAACAGTGAATATTTATCTTCACCTCTTTCCCACATCTCTTCCATTACTCAAAGGAATATTCAAGTGATATTCAAACAAAGGAAAACATCTTCCCGTTTTACTTTGCAATTCTGTGGTCACAGGTGTGTCCTAAAAATGCCTTGAAATCCTGATATCTCATCCAAAGGTGCCCTGACAAGCAATGGGCGAGACCATGTGGGGCAGGGATAACCCATAAAGACTGACTGTGTCTCACCATACCAGAGTCTGCCTACTCCAACTCTTGGAGGGCTGTCTCTGTTTTGTGTTCCCCCACAGACACACTCTCACACACTCCCATTCACACACACTACTGAAGAGACAATCTGGGGCATGACCTACCTGTGGAGTGAGCTTCCCAACCCTCTGGGTTATTGGCTCATTCATCACGACTTCCACTTTGCAAGCATCTTTCTCTTTGGGGATGGCAAACTCCAGGTCGTCTCCCGTCAGGAAGGCAGAGCTGCCCTTCAACACCCTGACCCCACGGTTCACGCTGATGAAGGTGGGGCTGGCCCAGCCCAGGAGCAGCGGCAGCAGCAGGGCTGGCAGCCCACCCCAGCTCACGGAGCTCATGCCCATGGGGCCAGCTCGCTTCTGTCCACCGGTGAAATCCCTTCAACAAAGGAGGGCTTCTGTGCTTCTTCCGGGGATGTCAGCTCATAGTCCAAGGGGCAGGGCAAGGGGTCCCGACAATGTGCCCCAAGTTCTTAACATGCTTCTCTCGTTGCAAACTCAGACAAGGGGGCCTTTCAGGCAATCCCAACGCTTTTAATAAAACTCGCTGATCACTCCTGACAACGCTGGCAAGATTAATGTGCTTTTCTAATCCTGCAAATGGGGACAGGGGTTGGAGGAAAGGAAGAGAGAGACCAAGAGGTTTGTATGGCTATTCAAAAGATCCCTACCAACAAAGCAATCTTTCAACCAGCCTATCATTTTAGTTAAATTAAAAACAAATAAACTGGCTTGACCTCCAGGTCCATCTGAAAGGCAACGCAGACATTTCATTACACTGCCAGTTACTCCTGCTTCCGGACTCAACCTGCCCCAGCTGAGATGTCAGCTGTGTGGTCCAGCAGGAGCCAGCCAGCCAGCTGCCCAAGTTTTTCAGAGAGAGAGTTGTTGAACTCTTTGCTTCTTCTTTCTCGTTTGACAAATCATAAACTAATGTGTGGAAGAGGGCTGATAGCATTATTTGTTTAAAACTGTTTAAAAACATGATTAAATCTCAAAAATAAACTATATCCTTAAATTTGGGGTAAGATTAGGTGAACTGAGGGTAGTTTATTAGGCCCATAGACAAGCTTTACATTTAAATGATTGCAATAAATTTCTGTGCATAATCAATGGATACTAAAATACATTTTGACAAAAAGAAAATGCCTCTATTATTCACATCTAATACATTAAAGGAAAACTCACTATTTGAACCCTTTCACTTTTGAGGTACTGCATGGCATATGTCATCTGACACCTGAGGGGTATAAGTTTTAAAGCAGCCTGGTTTTGATCCCCAATAAAAACCAATCACACACTCCCACTGACCACATTGCCCACACACAGGCTGAATAAATTACAGTGGCTTATTCGGGCAAGAATGTAAATTTGGGTGTTGAACCTTCACAGCAAAATCAAATCTTGTTTTCATTCACACTTGGCATCTCAGAGAGAAGAGAGGCAGTAGGGTAGGTAGGTGTCTCACAAAACTAATGAACCCCAAATTTATCTCTCTGACCTCCTCTCTGAAGTCTAGATTTGTACATGAAACTGTCTATTTGACATTTTTGTGTGGGTGTGCAACAGGCAACTCATATTTTATGTAGCCAAATTTGTGCTCTCTCAGTTAATGGCAATTCCATCTTTTCTGTTTTTCTCCTCTTTATCTCTCACTTTAATCCAAAAAGAAAAAAAAAAAGAAAAAAAGAAAAGAAATCCCGTTTGTTCACTGTGTTGGACAAACCTTAGTGTAACCTCCAATAATTCCAGCCTCCTAGTATCCAGAACTTCTCTCCCCTTGAGTGGCAACAGAACAAATTACCTTTGCAACCAACAGAATAAGGCAAAGGTGATGGGGTGTCATTCCCATGATTACGTTGCATCACATGTGACTGTCCTGGCAGACAGCAGCTAGAAGCACTCCTGCTGAACTTGAAGAAGCAAGCCCCCATAAGTTCTATTGTCACAAGGAAATGAATCCTGCCAGCAACCCCAATGAGCTCAGGAGAAGATCCTTCCTAAATCAAGTCTCCAGATGAGAATGAAGCCCAGTCAGCAACGTGATTGCAGCCTGATGCTGACCTGAAGTAGATACCCAGGTAAGCTATGACTGGACTCCTAACCAGTGAAAACACTGAGCTACTAATAAACTTGTGTTATCTTAAGCCACTGCATTTGTAGTCATGAGATTGTTTACACAGAAATGAAAACTGTACATGCTCTTTCTTCAAAACATACCCATCAAAACTACTTCTTACTACTTCTGTTATCACCCTGGTCCAAAATACCACCAACCAACTCTGAGGACTATAATAACATCATATTTGATCTCCCTGCTTGTCCTCTTGCCTCCCCTATGGGCATTTCTCAACTTGGTAGCTGAGGTTCCCATTCAATGCTAATTATATAATCACTTCTCTGCCCCATCCTCCAATGGCTTCTCATCTTAAGAGTAAAAGCTGAAGCTTTTATAGTGAGCCTTAAAGCACCATGTATTCTTTCTCCCCACTTACCTGTCTTATCGCATCTCCTGTGTGTCTTCCCTCTGCTCCAGCCACACCAGCATCTTTTCTTTTCTTTTCTTTTTAAATATATTTTATTGATTTTCCAGAGAGGAAGACAGAAGGAGAGCCAGAAACATCGATGAGAGAGAATCATCGATCAGCTGCCTCCTGCACACCTCCCACTGGGAATGTGCCCACAACCAAGGTACATGCCCTTGACTGGAATTGAACTTGGGGCCCTTCAGTACATAGGCCGATGCTCTATCCACTGAGCCAAACCAGCTCTGGCAGCGTCTTCTCTTTTCCTCAAACAAATCAAGATGAACTTTCCTCTTCCCGCCTTTCTCCCAAACCTTCTGACTCGCTGTTTCTGGTGGCACAAACATTCTTCCCTCAGATACTTTCCACCTCACCACTTTCAAGTTTTCCATCAAATGACACCTTTGCAGGTGACCACACCTAAACAGCCCATGAAAATTATGGCATTTTCATCCTCAGCATTGTTTGAAAACTTAGGCCTTAGAACCATCTAACATAATACAGTTGCTTATTTATATTGTTCATGGCCATCTACTTCATGAAGGTGAGGATTTCTACCTTTGTATTCAGGGATTTATCTTTAGGATTCCCTAAGTCAGTGGTTGGCAAACTGCAGCTATGCGAGCCACATACGGCTCTTTGGCCCCTTGAGTGTGGCTCTTCCACAAGATACCACGTGCAGGCGCACACGTACAGTGAGATTGAAACTTTGTGACCCATGTGCAGAAGTCGGTTTTTGGCTCTGAAAAGAAATTTCAATCATTGTACTGTTGATATTTGGCTCTGTTGACTAGTGAGTTTGCCGACCACTGCCCCAAGTCAATCCCATTACGCAGTTTGAGGATGCTGCCTTGTGAAAAAATAGGGCCCATCATCAGCAGGCAGAGCTGTGAGCTAAAAAGAACCTGGGTTTCTGGGATATTTGCAAAGCAGAGTCACCATCCAGCCCATTTCTCCAGAATTTACATCACAGAGTGTACAGTAAACTTGCTCCATATTTAACTGTTATTTTACATTTACTTTGTTATTCATCACTGAACTCTATGCTTTGAATAATCACCTTACTCTTCAAGTTTTCCTATTAATTTAGTTCAGTTACTATTCACCTACCTACTGTAACTTTGTACCTAACAGCATATGAGGCAATAGCTCATTCTCTATATCATAGCAAGTCCTTAATTAGGAAACAAGGGCGAACACCAAGATTTTAATGTCCATTTACTGGCAAGAGACACAGAAAGAAAGAGAAGAGAATCTATTTCTGCAGTAGAAACAAATCCTGTCCTTGCTTTCTTGTGTGGTTCAGCTGCTCCTGGTGCCATGGCTATAACTTGGTTTAGCTATTTCAGACCATTTCCCCACCCTTGCCTTTCTTCGTGGGAAAATCATATATTCTAAGCATACCTGTTCAAGCCAATACAAGTGTGTGAAAATAAGTCCTAAAAAGTAGAAAACCACCCTACTTCGAATTAGTTCTTATAAAAATTCAAAATGGTTTATTTAACCAAACTTTTTTTTTTATCTTGGTAAATTGCTTGAATGGAAGAAAATAATTTAGTGACATTTCACCTGGTGGGAGGGAAATGTGAACTAGTATTTATTCCATGATGACATATTTAGCTTAACTGTGGGAGCCTGCATTCTCCATGTTGACCTGATCATGATACCCTGTCACTTACCTGAGATAATCTGTGCACAAGAAAAAAATGGATCACATCTGTAATTCCAGGCTGTCTCTGCAATGGGAATGCTTAATGGTCAGTGTTAATGATGGGCCCTGAGGAGACTCATAGTTACTACTGTTCCTCTGCAATTTGCAATGGCAGCTACACAACACAGGGAGCACCTTCCTCCTATGCCAGCACAGACAGCACAGTCGGAGCTCTCTGTTTGCTTGCTTTGCTGTTTGCAAGGATGGACACTTCTGTAGCCAGATACTCTTCTCCTTAGAACCCCGGGTAGTTATTACCAATCAAGTGAAGCTGCCCATGAAATTACCTCAGGGGAATTACTTCCTGACTCACAGACTTAGATCTTACAAGTACCATAAAATCTTTAAGAAAGAAAATAAACAGCCCTGGCTGGTTGCTCAATGGTTAGAGCCATCAGCCCATGGACTAAAGGGTTGAGGGTTCCATTGCAGACTCAATTCCGACTCTGGGCATGTGTGGATGCAACCAATCAATGTGTCTCTCTTACACTGATGTTTCTTTCTGTCTCTCCCCCTCATTTTCACTCTAAGAAACAATGGGGAAAAAATATCCTCAGGTGAGGATTAATCAAGAAAAAGAAAGAAAATAAACAGAGAAGTGTTATTTTAAATGAAAAATACCCAATTCAAGATTCAACCCATTTCCATCTAGCCAATCATAGAAAGATATTTATATATTTGACTAGAATGGTGAGGAAAGAGAAGATTTTCTGATTCCTACTCCACATGAAAATCTTTTAAATGACAATCATTATGGACTTAGACTCCATCTTGGAGTTTTTGTGATAGATTTTCTAAATCATCCTAATTTTCACTCAAACTAATTTTCAAAGTAATTCATTTAACTCAAATGTAAAAGTCTCAGTCATAAACTAGTAACTGGATAAAATTATCTGTAGGTCAATCGAGTTGAATCCAAATCATAAGTGACTTAAATTGACTCACCTGGGATCAAGAATCTAGAAATCAGGAGAACAGCATCCACAGGAAACAACTAACACTTCGAGTAAGTGGTTCCCTTTTTTGTGTTTGAATTGAGGACATTAAGATTTAGACTTTACCAAGGACTTCAGATCCACTGCTTCCTCTGACCTTGCCACACA